AGCCGTAACCAGAAACCTACCTCGCACCATCCACTATCTACTCCCTTGGCATCATGCCATTCCCAAGTCTCCTTTAATAATCTATACTCCGCAAGAAAACCCTCTAACCTCGGGCTTATACGTGTGAATTTAATCACCCATCATCTTCAAGACGCGTCACTATAATTTCGAAATACTTAGAATGAAGGTGATGAATTCCCTCCCCCCCCCGCCCCGACGTGCATCCTTTCCCACACACTTTCTCTCTGCATATCCACACCCCTATCCCCTCTAAGTATACTCTCAAAGGGTCCTCTATTGCCGAGAAACATCTAAATGTAGCAGATTTGCCAGTTTCCCGTTATTTATTAACCGCTATATCACTTTTACAACCCCAAGTACAAATATAATAAAGAAAATATTACATCTAAGATTCTCAAAAAATGTTATAACTCAAAAAACCGTCAGCGAGGGAGCACAGCACAGCACAGTTGTCTTAGATCGTAAGATAAGTACGAAGATAATTGTGAGGGTTTGTGATGGTGTATAAGTTGCCGTTTCTATGTGCTGAAATGGTGCATGGCTGTTATGGGAATGAGGTGAGCCGCTGATGGACGGACGTCGTAAATTTGGGGATTGGTTTAGACTGGTTTTAAGTTTTATTAGTTGAAATACTGATTATCTAATACTCTGTGATCCCATAGCACACGTAGTGTCACCCATACAACCTCTATCTTCCATCTTCCACTCCCCACCACAACCCACACCCTTAACAACCACAGCCTCAATCCTCCACCTCCCCAAACCTTTCCAAACCACAAGAATTAAATCGCAGTCCCAATACTACTTCCCCTCCTCCTCCCCCTCTCCATCCTAATCCCATCTCCAAGCGTATCAGAATCTTTCCTTACCCTCTCCCCTCCCATCCCCATCCCCACCCCTCCAAAAATCTCCCCCCTCACACTCCTAACCCTCCCATCACCAACCTCAGATCCTCTCCTGCCACCACCACCACCACCCCCCGAAATCCCCAGAATCTCCGACGCGCGGAACATAACCCCATCACCAGCCAGCCGTCCACCAACCGGACTACGTATACTCGTCCCAACACTCGGACTTATCAACTTCTCGCCCATTGCCGGACCAAATCCAGACGCAACATTGTTCTGCCTTAACGCCACATGCGAAGAGGAGGTGACAAGCGGCGGAAGTCTCGTATCCCCAAAACTCCTAAACCGAGGCGGTTCACGCGGCCTATCAGGGTCATACGTAAGCGTGATTTTCCTCGCCGGAGTCAATGGGTTCGGGATGAGATTTGTCGAGAACTTCGACGTTGGGACCTGCGTGATCAACACTCTTTTATCGCTCGATTGTCTAGGGATCGGATTCTCAGCGTCAGGGACGAGAATATTGCCCATGACGGTACTTTCCGGCATTTGAGCTGGGAATGTGAATCTGCTTTGGCCGTTGGTATTAGGGCTGTAAGTCGGTGTTGGTTTTTCGGTAAATCGGCCACCTTCAGCATATCCAATACGAGTGCCGGAACCGGTACCGCCGTAGCCAGCGACGGGATCGTCGAGTTCGCGACGGAAGATTTGGTCTTGACTGCCTGTGAAGTCGGAGACGCGGAAGCCCATGCGTTTTTCTTGTTGGCGGCGACGGTAGCGGAGGAAGAGGATGAAGGCGATGAGGGAGAGGATGGATGAGCCTATGATGCTGAATGTGAGAGCGAGAGCTAGAGTTCGGGTTGATGGAGTATTGCTGGCATCTGCGGTGGGGGTGGTTGTTGCTTGGGACTGTTTATGTTAGTGTATAATCTGCTTTTCAATTGTAGAGATACGTACTGCAATTGCTGTTATGGAACTCTGAGCATGTCGGAGCGCAGAGCTTGCACTAGCTATAAAATCCTTAGTTCTACCATCAAACCAAGGAAATAAAGTTTTAGCATACCTCTAACATCGCCCAGCTGTTGACTTGCACTTTCCAAAGCTGCACTGGCGCTCGACTGGGCGGATGTAATAGCAGCATTTGCGCTGCTGATCGCAGAACTTAGACTTTGTTCCGCCGCGTTATCAACAGAGGTAGCGGTGGTACTCGTAATTGGAGGTATAGATGTAATCTGGGGTATAGAAGCTCGAGAGCTGCTAACAGTAAGGAAGATGATTGTAGTTGAACTGAGTCTCCCGGGTATTATAGGAGCTGTAGAACGAGGAACGATAACTGGGGTAAGCGCTGAAGATAGGCTGGTGAGCGAAGAGGATGTTGATTGAGAATAATTCCTTGCTCGCTGCGAATCAATTGGGTCAATAGTTGACGGAAAAAATATTGGGGATGATAAAGTAGAGATACTGTATATGAGATAAGGGAAAAGTGTTGTTGAAGACGAGCGGAATGCGTCTTGGTCTCGTGCTGATGGTCGTGTAGTGACGAGAGGTACCAGACTGCGCGACGAACTTGTGGGAAGATCCAATGCCGAATTGGTGTAGGAAGCCGGTATCAAGGTTGTGCTGGTATTCAAGGCTGCCGTTGACTGAGGTGATTGTGAGCGTTTGCTGAGATGTGAATCCAGCCAGCGTCGGTGTGAAGTAATGAGGTCGTTGGCCTTCGATACAATACTATCCATCACATGCTCAGTCATCTCACTAACTGACTTCCCATCTCTAGACCGATCATCAACCTGTTGACTTTTGCTCAAGTCTTCATGGCGTCTCTTTCCACCCGACGTGATATCGACGCGCATCTTCCAGCCATACACCAGTTCCGGGAAACCTGCCCACGAGAAGAGAAATATTAAAAATTAAGAGTGAAAAAGTCACCAGGACTATCGTCGTTCAGTGTCGCGCCTATCGTACATTGATGCAAACTGTCCAGCAGAAGGTCGTAAAGCTTCTAATTAGAGTGGCGGTTTGAGCTTGTCGAATTCGGAAGGTTTCTAGAGTCACACATCGCTCCTTGTTCGTTGTAAATTGAATTGCTTCCAGGAAGCTTCCCGTTAAAGCAACGAAAAGAAAGCAGATCACTCGTCAAAGGAAAAGACACGCAACTACTCAAGTCCGAAGAGCGGGATGTCAACAGACCGAACAATCCAGAAAACCAAGTACCACACCGAAACAGCTGGTCTGTAAGACCGGTACGAGATCTGGTGACACAGGTTTATTCATGACGGTGCCTATGTTAATCATGGGGAGGATTCGCGTGGTCGATGACGCCAATGCAGGGTTGAAGAAGATCTGTTCGCGAGAATCATCATAGCGTCTGGAGTTTTGCTACTTTTCGAAACGGTAACGGCTTCAAGAACGCAAATTCTCCGTAGCCGTTGATGTAAATGACACAAACTCAAAACGAACCAATGAATCGGAGAACTCTACTTGACTCCGAAAAGCTTGAATAATAAGGTCTCTTCCCAAATAGTAAGTTTGTGGAAATCAATACCACGTGACCGACTTCCTACCAGATTCATCGCAATTTACAAACTCCAGGAGCGTTTTGATGATCCAAGAGACGAATTCTAATAAGACAACCTGATGCCCGTTGTATCCTTTAAGGAAACACAAGCGTGTACATGGTAGGTAAGGACATGTGATGTGGAGCATTGGAATTTTGCTGAAGGAAAAACCCAGTTTATCCAAGTGTTGTCAAATTAGGATGAGGAAATGAATGGTAGGACAACTCTCCTCAGACGAAAAACATTGAATGGTGTTGATAGCGAAAGAAGGAAAAGGAGTCTGTGAATATCTCTCACAGCGAGATTCAGGAATTGTCATATAAATATGTGGTAAATTTCATTGACATAGTGTGGAGTTGAGCTTCAACTATGAAGCAGCTTCGGCATGGAAGGATATTTCACTGGCCAAATACCGGATTTCGAGGCTATCCAAACACCATAGCACTCTTGGTAAGACGACCAGCTCCGTGAATTAACACAGCATCGAGCAGGACTTGATCTACCTCTTTACTCCAGCCTCGCTCTGGACCCCATCCAATAACTTTCGAATATCGGTTGACCACCTCACCAAGTCCAACCATCATATCACCGGTCCTCTTGACTCCTGGATAGCCATCAAACTCTACCACCTTGACAGTTGGTACTTCAAGCAGGACAGCATTAAGCAATCTGGCGCAAAAGCTTTCATAGAGGCCTTCTCCCATCCGCCAACCTTTGTATATAGCATCGCTCGGGTCGCATTCCACAAAGACCTTTAAGACTCTGACCTGTTGACAATCTGCAAGTCCAAGCGCATCGTTCACCACCCATCCTGGAGGAGGGTTGTTCCAACCGGGACCAACGCGCAATTCTAAGGATGTCATGGATCGTCGATAATGGGCTGGCAGGCGAGCAAGAAGAGGTTTCTTTGTCTTTATGTACCTTCCTGGATGGACGGGAAACACTCTAAAAGTATGGGTACTGAAGAAATGGTGAGTCGACTCTTGATGTATCTGCCGGGAGACTCGGAACAAAGAGAGCACCCTCAGTCGTGTCAATATTGAGAACGTATTAGGATCGAGATCAATGACTGGAGGTGATGCCGAGAAGACTGCAGTATATATCTTGGTCCGCAACTCAGAGGGTAAATCTAGAAACCGAAATCCTTTCTCCTGCGTCAAGTTCGTATCGTTTTCATCTTCGGTTGCATATGCAGACGCATACGCAGAGGACGGCGGTGTCTCGAAGGTAGGATTCGTGGACAACTTCATCCGTTGCATCTGTGCCGATAAGTTCGCTGTCGACGAGGAAGCTGTAGCAACTGCAGCTCGAGGTCCCGCCACTCCTCTTCTTCCGCGTGCCATGGCTTTTCAGGTGGCAGCTAGTTCTAGTGTTGGCACAAAGATTGGAGAAGTTAAGATGAATGGAAGAGTAAGATATAATTCATTAGATATGAGAGAAAGCTATAGGAGCGTACGAAGGTTTCGTCAAGATGAATTCGACTCGCGGGCGAAGATGTCGAGGTGCAACGGGACCGAATTGCTATGGGCAGGCACTCCGAAAAGTACCCGCCTAGCATCCAATTCTTTGGCAAGCCATGTTCGTCTCCTCAGTTTGTACAACTTTACGTCCAGGGAAGTGGTGCGGACGTAATGTCAAATTTCGTATTCTGAGTGTCAACTTTGAAGAGAAAAAGCAGAAGAGGAGAGGCGGGGGAAAGAGCTGGGAAAGAAATGGGATGGTGCTCGATGGCGCTAGGACGAATGTGGCAAGGCGGCTTGGGAAATATTTCTGGAGATGCAATTCTGATGTCAGGCGGAGGAGCTTGGGAGGAACTTGCAAGACCAGCTGTATCAACATCCACAACCTTTCTTGAAGTCTATATTTAATTAGCAGGACCTGCGACTTCTTTGTTGAAGTCGCTTTCATCTGCAGATAATTCAGTATGTTACCTCGATCGTTAGCAAGGTTACAATCGCCGGCTTTGAGGAGATCAACCGCATCATTGCGAGCCGGACCTTCGACAGCAACAGTATGGAGTCGTTCTATGGCAAAAAACAACAAGCCAAATCAATGGCAAAATAAAGCGCAGGGCCAATCTTCAAAATCAACTCCTTCCCAATCACAACGACCAGCAGGCGCAACTGCGGCCTTCACATCACCACCACAGAATTCTCAGAGCAGCAATACCTCTGGGAAGCCAGATTTCTCCAAGAAGCAGGACGAGGTTGACAAAGGTGCTACACCGGAGAGGAATACAGAGCCATCAGAGGCACCAGGTCCTGGCATTCCTAACCCATCAGCAAGAAAGGGAGAAGACCCAGCCTTCTCTGGAAAGCAGGACGAATTTGATACCGATGCATCACCATCCCAAAATACCGCACCTCAGTCTACATCCCCTTCTGCCATTGATCCAGCAGAGGCGCAAGCACCTAAATACCCATTACCAGATCTCACCCAGGGTATTCCTTCAACCTTGGAATATGAAACGATAGGAAGCGATGGTAGAAAGGGTTTAAATTTGACCGAAGCCGCGGAAGAGGGAGACGGGGCAGGTTCTGGTCGTAGAGGAAAGGGAGAGCTTCCAGCATCTGCCTATATTTCTTCTTCTGAAAAGAAGAGGTTACGTGTGGCCAACTATTTGTATGCCACATTTGCTGCCGCTGTAGTAGGAGGGACAGTATACTTGGGGCGAAACTGGGAAACAGAAGAGGAAGAGGTTAGACATGCCACAGATGCTCCATCAGGTTGGGCATTTGGTTTGTTCTTCAATCGTGCGAAAGCGCGAGTTATGGACAAGAGGAATTATTTCAATGAGCCAGCTTTTCCAAAACTTCTACCAGACGTCGATCCTATCTTCGAACGCCCTTATACGCTTGTCATAAGTATGGAGGATTTGTTGATCCACAGTGAGTGGACGAGAGAACACGGGTGGAGGATGGCAAAGAGACCTGGAGTGGATTACTTTCTGCGGTATTTGAGCCAGTACTACGAGCTGGTCATTTTTACAAGTCAACCTTTTGCCATGGCAGAACCAATCATTCGAAAATTAGATCCATATCGAATCGCAGTTTGGCAGTTGTTTCGAGAGGCAACACTCTATGAAAACGGAGAATACGTCAAGGTATATAACCTCTATACCACTCTTTGAACACACTAACACACCACAGGACATCAGCTACCTCAACCGCGACCCCTCCAAAGTAATCATGATCGACACCAACCCAGCCCACGTCAGCCACCAACCCGAAAACGCCATCATCCTCAAAAAATGGGAAGGCCAAGTCGGCGACAAAGACCTCGTCGGCCTCATCCCCTTCCTCGAATACATCCACACCATGGCCTACACGGACGTCCGCAAAGCCATCAAATCCTTCGAAGGCACCCACATCCCCACCGAATTCGCCAAACGCGAAGCCATCGCGCGCGCCAAATTCCAAGAAGAAGTCGCGGCCGAAAACAAAAAACGGCCAAAGGTCTCCGGCGGAGGCTTCCTGGCTAATGCGCTGGGTATCAAGCCGCAGGGTATGATGGTCACGGATCCGACGGAGTTGACGGCCGCGGAAGCGTTTGCGCAGGGTAAGATGCTGCAGGATGTTGCGCGCGAGAGGGGACAGCGCAATTTCGAGGCGTTGGATAGGGAGATCCGCGAGAATGGCGAGAAGTGGTTGAAGGAGGAGGCGGCGATGGAGGAGAAGAATAAGGAGGAGGCCATGAAGCAGATGAAGAGTGGGTTTATGGGGGTTTTTGGGGGGGAGAAGGGGGGGAGTAAGTAAGTGGGGATGGTTAGGGGAAGGGAATGGGGGGGTGGGGAGTTGGAGGGGGAGTTGTATATTATCCATGGATCTGCTGGAGGAAAACTCAACTCTACATCTATGGTTGAGGGGGTATATGATGAGATATGGGATTACCATCTCGTCAGTGACGTGTTGGGGATTGTTGAAATAAGGTGTGTATGAGTAGGTAGATAAAACTGTATTTGTTTAATGAAATATTCCTGAAATGGGAGCTCTATACCATCCCTTCGTGTCATTGTATAGCCTTAACTTTTCTTCGTATAACATGGTTGCTGTGCTAAACAGGATTTGCGTTATAAACTTTATGAGCTTGTCGATCCCTTGACTTTACTTTGCATCGGGTCAGAAAATAATCTATTCCATCTCCGTTCTTGGAAGAGCACCTCCTCATGGACTTAACTCATACTACCCAAAGGGATTTGCTTTCTCGGTATTTGATTTAGGTTGTTCTCCGCGCCTCCCGGATGTGTGGGCGATTTCCGGTATCAAGCTAATAATGGATCTAGATTTTTTGTTTGCTGAGGTAGCGGGTGTTGGAAAGATGAAGTAAGCGGCGATACGTGGTTGGTTATCTTGGGAGAGAGGGAGTGCTGTGGTGAGGAAGGAGGGGGGAAGATGGTGAAGGGTCTTGATTGGATATTTGACATGGTCAATCACTCACCTTCTCTATCCCATCCCATCCCGCCTCCCTAAAACATCAAAAGCCAGCGGTAAGAACGATCAAACTCCCACTCCCACTTCTAAACCACCACTACATCAAGTACTTCCCCCCCATCAACAAAAACCAGATAAAGACATATCATCATGTCCCTCCCTAATCCGGTAGATACCGTAAGTTGTTATAGTTGTTAATTTAGGTTTAAGGGTAGCACAGCCGTTCCAAAAAAGAAAATCCATACCCAAAAGAACATCCCCATCCCAAATCCCTCTCTAACCCCTACAATTTCCCATCCACCAAATCCAACATCCTCCCATTTAAACACTTAACATCCTCCCATTTAAACACTCAACATCCTCCCCTTTCCCAACACCTTAAGGATGGATGTGATGCGTAGGTGATGTGAGGAGCTATTATCTAGGTATCAGGCTCTATTTCTGATGACTTGTGTCTTGGCTTGTGGTATTAGTGACGACGAGATGGCTGGGTTATTATAATGTGTGAATTTGTAGGTTGGCTATGTGGTATAAGCGCTGAGTTTTGGTCGGCTAGTTGTGATACGGAAATAGTGGTGGTTTGGTGAGGAATGTTGGGTGTGTTGAGTATTAATTATTAATGTCGTTGCTAGTATATACACTGCCTCTACCCTAAACGCCGGGTAGTCCAAACGCCAATCCATCTAAAACCTATCCAACCACTCTCCCCTCAAGCCCATAATCCTCATCCCCCTCACCATCCCCATCACTCTCCTCCCCACTCCCACTTCCCCTCTTCCTCCTCCTAGATTTCTTCCTTCTCTCCATCTCAACCTCCTGCCACACCTCCACCTCACCCGCCCACCATCTACGACCCGCAACATCAAGAATAAGCTCCAGCGTCACACAAGCCATAACAACAATGCCCATCACCGCCCACCAGCTGAGATCGAAATGGTGAATAAACGCGTCGCGCGCGGTATATACACCAGCCGTATTAGTGTACGCGGCTGAGAGGAACAGGTTCCAGGCCCACCAGCCGCTGATGGTGAGGAGGCAGGAGAAGATGGGGATCCATGTTTTGTGGGTGTAGTCGATGATGCTGAGGGGTGTTAGCGAGGGGAATGAAGGGGGAAAGGAAACGTTGAGGGAAGGGAGGGGAAGAGGGAGGGCTTACAGGAGTTTGACGTTAATAAAAACGACGCAAATAGAGAATCCGAGGTCGCCTATAGCAAAGAGGCCTTGATCAGACATGTACGCCTGACCGTAAAGACCGTAAACCATGAAATAGATAAGCACCGCCTCGCAAGTCGCCATGAACATCCACCACCAGTATTTCTTCATATTAAATCCCTGATTCGTCTGCCCGTACGCGTATAACTCTGGGACTTCTAGTAACGTCTCAGCGGATAGATCTTGTTCGAAGATACCGGGGATCATGACAGGAAGCGCGGTAAAGAGCGTGTTCCAAACCGCAAGGGACCATGATTCGAAGAGCGAGGTGCCGGTATAGCCGTTCCACTTCTGGTATAAAGCTTGCACGGTGTAGAAGAGCATTTCTTTCCAAAACGTGAGGAGAATGAATTTTGCGGTTCGAAGATAGAGCCAGTGTCCGTGGACCAGCAAGAGTCGTTGCAGGAATCGAAATTGAGCGATGCTGTAATCTGCCACACGAGCTGCTTGAAGTCCTTCTTTACCGGAGATGCCGATGCCGACGTGTGCTTCTTGGATCATAGCAATGTCGTTTCCACCGTCGCCTATGGCGAGAGTGATGGATTTTGGAGATAACGTACGGATACGTTTCACAAGAAGGGCTTTCTGTGAAGGATATGCCCGTGTGCAGATGGTTGAGTCGACGCGGAGAAGAAGACTGTAAAATACGTCTTTCAACATATCGTTTGCTTCGACTTCGACAAGGGTTTGGCCATCTATTACCAGAACCGAGTGAGCGACTTGTCCTGCGTCGAGCTTCTCAACGGCCGAAGACATTTGAGCAGATATCATAGTGTCAGTGCCGTCGAGAATTATAATCTCTGAAAAGATCTTGCATATACCCGCTGAATGCGCGATATTAATCGCCGTCTCTCGCTTATCACCTGTAAGAATTGATATCTTGATATTTGCTCGTTGGAGTTTCGTAATGGTCTCCGCAACACCGTCTTGAAGTTTATCTTCAATACCAGTGGCGCCTGCAAGTTCCAAGTTCTGCTCTATCTGTTCCGCAACAGCTTCTATCTGCTCTTGACGGTTCGTAAGTGACGTCGTAGCTGCATGATGCTGCGAAGCCCAGGTGTCATACTCTTCCTGAGACAAGTAGCGATAACCAAAAACAAGAGTTCGAAGGCCATCGGATGCAAATTCTACGATATGCTCTAGACAGCGTTCGATAGTGCCAGCTTCGTCATGCACGTCATGCCGTCGTTCACTTTGAAAGGATGCTCCACGAGATGGGACTTCCAATCTGCTTGAGAAATTGCCCAAGGATTTCCTTGCGCCACCAGGAGAAATTGGAGTTTGAGGTGACGAGCCGCTGTCCATGAGATCTTGCTCAATGACGTTGAGACTCTTTCTTCCAAAATATCCACTGCTATTGTTTCTGGTCGGTGGTCCAGGTCGACTAATATTCAGACTCGATCTTTGAAAGCTCTTGCGAGATTCAATCTCAGAACTTTTGCGCACTAGAGCTTCCTCGACTTCCATGCTGACACGTTGTAGCCTTCTATCTTGAACAATAGATGCTGCATCAAATGCTTTTAGATCTTTTCTGAATCGTGGTATTATGACAGAGTCCGCGCCTTTACAAAAAAGGCAAATCCTTCCATCAGGAAATTTGACAAGGATCGACATACGCTTCCTCTTGCTACTGAACTCGATGATGTTGAGCACTTCATAATCATCGCGTGTTCCAGTATTGGGTCCGGTTGGAGGCGTGAGTATAGTTATGGTCTGAGTAGTTCGATCGATGAGAAGGTAACCCAAGTCTTGCGCCGCCTCGACAAGAGCAAGCTCATCTGGGGAAGCAGCTTGGAATCCCGTCTTACCACTGTTTTGAGCTTCTGGGAAGCACGTGTGACAAATTGCTAACGAGAGAATGAAGAACCGAAGCTTTTCTGAAAGTGCAGTCCTCGGATGTGTTTGAATGTATTCGATAATGTTGTCAGCTTTCTTCGTTTGTTCGTTGCTGAAATAAATGCTAAGCGACGGTCTTTGGGGAGCGGACGGTACTTCGAGCGTAATCCTAGGAGTATTCCCCGCTGTGGATTTTCTAGCGACACGGCCGCCGTCATCGGCGAGTGATGATATCCTGACGTCGGTGCTTCTCTTGGTAGTTTCATTGGCCTTGACGCTATCTGCTTCGTCGTCGACACCTTTCTCCTTGTGTGTCCAAATTTCGCCTCCTACGGTCATCTTCCGCAACTTCATGACATTCTCCGTCAAAGTTCCAGTCTTGTCACTCAAAATATGTGTAACTTGTCCAAGGTTTTCATAGATATTCTGGGTATTGCTGACCATCGGAGTGTTCGAAGCTTCATCGTACATTTCCACATCGTGCAAAAGCAGAAATTGCGCAAACTTTATAAGTTCCAAACTGATGTAAAGGGCTAGCGGGATAAGATTGTTGAACATGATCGCAAATGCGATGAAAATGTCGATCATACGTACAGTAGCATTTTCGAGATACCAAGCGTGGCGTTCAAAATCACGTTTCCAGACGACATAACCAACTGTGCACCCCGAAGCAAGGAGGACAACGAACACCGCTAACAAGATAACGACACGATTCGTCATCTTCTGAATAGCAGGCGATTTTGCTTCCGGATTTTTACTAGCGTTCATCCGGATCTTACATTCTTCTCCAGTATTTATGACCATACCGATGACTTGAGCAGTATTCCTGACGATGCTCCCACGAAATATAACATTGCTAAGTGTTAGGGGTAAAGTAGTGCCATCTACAGTCACCTTTCCATGAAAGTCGTACAGGTCGAGATTTGGGTCCTCGACAACGAAGTGAGCATTACAGCATGAGAGCTCATCTAAAGTACCACATTTCAATTGAGGCACTGGATAGCGGCTTTTGAGATTGGTTTCGCCATCTAGAGCCATCGTTTCGACATAAGCGACTCCATCTCTGCCATCTGCATGTAACATAACAATATCTGCTGGAACCTCTTCGTCGCGACTCAGCTCCACAATGTCTCCGACCTTGACGTGAACCCACTCAACTTTCTTCCAGGGAGATGAGTCCGATGCGGCGTTGTTAATAGAAAAGGTGTCTTCTCGTGGCTGGTCCCTGCCATGTGAAGTCGACGAACGTGCTTTCGAAATAGCGTGCTCGCCGGATTTCCAAATGACTTTTCCAACTTCCTTTCCAAATTTCTTAGCGGCCGACGAGATTGAAAATTTCAACTGGCCCTGACTTCCGCCTAGAACCTTTGCCATTTTTCCATTTTCGACCTTGTCCTGTCGATATCTCCTCCAATCATCCCATCCTTCTCTGGCAACGGTGAAAAGTAAAAAGAAGAGCAAAGGAAGGATAGTCGTATAAGTACCAGTAGTACTCAAGCCGGGAATTAATTGAATGATACCAGTGACGAGAAAGTACAGATTCGGAAGCTTGGAGAACTGGAACCAGAACTGATGCGGAAAGAAAGTAATCATAGTATAGCGAGATGAGCGGATGGCGTTATTGATGTACTCTTTTCCCGTACGTTCATCAATGAGTGGAGTGGACCGAGACGTGGATAGAGAGATATGCCGACCGTCTTTTGTTGGAGGTAGAGTGTCACGCCGGAGGAGTTTCAGAACAAGCGGATTGTTCGTCACAGAACGAGATTTCCGTATAATTGACTTCTTAACAGTTTGAAGTCGATGGCGGCCTAGATTGTTCAATGAGCCAGAAGCCGACGTATTTTTGCCATTTCCACTTGTCGATTCCTCGTCAAAACTTGCTTCTTCGCTCCTGACAGCGCTTGACAGAACAAGCGGGCCCCCATTACCCAAATTCTTTCCATCTTTCTTTTCAGAAGTGCCCTGCCCGGTCCCTAGCGCCGAAGGAGTAATCACCATTTCAATATCTCCTGCTACATCACGTGATCCACCTCCGTCATTCAAAATCGTTGACGAAAAACGCCCAGAACCGCTGTGGTTGATTGCATTGCCAACCTGGCGCGATGCATGGTCCCGTTTGCCGTCCTCTGGATCCTTTGAGCCCATTTTAAGTACTTCTTACAACGCGTTGCTGCGTCCACCCGGTATCCAATTCAACGAGCGCAAGAATGAGTCCCTCATCTCTTCATGTTGCCACACCAGGCACGACGTAATAGCGATCAAATAAACCCCTTCCAAAGTCCGAGTCCCAAATCCGATTCCAGGCGTCCAGGCGTCCAGCAGACAATGATATTGTTCTCGGGACGAAAAAGCGTGCGTGGCGGGTAGCTGCGGCAATGCGATGCGGACGCGATATCCAAGCAGATGATTCTATAAAGACTGTTTCAACGAATGTGAGAGTGTTGAGCGAGTGTCCAAGATATCCAGTCGATGATATACAAATGTGAGGGTGATGGAGAATGATGAAAGAGGTATTGTTCGAGATTCGAGATTTTGGAACTCCGTTCCGCGCTATCCGGCTTTCGGAAATGATCCACTACCGACAAGGGGTTAGCGGAAGCTTATACGAGGTAAGGCGAGTGGTTTCTGTAGCCAATACGAAAAGCAATAATAATTGATGATTCTCAATTAAAGGTGGTATTTTATAGAAATTTTGATTATATGTAGATATAACAATTTTCATTCTTGGGGAACATTTGAGTGCATTTAAATCTTCCCAAAATTACACGTCTTTCAAACCCGTATTGGCGGGACTCGACAGTGTTCGGTCTTGTATAAACAATATTGTATTTCATAATTACAAGCCAAACTGACTAAGGTTGGTGAAGAGGGTGAACGAGACAGAAGTTATATGAGAGAAATTCATCTCATGAGACTTGATAATATCCAATTCTCAAAACACCCCCGGAATCAACCTCGCAGTCCTCCCATGCCACCTTTCCCACTCGTCACCAAACTCCCCCCTCATCATCTCCTCCTCATCCAAAATCCGCATCCAAATCAACTTTCCCAGTGCAGCCATCATGACCACCGCAACGATCTCACTCAGATACGGCACTCCCACCAGTTTCCTAGGCAGTACACACGCCTAGAAAGCTCTCATTAGCAAGACAAATTCTAAATGGGCGAAATACGTACAGCCACGCCATCAAACCTCATCACAAACAACGCATCCACAATCCTCAACCCAACTAAGCCGATATAACTCGGATGCTGCACCCAGGCGTACACACCGCTCGTGATGAGCTTTTTTGGGACTGCGAGCGTGAATGTGAATTCCTTTCCCAGTCCTCTAAAACTCGCTAACCGAATCCACGATGATGTACAAACAGCAATTATATAAAGCGTGCTTCTGACGGACCACGTGAATAGAGAGGGGTTGAGCAGGTCTGGGTTCAGACAGATATACGGTGCGGTGCCGGGGAAGAGCAGGAGCGTGAGGTGGTATGTCCAGAGAAGAATGAGGAGGATGAGGATATTATGGTTTTGGGCCGTGGAGTGCAGAGCTGCGACGCGATTTAAACGGTCGGTTTTGTGTGGGTTTTGGGGCGGGGGGTTGGGCGGGACGATGCAGAGGTAGGAGAGGTAGGTTGAGTATATGAGGGCGCAAGTTAGGGAGAGGGATGAGGGTGTGAGATTCATTTTGGGTATTTGGAAGGGAGATAAAGCTGAAGTGTGAGGAGTTCGTTGGAGGCATGAGAGTTGATATATACATGCAGAAGTGGACGCCTGACAAGTGTACGGGTTGAAAAGCGGGGCGTTGTTACGAACGAGCGAATCGTAGGTTGTGGTTTCCGAGGTGCTGCAAGAAAAAGTATCGAGGTCTGTTATACAAAATTTGGGATTCTTCCGATGAGGGTGTTCGATTCTCAATTGTGATGCCTAATTACGTCGGAATCTGAAGAGAGTTACTTCGGGGCATGGATAATGATAAGGATCGTGGGGCTGGTGTTGACGACTCGAAACAATCAAGGAATGAAGGTCACAAGAAGCGAGCAATACGAATGAGATGAGATGAGATGAGATATGATTCTTGTTTTGTTCAATTTCTTGTATTGTTTGGCTTTTTGTGATGCATCTATGTCTTTGCATTAGTGCAGTAATCCAACCACTCACTCCTGCCCCACCACTCCAATATCATACTAGTAGTACAAATCAATCTGTTCCCTCCCAACCCAAAGCCTCGATCACTCACTAGCGCCCTTTTATACGCCGACCATCCCATCATTACTAATATTACAATTTCCCTTTCGCCGGATCGCACAATAATCCCAATCATTCTACAATAATCCCGCTAATATCCCATCAAAATATCCATACAAACAAAAGAAATGTGCAAGTCAAGACGAGTTACGCTTCGTCCCCATCTTGAAGTATCCTCACTTCTCGACGCTCGGTGTTGAAAGTTTTGTATTCTTTGAACTGTCTCATCCATTCGAACTCGTCGTCGTGGTCGAATGAGGTGTCGTTTGGGTATTCGATTTTGATTCGACGTAAGCCGACGGCGATACACTCGTGGGATTGCATGGAGGAGGCGAAGAGGTCGAGGGGTGAGGGGCCTTTGGAGAAAATAGAGAGTGTTTTCTCGACCTCGTATGATCGAGTTTTGGTTTGGTGTGAAGTGACTTTGGTGAGTAACGAGGGTGAGTTATTGCAAGGGGTAGCGATCGTGTGTACATCACTTCTTGATGGATTCGAGTGGCTGAGTGTGGGTACAGCTCGTGGTGAAGGAAGAGATGGGAGAGGACGTCTGCTATATAATTCGACATGTTCGGGTGAGGTGGAGTAGTGTGATGAGGTTGATGAGGCTGGAGAGGGGCAGCGAATTGCATCCCAATCTGCATCTGTGGATTCTGAATCGAGGGAAGAAGCGAGTGAACATCTCCTTGATAGTGATGTTGAGGAAGTTACCCCCCATTCGGAGAGACAGTTTTGAATTTGTGACATACTGGTAACCGTTAGTGAGGATAATAAGAAAGGTAATGAAGGTTGCATACGTGACAGGAAGACGGGCTTCGTGGAGCAAGCTGACAATGTCTTCTTCGGTTTTGTGGTCTTGGACGTATAGTTTGGTGACCCAATGTCTGTGAATAGACAAGATATCCTCGACGGTGAGTTCTACATTTCGATCCATCTTGAATACTATCGTGATTTCTTCAAAGTTCTGTTCTGTGTTCCGTTTCGTTTTATGTTTTGCAATGGCACAGCCGATTTGTTTCGTTCGAGTTCTTTCGGAAGTTAAAGGAGTGTGGGGTGAACGATCGATATCGAGTTGGATTTCCCACACGGGAACCTCACGATGATATATGCATTTCCAACAAATCCCCTGTCATTCCCGACCAGGACGCTGGTATGCTTGGGGGCGAGCTGGACGAAATCACATGTATTGCAAGCAGGGGCCGTCCGTTTGAGCAGACAACTGAGAACCCCATGTCGGTGTGCCCGTCAACCCCGGTCCTGGCTGATGCAATACGCCCAGAAATTATAGGACCAGGGACCAAAAACCACGTATTCTTGGGAAATGCAAAGAGACGGAGGGGGTTTGATTGGGTTGGAATTTCAGCTGAGTATCATGCATGACAGTGTGTTTTCGCTTGCTATTAGAAGAAGTTGAAGCAAGCTGTCACTCCAACAACGAAACGATTTGCTCACCAAAATTCAAAGAAATGCATCGTAAAAGGAGAGCGGTTGCTAGAATGATGACATGAAGCTCGGCCGTTTACTCAGCAAATTCCCATCTACAGTGATAATCGATGAATTGGGATGATAAGAAGCGTATCCTGAGACATAGACTTTCAACCGTGAAGATCCCGAGGCACGCGACACAATCAATCCGCAAAAGCGATACAGAATGGGACAAACAACGACTATCATCACTTTACAAGCTGAAAACATCGTCTGTGGCTTCCCGCGCAATGGAAATATCCACGGCATCTTGACACTCCGAGTCTCCGAACACTATTCAGTATCTCGTCACCACCTTTCTTCCATAACTCCCCAAGTTCTTATCACTTCAACATTCCAGATTAATGAAATCGCGAAGATCCAGGGTCAGATATCCAGGATAAAATCAGTCCGCCCCATTAAAACTCGCAACTTCTTCCGAAAAGGCTGAGGATCTCTGCGGAGATCGCATTTCTTGGATATTGTGATACGCCACCCACGAAGAGGGTGATGGACTGTGCTAAAAGGAGCCACAAATTATCTTGGAGGCGTTCACGATATTGATCAGATGCAATGTCAATAGCGGGGCCGATCTGGTATCGAGACTCTTGGTGGTATGTGCGAGAGCTGTTGGATGGCACCGTGCGCCGTCTTGAAGAGCCTTGACCAAGATATCGGGAAAACGCCAGACAGGTTATTTGTATTTTGTGGTTGGTGGTGCGATACACGACGTTTTGTGGGTGTTGTAGGTGGTTGTGGCGGTTGTCGCGGAGAGGAGAGGAGAGTCAGGTGAGATGGGTAGAGATTGTGAAGCATACTATCGTAATTTTCTCCTGTTTGGATCTGTGACTGTAGATCATCCCATGTATGCCGGAGAATTCCCGTCAAGTTATTCCCTTCAAATTACTCCCTTGAAGCAGTTTCAATATCTGTCCGAAGTTCAGTACTCCAATAACACCTAGGGAAGTAAACAGCGATATGTTCATCAACATCAATAACCCGCTTAACCTTCCCCTCAAATTCCACCAGTACAACCTCGCAAGCTTGACAGCTCCAAATTGTCTCTAGTCATGCTCTCCACATCATGTAGTGTAACATCAAGCAGGTACAACACTTTCCAGCCACATCAGCTACTTTGGTAAGGAGTTCCTTTGGTAAAGGTAAATAACAAACTAATAAACTCTTCCCCTGTAGATCTCAATAAACACATGGCTTCCAGGTTCTTGACAGCTCTTGACGCCTCTCGCAATCCAACCAACCGCATACCAATCCTCGGTGCAGTAAGCACTCAACACTGGTAAACGCCGATCCCAAGTTTCAACAAGCGAGCCAAAATGCCACAACTGTGCATTGAAAAGGCAATTTGTCCACCAAGCTTCTTCGACTCCCCTTTTAATATGTTGTGCGACCCCGACTATTTTTAACTCCGCATATGTCGTGGCGCTGCTGAAAGCTCGAAAAGGGGACTGCATTGCCCTATGGTGTTGGCGCTCGCCACGTGGAAACCACATGCCAGCCCCGGTTAAATAGGAGCTGAGGTGAGAAATGGACACGACAACCAGAATCAAATAACAACACTGCTGGATTCAGAAGACAAGGTCCCGAATGGTAACGAAAACGAGTCGTCGGGTCAGAGGTGTCGGGTTGACCGATCCTGGATGTTTGTGGCTGTTTTTTGACCAGAGGTTCGGTATGCGAGGACGAGATCGGACGACGAGATTACTTCGATTGCGAGGAAGAGAGAAAGGTAGGTTTGGTTCCTCGGTCAAATGATCCTTCATCACTGACCTCGGTGATGGTGTTTCGAATCATTATTCGGATGAGCGATTTGGGAGATCGCTGTGAAAGCTCCAGGAGGAAGGACGATTATTCATCTGAGACTCGGCTAGCAAGTGCTATTTCGCGGAAGTAGATGTCTAAGATGTAGCTGTAGATCTGTAAGGCGATGGCATTTCTCTAATTCCAACACGTCAGATCATTTTACGTCAATTCGTAAATCCCCATCGTCAATCCAAATTTCATCTCACTCATCCCATCTCGCCTCACCATATCCCCTGGTATCATCTCGCCTCCTCACCTAAGCCAGAATTTATAACCTACGTCGTAACTGCCTTGCTCTTCCTGGAACCAGCTACTTATCTTTCACGAAAACCATCAATTCCGCCACAATACAACTCTCTCGACCTCTACTAAGTCCCAACGCTACTACGCACTACCACCCCCTCTCACACCAATTTGCCTTCCCTACGTCAAAAACACTGTGCCATAATCATGCAAACGCTTGTCTCTCGCTACCAAAACACGTCAACCTAGTGGCGTAAACTCGGGTTCGGGGATCGGGAAAGCAAGTTTTGTTCATCAGAATCCCCCATTTCCACCGAGTCCAGGAGATTGGCATGTCGATGAAATAGAAGTAAGTGTGTACAGCTTTTCTCCAATCTTCTTATTTAAAAGGCTCCTGATTATGAACAGCTCTTGTGTTATGGCCTCTTTACAGCAACACTCACTGAACCGCCTATTTCCAGGCAGTAGACTTCTCTATAATGATGCCAAGGAGAGGTATCAAGCAATGGGATATTTGAAGGAGTATATTTTGCCATCGGATTTATCAGTATCATTTTCGTTGATTCCCGATTACTTCCAGAGAAGATAGTGAGCCGTTTCTCATTCATGGCGACAGGAATTTACCATCGCCCCAAGATCAACCGAAAAATACAGAAACAGCTGAATCTTATACAGAGGATGCTTTTTTGGTCACCCATTTCCATTGTCACGGACGGGAGTTATTTAAGGGTCCACTCCGCCTGTCTCGCCATATTTTATGTCATTACGCCATCTTGTCTCATAGTCAGGACTGCAAGCCTCGGGTCTTGAGTTATTCTGCTGCCTCTGTATGTCAACTTGCTAATACTCATAGGCCAACACTTAAGCCATAGGCGTTTTGATCACGGAAATACCCTATTATCCGTGTACGAGTCTACAATTTCACTGATCTTCGATAGTAGAGAAAAGACTTTAATTAGTTGTTCTCTCCAGAGTGTGGAACTACCGCCATTGTCCATAGTCACACACCTTCGGACGTATGTCGTATACTTCAGCCATGCGAGATCACACCGATGTGACATCTATAGTCAACAAATACGTTCTTAGTGTAACGAAATGCAACTCATAAAACAAGATTTCTCGATTTCAATTTATCCCGAAGGACTCAATACTCTCACTGTCTAGCCATATCAATCTCCCCAAAATGCCACCTACCTAACCAGACAAATTCTACCTCCTCACCTAAGTACAGCATCCGACGTGCTCATCCAAATCTTAAACTTCAAACCAAAAATCTATCTTCCTGACCAATCCCCACGGAGGCTAGTGCTTCCTCGCCCCTGGCAAGAAACAACTTGGCCCTCTAAGGACCCGCTCAGCACACATCGACGCCTGGACTTCATCTGAAAGATCTTATACACTAGTAAAAGATTTCGAAACCTCCACAACCCACAATAGTACCTCTTTCTCGGAAGGAAAATCTGCCTTCCTCAAAGAATACGTCCGGTAGATCCTCTCCCCCCTCCCCGGTAGCCTTTGCGCCTTCCCTTCCCTCCCAGTCTGTCTCTCCCTACGCGCCTAAAGCCCCGCAAATAAAACGTTTCTCGGATTCTAGAACCCACGATTTTGATACGGAATCCGATGTTAATGATCTCTAGCTATTATCGCTCCGAGATCGACATTAGCAGTCCCGCAGAAATAGCTACGAAAACGTAGGCGTAGACTGTGGATTTTAGTACGACGATGAGTATAGCGGGGACGTTGTGTAATTAGTTTCAAACACACTCGCAGTGCTAAAGGGTCTGACAAGGAGGGTGTGCAACGACCTATTATATTAGACGCAGACGATGTTATTACGAACCGCCAGTTTATTCGTGGAAACGCCAGTAAGGTAATTGGAATTGCCAATCCGGGATTCTTGTCGGTTTGTTTATTAGCACAGCTCGGACAGAAATGGAAAGCAATTAATGGACTTCCTATTTTACTTTTAGCATGCATCTATCACGATGTTTGGTAATTGCACAGTGTTGCAGGTTTACTCTAAGTCTATCACTCAGACTCACCCTATACTGTCTAATTCCCAGTCCATGTCATGAAATCCATTTCCCTTCCCTAGTCTTACCGGTACTTCCAAAATCTCATCCTCCCAAAGCTTACTAACTCCTGGGAGACCATAGCCCATTGGTTCCAGTAATAGTAGCTTAAATTGACATCTGGGTGCAGGTTCTTTCTTGCTTACTCTTGTGAGACCGACGAGATCTTTCATTATTATATCTGCCATTTCCTGCCTATCATCGTTCCCATACGTCGACAGCGCATCAATAATGCAGAACACCACCGTCTCTTTTGGTAAAAGAGATAACAGCATTTTGAATCTATGCAAAACTGCCAGTCCATCATAACCTTCAGACTCTTCCATATTGCTCAGAGGTGTAAGGTCAACATGCTTACACTGTTTCATCAGCTGAACGAACAAATTACTGACAAGACCTAGCGGGTTGTTGTTTTCACTTTCGGTTTCATCTTCGTGCTCTCCGCAGAAGAAGCTCAAGCCGATGAGTTTCATTCCAGACGTCCAGGTTCGTTGGTTTGACATTCTCAAACGCTCAAGAGACTCTACTAGCTTTGCTGCCACAAAAGTAAGGGGCGATCTGTTGTTTCTTGGAGCTCTGGACTTCCCGTTAACTAACAGGGGCATGGATAATGGTGAGGAGAGCCAGCCCATGAATACGTCAGATTTCATGACCCACACCGCCCGGTCTTGGTCGGCCCCTTTGAGCGTGACTGAAAGACCAAGTAGATCTGGCAAATACGTGTCTAGCTGCATAGTGTTGTAATGTAGCAATAGTGTAAGAGTCCGCCGAATATCCTTTTGAGATGGGACAACGTTTTGCAAAGGCTGCCTAAGGTTGTCATTCTTGTGTTTCATAGGCACTATTGGGGTCAGATCCAGAAGAAATCCCTTTGGACGTTGTGACTTACAATATTTGACCGCTTCTTGAAGTTCTGGGCTCGAGGCAAAACATTTAACTAAGTGTAGTATTTGCCGCACATTCTCAGCTGATTCAAAATTTTGAGCGAGGTCCGCCTTTTGCAACTGCTCAACAACCCTAATCCCCCGGTAGTTTTCTTTGGCAATCTGAGATATCTCATCCACATCCTCAGCCGTTTTCCTCTCTATTTCTTGAGAAATGAGCACCGCTTCCTCTTTGACTGTTTGATATAGAAGGTTCATTGCTGAGATTCTCCTTATCAACTCTTTCTCGTACTCTCCCTGCGATAATAGAACTCCAAAGACCTTTTTGTACGTCTTTTTCTTCATGAAATCAAGTATATGAGACAAGACTTGCAGAATGGAAACGTAGAGTGACATGCAAAGGTCTTTTAGTGATTTGGAATTCCGATAAACAGCCAGTATTCGTTGGAAGTACTTGACAATCTCGGGCACATCTTCCATAGTCTTTCTGACACTCTCCTGAAGTTCAGCCATGCGAGCAGCAGCCTAAAGATAATAAGAATGCAAAATGCTAGCAGGTAGTAGGTCGCAGATTGCTCACCGAAAGAATCAATTTTATACCTCCGCAAACGATCGACAAGTAATGGGATTCTTGAGGGGCCAAAGCCAGATATCCCTTTGCCAATTCATTTTTCCCACCAAGTTTCCGAAAAGCTTTTCGAATAGGTCCCATGAAGGTTTTCGAGGTCTTGGCATCGTAATTACTTAGGGCGCTATCTAACAAGTCTTGTATGTCTGACAGGTTATGAACGAATCCAGCATCAAACTGTTTTTGGCAATTCCCGTCCATTGTTTCTTCAAAATTCTGAAGAGCGTCCACGAAGTTTCTTTGCTCAAGCTCGACATTTTTGAAATAATATTGTCTAAGGATGCATGCTTATTAGTAAGCTGAAAATTGCTCAGGATTTACAAGAAATACCATACAAATCTACCTCATTGTCTAGTTTCCGTGCTTTCCATGAGTAATCCTCCGAATCACACTGTATAGGATACAGATTCGTGTTAAAAGATGGATGGAAGGTGTCGAGCTTGTTCTCAGGACTCTGTACGAACGTGTCAATTAAAACTACTCCCTCTCGCACTATCTTTCCATTCATTTTTAGGCTTTCACTTATTGAGGTACCAATTCCAGAGAGCCGCAAGTTATCAGTGACGCTCTTCGGCAGCTCGGTCGTATTGGTTGCCATATCTCTTACTTGTTGTGGCGTGCACAAGATGTTGGTACGATAGTTTCGTTTTCAAGTCTTACAGCAAAGATAGACGTCCGATTCTGTATATCCAGATATGTAGAAATGGGATCATAGAAAGGTGGGCGAGGCTCCAATAGCCAAAATCCACACCCGTTCAAAAATCTTGCATTTCAAGAGCCTCATTAAGGTACAGTCAGAACCATGCTCCTCACTTCCGCCGGGCGTAAACATCTTGGCAGCTGTAAGCTTGATAAAATAAGACAATATTAGCGACTCTGACAAACAAAAGAAAGGGAAGTATTGGTAAACCCATTCGAAATCCAGCCACTGACCATCTACGGCAGGTCGATTGTCCATCTAAGTCGTATCGAGCTGATAATTTAGCCCCCAAAATCCAATTGGCGTGTCGGGAGAAGTTCCTGAGCGTCTTATTGGGATGTTCTTATCTACGCAGCCTCGTTTGAGAAGGATTCTTCTTGCATGCTGCTGTGTAACTATATTGTGTATGCGGTTTAAAATTTAACTGGCTTATGACCTGGTTGTACCAAAGATAATAAGATTCGATGTGGTTCATCTTGGCTTCATCCAGCAATTGAGGCTCCCATGTCAGTTGTCAATAAGTTGGAGCTGAACAACCATCTCAGCAGAGCATCCCTTGCCTCAGGCAATGTAGCCTGAACTTGGGGAGAAGAATATCAGACCCTACTACTCATCATTTGTGAGCTTCACGCTAAAGTCAAAAGTCGATCTAGCGTTGAGGCTCTTCCTAGAGTCCGAGTTTATAGGTAGGATCGCCTGGCAAAATCTGTGACGATTCAAATATCTTTTCCAACCTGTGTCAAAGAATCCACCGCAAAGATTCGTTATTGTGACTTTGGCTTTACATAGGACAAGAAAATATGGCCGACACGCAGGATATATCACGTTCCCAGGAAGTTACATCACTTGATATCATACAGCAAAAAGATGATGTGACCACCTGTACTCGAGAGATTGCTCTGTCAACGGAAACCACTGGCCAAGGAGATCACATAAATTCTATTCCGACTACGGAGGCAAAGGACCTTCCGGTAACTGACTCCCAACTTACACAAATTCGTGAAAAGCTAGCGGAGCTTGAGGCTGTTATCACTACACTCAAGGCAGCAAGCGTTAGCACCGTTAAGAGTCCGGAACATGATCCGGAGGCGGAAGAAGCTGCCGAGCTTGCCAAACGATGGGAGAAAGAAGCAGAAGAAGTGAGAAGATTGGAAGAGGAAAACATCGCATCAGCGATAAGGATCAAAGATTTCGATACCCCCAAAGGCGTCAGCCATGTTGCGTCCGAGCAATGGCTACTGAAGGACTTCAGGACGACATGGACGTCATCAGATACCAAGTCAGTTCTCATCATCTCAATGAAAAAGTTTCGTGGAGCAACCACCCACGTTGAATCTACTACCTTACATGACCAACGACCACACGATGATATCACTGGGGTCATTGTCCAAGCTGTCCAAGCTCAGAACCTGTCTGAGCCTGATATACTTTATCAGGAGAAAATGAGTGGCGCCGAACCACCAGCTCGACAAGCCGATCGTTTGGCTTTCGGAAATGCCGAAGTTCTCCTCGAGATAGGCAAAAAATGTGGACTGAACATTCCCATAGGAAGCAAGGTGCTCTTACGTCCCTTCAAACCATTGGTTTACTATGAGGAGTACTTCAGAGAGCTCTTGCGAACCCAAGAAAGCCTGCATGACACGCTCACGTTAAGGTTCGAAGAAAACCTTGCGAGCGTGCCGGAGCATAAGCCAGACAATACAGGAGAAAATCCCAGCGGGCAAGTGGTAACAATGACAGATGAGATAAGGGATGGGACTCCGAACCTTGAGAAAGAGACAGAACGAGATGAGGTACTTTGGAAACTGAAAAGAGACGTCGTCGCTGCTCGGAAGCTTCGCAATGGCCTGCGCTGTCTAATCTACTTCATGGATGTATACATGCAGGATATACTTGAGATGCATGGTAAAATCCAAAGAGGTGAAGTTAAAGAGATAGCGTTTGACTATCTTTGGATGCTCTTCAAGCGTGGCGAAGAGATTGTCACCACCAAATCCCAGATCCAGGCCTATCACGTTCTTCAAGTCACAGGTGGGCGATCGATTGTACCGGCACTATCCGATGACACAGAAAAGAAACGAGCTCGAATCAGTCAGACTCGAACGTCGGCCCTAGTCATTGATTGTTTCTATCTCGATTTTGATGGCAAGAAGTTTGGACCCGTGATGAAGACTTTCACAATCGAGCCATTTGAAGGATCCATGCCGTTGTCAGCGCTTGAGTGCATCCCACTTCCAAAAGATGGAATTAAACGAGAGTCGCTCATTGACAGAGGCAAGAAATTTGTCAAAGCTACAAAGACCGCACACATGAACTATCGAGGATTGACAGTCAAGCAGAATGTTACAAGCAAAGTGGAAGAGGTATGATGATAGTCCCAATAACAGAAATATCTTTTGAAGAACGCTAACTGGATGTCAATCCAGGTTGATGGCGGTATCATGATCGATTTCGAGCTTGCTTATCGAAACAGCGATGAGCTTGAAACCCCTATATTCATTAACGAGAATGATATCAACAGACTTCCAGATGATTCTCTAAGTTACCAAGAGTTGACTGAGCCATGCTCGCTCGGCGGCACATGCTGTTCTGTGAATTACAATATAGATGATTCTGTATTATCCACAGAGCCGGACACCGATGTTACAAATGACATAGCAGCTTTGACTCCAACTGTCTCAATTTGCATATCCAAAGGCGAAATCGACGTTGAAAGGCTGGTTCTACTTCCATACCGAGTGTTGGGCTATGCTTTACTAGCTCGGAAGTGGTGTAAGTACTAAACTTTTACAAGCAAGATAAACTGTTTACTGATAGAGGATAGTCGCGTTTGATCTGGATCTTGTGGAGCCAATCAAAAAGCTCAGACCCAATGAACCCGACGGATTCGCAGACCTCGTTCTCCCGGACGGCCACAAAGATGTTGTTAGGGCCTTAGTCTACATGCACACAAAAGGTGTCCAGCAACAGGGTGGATCTGCAACTCAAGAACGAGTACCGGGGAGGGAGATAGATCTTGTTCGAGGAAAAGGCAAAGGACTTATTATCCTGCTTCACGGAGCCCCTGGCGTAGGAAAAACCTCGACAGCCGAGTGCGTGGCCATTAACACCCAGAGACCCCTGTTCCCAATTACTTGTGGTGACATTGGAGGTGTGACGGCAGGAGAAGTTGAAAAGAAACTGGAAAGCTTCTTCGACTTAGCTCGAAAATGGAACTGCGTATTGCTTCTTGACGAAGCAGACGTATTTCTGTGCGAGCGGACTAAGGGAGACATACAACAGAATGCATTGGTATCAGGTTCGTTCAGTGAAAGTCCAAATGAAGTAATGTAAAGCTAACATATGGTCTCAAGTATTTCTTCGTGTTCTTGAGTATTACTCTGGTATTTTAATACTCACGACAAATCGTGTTGCGGAGTTCGATGAGGCCATTAAGTCACGAATTCACTTAAGCTTGTACTACCCACCTCTGGCACAAGAAGAAACTCGAGAGGTTTGGAAAATGAACATTCGCAGGCTGGAAAGAGAAAATACCAGACCGCCACCAAACCGACCCATTGACTTCGACAAGAAGAAGATTATGGCGTATTCTAAGTCCCATTGGAATGACAACCATAGGTGGAACGGGCGGCAGATCAAAAATGCTTTCCAGACTGCCATTGCACTTGCCGAGTGGGAGCATCTCAAGTACGAAAGCGTAGAAGAAGCAAATAGTCCTCCGCTTCTACTAGATGAGCATTTCAGACAAGTCGCACTTGCCAGCGCCCATTTCGAGCGTTACCTGCTCCAGACTCGTAGAAATAAGACCGACAAAATGCTGATGAAACAAAGCGAAGTTAGGGACGATGACTATGATCCACGCAAGAATATCATACAGGACAACGGCAGCGGAGTGAAATTTAAACTAGCGGTCTCCAACAACCCAATGCAGCGGAGTGATCAGATTGGTTCTGATGATGAGTCTAATGAGTCTAATGAGGAAAAATTGGCGCAGCGCGTCAAAGCAAGACAAATGGTGCAGGCAAAACTGACTAGAGAGAGTGCTAAGAGAGCTGACTCTGAAAGAAAACAGCGAGAGGAGAGAGCACTTAAGAAAGATGTCATAAAACGTGAACGAACAATGAAACAAGAGGAAGACGCTAGATTGCATGACGCTACTGAAGCTATCCGCACTACAGGGTTCTCAGACTCCGAATCCGATTAATCCAAGGGATTTGCTAATAATTCCTGATAGCTTTCCTGGCACATCACTTAGAATAAAATTCAAAATATAATATTGTGATTCTGTTGTCCGTTTCCAGCTGTGAGGTGAGCAGGGTCCCCATTGGGTAACACTATTCTCAACGCTCCGTTACCGCACCTTGAAACTCACAAAATGCAAACCATGCATGTCCAAATCGTAATCGACCCCAAAACTCCTCATGCATCAATTTTCCCACTCATCTATGACCCTCTCCCCAACCTCCATCTCAGCCCCCCGATTGAAATAAATCAAAAAGGTTTGCCACCCAATCGGAATCACGTCCAAGAAAAGAATCGTGTATTATGTATCTATAAACGTTAAAGTAAAAGCGGCAATCGTAGGCCGGCCATATTTACAACAATTTAATATGCTAGTTGGAAATGTTCTTTTGACAATTTTACATTCCGAGACTTCTAGAAGTGTATTTCCGGATAAGAGGATTTACATGCGGAAGAAACAGGTGTTGAAATGGGTGGTAAAGTAGACTTAGCTTACGAGGACTTTAGTAAGGAGGTAGAGGCTGCGAGAGGGGTAGTTGAAGTTAGAGTTTAGGAAGATAAACCTTTGATTCTGTATCAACTTTTACGCCTCAACCATTCTTGGGTGAAAATCTACCTTCTATAACGTGTTATCAAAACCCCAGCCCTAATCACGGATGCCCGTAAAGGTTCTCAATGGATTATAAGTATCTCAATTTATCTTTGGCGCCGAGAGATCGCCAAGGAAGTGTATTACTAGCGAACTGAAAAATTGGGTTGTATGTGGTCTTTCCTTTGACTACGTCCGAAAGGTTGGAAACCACGACTTAGAAGGCCTAGACATTGCCATGGTGAGAGTGCTGGGACAGTATTTGGGACTGGAGTTAAAGTTGCGTCTTCGGGTTTGCTGCTGAAGAGACTTTTTGGAAGGTGGAGTTTGAAGGCTGCCGGTTTGTGGATGATAGGTTCAAGAGAGGGCGAAGGAAGAAGACCATGCTGGAGGTTCATAGGGAGGAGGAATATGAGCATAAAAATAACATACTTATCTGTTTCCCTCTAAAATTTATCTCAGGAGATTTTTCTGAAATGGTTACAACCCTTCACGACTGAGGGCCTAGAAAGGGCTACTAACAACCAATTTGCAGTTTATATTTATTCTCCATGCCGATCTACTACCAGAAGTGAAATACAAGACGATGTTAAATCATGTATGTTTTTCAAAAGTAGCGATCATTAATCCCTCTCTGTTTTGTATTTACTTGGAGTTTCACCTGCCATAATATTGGTATTTGTATTTAGTGAATGTCTTAAATGGTTGCATTAACACATGCTCTACAAGTTTGGTGCTAAATTTGTCCAAATTACTGCATATTCTACAGCTGTCTATCTTTCGTACTCGATTCCTCTCCGACGTTCATGGTATTATGGTACTATCCCGATTAACTTCAGATGACCAGTAGCGCTTCGAACTACCATTTTGTTTCTGTGAGATCCCACGGCAGATCTTCGTCGCTAATCTCTGCGCAGAGGAATGTTGAATGGTAAACACTGTTTTCGCAGGCCAGCCCCTCCTCTGCTAATATCAAGCGTCAAGTTTGACCTCATCATATTATGCAAATGTACGTTTGCCTCTCCAGGAAAAGGCACAGTGGTTACCAATTCGCGGTAGAAGCATGGCATGTTGATATTCCAAATAACACCTGGCCTGGTGCTAGCTTGCTGGCTGTATCGTGCACACCGCGCTATGTCTTTGTCACGCTCGACTGATCGTTCGTCATCTTTACTATTAAGTTCTAGTAGACTCTGAAAGAACTTTCCGCTCTTTGCCAGAATTCCATCGTATGCTTTCTGGCAGATACCTTTCAGAATAGGATCATCTAGATTGAGAAATTGAGGTGCATTCCATGGTCCCGTTGAGTGGATAACACATTCTTTGAACAAGACTTTATTCCTCAGCTTTGTCGAAATCTTCAACAGAGCAATACAGTTCGCCGGAATGATGGAAATGAAATTCAAACCGTCCAAGAGGGCGTAGGAGACACCTTTTGCTAAAATTGGTAGAGCTCGATAGTAGTCGGCTAGGTCGGTTGCTATTTGCAGATTTCGTACAGATCTGAAACGGATTCTTGTTCGATACATGGCATCTAATAAGGTATAGAATGCTTCAATTTGTTCATCAATGTCATGAATATAAGTTCGCTCGCCCTCGCGCTTCTGGGAAATTAGCACAAACTTTCTTTTTGAACTTTATCAATTAAAGGATACGTACAAGGGATTTCTCCCATACCAAGCACCAGCTTCCATCTTCATCCACATGCGTAATCCATTTGTATCTGATGCCTTCCTGAGGGAAAGCGCTCTGATCTTTCTCCGATGAGTCGAGAAAGGCGCGGAAAAATTCGGAATGCTCTTTTAAGATTTGAGAATGGACTTCGAAAGTTTGTGTAAAGACGCGAAGATGTGTGTCTGGCTTTTCCAGTCCAGAAAGGAGGTCAAATTTCTCGATTTTGCGTATTGGAATAGCGGTCATGGTTATGGATTGCTGAGAGTGTTGAGCAAGGAGATCTTGCTGGGAGTTTTTCTGGATTGCGTAGGCTTGAAGCTATGGATTGGAATCATGACAGACTTTACATAAAGTATTTCGCTCAAAGAAAGTGCAAATTCACTACTTCACCGAAAAAGTCTTTGCTGTCCGTAAAACAGAACATCCCCGCTGTGTTCCTCGTGATTATAGTCTGTCGTGAACACATCATCGTTTTCGACAACATGAACTAAGGATATGAGTTTAAGGTATCAGGTGAGTGAATCGTATGTCAAAGCTTGATGATACGATGATGCGAAATGATATTGTCTAGTGACGAAGCTGTCGGGCATCTGATGTTGACCTTGTGTAGCCATTAGCTCCACAAGGTGAGACTAGAAGATTAACAACACGAAGTTTACATCACACCTCTCAAAATATTGTATCAATTTTCATCCTTCGCTAACCAAAAAAATTAACTAGCGAGCGGTATCTTCCGGTCAAAGCTTGTCTTAGAATACTCCTCTCATCTTCTTGAAATATATTGTCAGCCCTAAGGGCTCGGCATGCCCAAGTGCTAGTAACGAAGTCACAGCTTCCGTCAAATATATACCTGTTTTTCAAGTCCTCTACCATTCCTACAAGTCTTCTCAGACTATCTGCTTCCAATTACGCTACTAGTCAGTCTACTTAATATCCCACGGAAGGTCTTCATCATCTATCTCCGCACAGAGAAAGGTGTCTTAATACATACCAGGTTGGCCGGGGCGATCATTACTCTAGAAGTATCTTGGACGACTTAATGAACTTCCTATACCTTCTTTAGAATAATTAACGCGAGCGTTTTGTGCAGCAACCCATAGTAGCCTTGCAATGGCATTGAGTCCAAAAGATCCTTTTAAAGACAAGGTCTCCTACAAAAGTTCTCCAAAGAATTGGCCGACTTTCTTCTAGATACCGTTGTATGCGAGTAAGCAGAGACTCTTAAGGACGGGATCCTCAAAAGAATCGAACTTTAGCTAAATCCAAGACCCAGTACAGTGAACCAATGCCTCTGTAAACAAGGGCCGGCTTCTCGATCTGATTGAGAGTTTCAGCCACCTTTCACAATCCGTAGCTATAGAAATTTTTAAGTTGTCACTGTTCGAGACAATCGTTTCCAGAACGGCGGATAGCGCTGGAAGTGCATGAAAATAGCGTGCTACCATCATCGTTCTTTCCAGATCAGCTATCGAAAGGATTACTAGCTTCTCATAATACCCTGGATACATTGTCTCAAAGAAGACAATTAGAGACTGGTGTAGCTGTTGATCGGTCCCATGAATGAATTTATTGTTGTCACCACCGTGAGCGACCGTGAACTTTGGCTTTGATGAATTAAGAACGCTGACCACAACAAATGTGTTCTTGGAGACTTACCATCGAGCTTTTGGGCTGCAAATACCAAATACCCTCCTCCTTGTCAACGATTGCAACCAATACGAATGTTGGCTTCTCTACCCCATATAGATTTTGATCTTCGTTTTTCATCATAGTTAAACGGTCCTTGAATACCCTAGATCTGCTCATGAGAATCTCAGAATGAACATGGAGCGGTCTCCCTAGAACGTTGTGACATTCATCTTCTTCATTGTAACTCCGCCCAAGGACGTGAATTTGTGTGTCTGCTCCCTTTCTATGATATCTGAACTCTTTGGGTTCCATGGTAGACGGCATTGGGAGCTTAGTATATTGATACAAGTTGATCAGCTTAAATCAGGATCTTGTCGGAGATAGACATAGTAGGAGACCTGGGAGCGACTGTTTATATATAAGGTGGAATCCACTGGAATCGATAGCCAAGCTCGTGCAACCTTTTTGGTCGGTGGTTGTCTTAGAAGTTTTCCATGTTAGTGATTTTACACGAAACACCACCTGTACATGCATACTTTCGTCCAACTCAGTCATTTGCGGCACGTAATTATGTTGCATGGGTCAAACGCGGGACCAAATCCATCTTTTGGTGTGTGGAGAGCTTTGCGAATGGGTTTATTTCTGATCCTCATTGACAGAACTTGATCGGTACCACCGATTACAATTTTTGCCCCCGGAATAGCTCCACATTTGGCTCCCTTATATGAGCTGAGTCAATCCAGCAGTGGGCTGAGTAATACCCCCTTTTGAAAGTCCGCTTGAAAACAGGAATCAAAACGATAAAACAAACTTTTACACCCAATGTACCTTCCCTCATTTGACTCAAAAGGAAACAAAACCATAAAGTCATTGTTGGTTGGGACTTCAACAAGACCGGAAAGAAAGTGACAACAAAACGTTCCCGACCTATGCAAGTCAAACCACCCCTGATCACACTGACTCTCAATTTGACAGCTATCGGCAGAAGTATCAAGCAATTCGAAGGTATGGTCGCAGCAAAATCTCGACTACTGAACAAAGAGTGCGTAACTGCATAGGACAAGACTGGAAGCGCTCGGTAAAAATCAGTCAATTCTGTGACTAGACCCAGTTGAGTGGTGGAGCTCAATTTGATAGGTCTCCTATAAATCGCTTGCAAAAGGGTTTCAAAAGCTCGAATTTGTTCCCTCTCGTCACCAGAATATTGGTAGCTGCTGTCATTTTTGACCTAGTACAGGATTAGCATGAATTTTCCGATCTGCTCCAATCTTTTCTTGGAGACCTACTAAAGATTTTTCCCACACCAACAACCACCCATCACACTTTTTTGCATCGGTTCCTGTGTCTTGTTGATCAAGCTGCGTAACCCATTTGTATCTGATTCCGCCGCCTTGAGGAAAATCGTCTTCGCTTTTGTCGGGTGAGTCGAGGAATTTTCTGAAGTATTCGGAATTCATTTTCAGAACCACGGAGTGGACGAGGAAAGTTTGGCCGAAGACCTCGAGATGTGTGTCTTGTGGCTCGCCACCTGGCAAGGAGAACTTGATCGGTGGCAGAAGAGCAGGAGACGCCATGTTGAGTGTTGTGCCGTGTGGTTGGGGTTGAATTGTTGATTGTTGTGATTCAAAAGAGAGGAGAACGCGAAACAGATCGGAAAGAAGTCGACAGATGAAGTCAGGGTTCCAATTTTTTTTGGCAAGATCGATCAGACAAGATTGCGGGTGGTTTCAAAGGTGAAGTTCTCCGAAGAATAGGGGTTTGGATGATGGCTAATTCGCAGCTATTTTTAAAGCGATTACGGATTTCCGATTTTAACATTGCGCCGTTTTATGGGAATAAGTTGGAGCCTCCTGAAACTTTTGGATCCTGCTAATCACTCTCATTACTTGAAACTTCATTACCGCAAGAGCAGTAAAGCCATTAGATTTACACTGATTGGTTCGATTCTTGAGAGTGTTAGCCTTATACAATCATGATGTTCATGCTGATCTCATATGGACACGTCAAAGGTTGCTAAACGCCGTGCCCTAACGCTTTCTGACTTTCGCATCTAGCACCAGATTATTGCCCTTCTTCGACAACAATGCCCAATTTTTCCAAGCAACTCTCAGGAATCTCTACCTCAAAACCTTCCGTACTGATCAAACTTTCGACGGCTCTTGACAGACATGGAATCGCAATAAAGAACTCAGCCAAGACAATTGCTAGCTCTAGGAAATCGACGCATGACTCTGTCAAAGGTTCAGAGTACATTGAACGCAAAAGTATATCAAAAGCTATGATATTTTTCAGCTCATCCCCAACAAACTTTCTCTCCTTCTCCTCTTCCGTCTTCATATCAATTAGCCGAATGCTTTGATATCTTTTTTACTGCTTCACTTACCACCGATCTTTCCCACTCCAAAGACCATCCTATGAGCTGCTTGTGTGGTCGACCATTTGCCTCCTTCTTATCAACATGTGTAATCCATTTATACTTTGATTCTTCTCCTTGAGGAAAATCCTTACGTGTCTTGAATTTGGGATCGAAGGATCGTGCGAAGTACTCGGAATGCTTTTTCAGTACTGAGGAATGGCAGTGGAACGATTGGTTGAAGACTTGAAGTTCGGTGTCAAGATTTTTGAATGGGTAAGCCATCACTATTGGTTCAGGAGTGGGTGAGTTTGCCATTTTGTTATGAACAGCTTTACTGGCAGTCAGATTTGTCAGGAACTATGCTTACGGCTTCTGCGCTGAGAGTTTTGAGATGGTGAAATGTATTTCTTATGATTGAAGACTTGCAACTCTATGGTAGATAAATAATCAATTTAGTTTTGGCAAGCAAACTCGGCTTGGCTTCATATGAAAGGATGTCTGTTTGCTAAGTTCTTACGCCTTCTGCTTCGAACTTTTGATATTGGTCAATGAATGTATTCGCCTTTACGTGAAATGACATCTGTTTGATCCTGCCACAAAGAATCGGACGCATTTTTGATTGTACGCCTTCTCATACCATATCTTCCATCCTAACATCCAATAAACTTACAAACAAACTCTAGCAACATTCTACTATGCCTCTAGAAGAAAGGATTATTTGATGAGAGTGATCTGCAATCTAAGTCGAGTTTCTCGACTTTTCCTAAGAAAACAGCTCCAAATAATCCGTGCTTTCCACCTCAATGCCCAGAAACGTATGCTGAAAAATGCCAGGCTCGCCTGATTGATCTTGGTCCCTATGGAGAAGCAAATTAGAACGCAACACAAACTCCAGGAGCTGCTTAAAGTCATCTGGGAGCTCATTTCCAAATATATTCAGTATTGCACAAAAGTTTGTGGGCAGGCAGATCTCGTTCTTGTCATTATCTCCATAGTAGAATTCTTAGACACCGTCTGGCATCAATTTCCAATTCAGTTTCAGTAGCAGCGATTCTTTGTTGTTGAACTTGCCAGTGGTTGAACCATACTTAAAGATCTCGGCGATTGTGTTGTCCATGCGTTTTACTGCCTTTTAAACGACATCGGCAAGTAACAAGTCGTTTTTGGATTTGTTGTCTACTAAGACGTAGTATCGCGGCTGCTTTCATGGGCCAGGGGCATCAATCACGAAATCTCTAAAAAGAACCTGGTAGCCTAAATTCTGCGAACAACGTAAAAGCTCTATGCAGTTCTGTGGTATATTCTGCGAGAATTCTGGTTTCTTAGATAGTTGCAAAGTGTGGATTGCTCCTGAGATTTTCCGAATCGCGCCAAACCGATATGTTAATTTGGTCAGAGAAGTCAGTTGGGCTATTGGAATAATGTTGAAATACTTGTCATACAGTACTTTGAACAGTAATATCAGCTGCCAGACAGGAGATTCTCGGCTAGGGGTCTTGGGTCGCTATTCGATCTTCTTCCTTCGTCAACATTAGTAAAATATCAGCAAATCGAAAACCCATTTTACATGTCGGACATACCGTAAAACGCTTCCAAGAAAGAGGGTTATCTGTTTGGTCTTCCCTAAAATAACAGAAAAGTCTATATTCCAATTTTGTGCTTTGGTCAGCCCTACTACCATCGCCATCTAGGAATTGCATCTTATTTATAAAAAATTCAGAGTGCTCTTTAAGAATCGGGGAATGAACATAAATCGGTTGGTCGACTAAGATGAGTTCAGTGTCCTGTTCTTTGGAGCCCATAGAGAATTCTGTTCGGATGCTTTAGGCAGGTTGGAGGTGGCAGGTTGTTGGGTGAGATGTGGTCACAGAGAAGAAATATACCTATGTATCCAATGAAGTCGTCGTTGAATCAGTGTGAATCACATTCATTGGACGGAGCCACATGCAAAGGATCAATATTTATATCAGTGGCGTGGCAAACATAACCAGTAAGACTCATTGTGATTTATATTGACATAGCGGCATGGCTTTCAATAGTCATGAAGCTGTTAGCTGTTGCGGTAACGGTACAACCTTTTTTTATATGGGGAGATTCATGTTGAATGAGTCATGTTACTGATGCAATGCTGCTGGAAATGCTGTGATGGTTTGGACGAGCCTACCATCTAGTGTTCCAACATCTTAAATAATGACGCATCGCCACACTTCTTCAAAATCCGCTAAATTTCTGTACCCGAAAGCCCTCCAGACATTCCATGCGTAATTAGAACAGTTTCTATGAACAAAGCCCCGCGAAGGAAGATACCCTACCAATCTTTCTCATGAATATCCCAAGGGAGTTCCCCGTCGCTCACCTCAGCACACAAAAACGTATCTTGAAAAAGCCCAGGGTCGCCAGAAATGTAACCGCTTCCATCAAGAACCAAATTGGTAACGAAAAGCGCCTCGAGAAGCGACCTGCAATCTTCTGGGAGCCCTTGACCATACCATCTCAGAACTCTACGGAATGTCACTGGCAGACAGAGGTTGCTGCCATCTTTTAACCCTCCGGGCTCGATACTGCCTGCTGCATTTTTCATTTCCGCATTCAGCCTCTCAAAGAGTCTGTATCTTGGATCCCGCGCCTCAAGATCCGATCCGTATTGAAAAAGCTCATCAACCTTTCGCACGATTTTTCGATATGCTTTGTCAGCTACGGCATGCAGAACTGGGTCATCCAAGTCCAAATACAAGGGTCTGCGGAAGGGTCCAGTGGATAAAATGATGCAGTCTCTGAACAACACCTCGTCTCCAACAAATGCGATATCTTGAGTAGTTCTAAATACCGATTTGGTATTTCTGCATGAAACTGGACTTCGTCAAATAGCGAAGATGCGCTAACAGCCTTTGAGACCCTTGGAAGCGCGCCATAATCATGTGCCAGGTTTACCAGATAGTTCAACGTGGGGACGGAATCTATGAACAAGGGCCTGTCATGTAAGGCGTCCATGAGTAGAGTATAATACCGTTTGTGATGATCTCTTTGTTGATAGTTATTACTCTCATGTTGAGTTATCTGGCTCCCGATTAGCAAAGGTATTTTAACATGAATGGCCAGTTTATTGATGCACATACTTTGCAACCGCTCAATCTAAGACCCCATCCTGTTCCATCTCTCCCTACTCCGCCTTCTTTAAGAATGGAGTAGAACTTGTATTTAATCCCGCTATTGTCTGCAATGATAATGTTTCTTTGATCCGCGTTTTCGATTCTCTCCTTGAAGAGCCGAGAGTGTTTCTTGAGAGTCGCAGAATGAGCATAGAATATCGTTGTAAACACCGAAATTTCCGTGTCTGGCGGGAGACTAGCCAGATAACCCCCTTTTGGCCGAGAAAATGGAACAGGCGTCAAGCTCGTCGGATATCTGGCTTGTGTGTTGTCGGACGAGTTGCCCTTGGCTGTGTAACGGAATCCGTGGGATGCCTGTGCAAAACATTGCGAAGGAACCTTGTTTCCAGGATCTGGCTTTATTGATGGTAATATATTCATATTTCTATGATGAGTGAATGTTATGCGAAATTTCAAAACTGCTTTCTCCAAACAAAGCTGGATGACTAGGTCCATGGTCATTTCATTCGCGCCTTCCCCAAACAAATCATCCCAATAATTTTCGTTTTGCTCGTTCGTGGGTAATTGAAATACAATGTTCGAGTGCGATCGACTTACGATAATGAGCTTCCTGTACAGGGGTGTGTTTGTCACTTGATGGGAATACGAACAATCACATCAATCAATCCAACCACAGCACCATTGTCCTCCAGAGTTTCTTCGCATCCAGACAAACCACCATCAAAGAAAATGACCATAATACAAACAGGACATATGACTTGTTATTCTCAAAACCGAAGTTTCTTTCAATTTCATCCCCGCCGTCTTATCGCCAAACATATAGAGTTATTATCTACCAAGCATTCTCTGGGTCTGAAACAGTATTTGTTGATCCTACATGTACAACCAACGAGTAGACATTTATCTGGGTTCATTTGGCCCAGAAACTATTTATTATCCCACCACATCTTTCATTATCTCTTCATATCCACACAAATACTTGACGAACAACACATGTTCAATTCCTCACTTGGACTTCCAAAGGCCCTATTCTCTGTCCCCCTTATAACCCATAATCACTAAGTGCGCTGGAAAAGAAACCATCATCGAAAATTATTCAAATAAACAGACTTCGCTGAAGGACTTTTCAACCATCCATACATCTACTAAGCAGCAGCCACCAAAAACACCATCTTCGCTGTATCAATCATATCTCCACTCTCCATTGCGCACTCCATTAATCATCATCTTCCTCCCATGGCAAGTCTTCATCTTCGATATCCCCACAAAGAAAAGAGTTGTAGTAAGCTCCCCCTTTTTGACCTGACCTCCAATCCGACACGTCGAATTTCAGCTTATTTGTGGTGAGTGGTTGCATGACACCCAGTAGCGATCTCGGAATTTCTAATCGTTCTATACCATCGGCTATAGCTCGGAAATACGCTGGGATGACAGTACGACCAAGAACGTCTCTGTGTTCGGTCGCCATTCTGTAAAACTTCCTATATACATCTAACCAAGCTTGTTCCTCCTGCCCAAAATGTACCGCTTGATCCAGCAGCTCTGTGTGAAACTGACCCAGCTTTTGTAGGATACCATCTAGCGCTCTTCCTGCAACAACGCGAAGTGTCGGATCCGTTAATTTTTCGAATCGTGGCGCGTTCCAAGGTCCAAGCGAATGAATCAAAGCCTCCTTGAACAGAAGTTTGTGCTTTAATTTCCTGGCGATTGCCAGTACCCTGCAGCACTCTCCTCGAAATGAAATTGTAACTTCAGGGCTTCGGAGTAAACCACCTTCCAGCGCGCGTGATAGGGCCGGAATACAGCGGTAATAGTCTGCCAGTTCCGCGCAAAGATTAAGATGATCTAGCGAGTTGAAACGAATCGGGTTTTGGTACATCGCGTTTAGAAGGGTATCAAATGCGGCGATTTCTTCTTCCTTAATCCCAGTGAACTCTGCCTGATATTCGTCTGGCACCTGCGAGTATCTATAAGCATGTATCCGCCAACCAGCGATTGAAACGGCATAAACCAATCGCACATCCTTTGGGCTTCATACCGTGTTTTGTTCAGCAGTAAGCGACCATGATCCGTCGTCATCAATTTGAGTGACCCATGAGTACTTGAAGGCGCTCATCGGCTCGGCACGCTTTTTGTCCGGCGAATCAAGGTATTTGTGAAAGAATTCGGAGTGGGCTTTGAGGATGACGGAGTGTATATGAAAGATCTGTTCGAATACTTGGATTCGCATATCTGGCTTCATGCAATGAAGTCTGAATACAAGTGGCTTCAACCGCGCGAAGTCATGCTCGGTACATGAGAGCGACATAAGGAAAGATAATTTGGAAGGACCAAGATTCTGACGAAGAGGCGACTAGGGGGTGAAACCTGATGAATGAAAGCTCGCGAGGCCTGCTAAGAATGTTCAGCTCGGGAGGAAGATATCTGCAAACAGGTTTGTGTACTTAAAAATTTTGGGGTTGAAAATTATTAGTGACTTGTGAGTAGACTCAGGTCGACTAGATTAACTATACAGTCGTGCGAACTGAGGAACCCTGGATCCGTGTTCTGGAGTGACTGCTAAGATATATCTGCCGTCAAGTATGTCAGCACCAGGGGAAATCCTAAATGTCTAGAATTTATACTGACCTGCGAGTATTCTCCTGCCAACGTTAAGTGACGCCCCGGAACGTAAACACAAGATGGAAGATCCGCGAAGATGAGTGACGGTATATCTGACGATGCCGAGTAGTTGGTGCAATGTTGGGTAAAATTGATAGAAAAAAAATAGGGCTGCTGTAGGAGGTTCTGCTGACGATACAGTGATGTAAAAGTCTGGTAGGTATGGGAGGGAGGTGAGGTTTGAGCACGAGAAGCACGAGGAGGCGCTAGTCGTTCCCAAGCGTCCTTGTCACATTTGGTTTTTAGAATCGAGGGAAAGAGCGACCAGAGATTGATAAATGCATTAAGTAAACAACACCAGTAAGGGATGGACGAACTCGGGAGATTAGGTTACCTACAGGACCAAGGAAAGATGCCTAATGCAAGCTGCCTTACAACGTTCTCAACGTCCCCCAATTATCCACCACACATGCATAAACTGATACTCCTTCACACCAGAACAAAACACCATGCAATATCCATATCCATCATCATCATCATCGTCATTGTCGGACTTTGTCGTTTGGACGAATGCAAAGGTAGCTCTTGATTACAAGCCACTACCATTGTATCCGATCAAGTTCAATGAACTCTTTACATCCTTGACCTTGCCGGATGTGGCAAGGGCCTTGATGCGGGCTACGACCGCGGCAGGAGTAGCAAGTCCCTCAAGAGAGATCAGGTAGGCAGCAAGACCAGCGATGTGCGGGGTGGCCATGCTGGTGCCGCTGATGGTGTTGGTAGCAGTTGGTGCACCGATCCAAGCGCTAAGGGTATTGACACCGGGTCCCCAGACGTCAAGGAGACTGCCGTAGTTGGAGAAGGAAGCGCGAGTATCTGCTGAGTCGATAGCGCCGACGGTGATAGCGGAGGGCTCAGAAGCTGGGGAGTAGTTCGAGATGTTACCGTTGGAGTTTCCGGCAGCGACCGCAACAGTTACACCGGCGGAGACGGCGCCAGCCACTGCTGAGTTGACAGCAGCTGAGAAACCACCACCGAGAGACATGGTAAGAACAGAGTTTGGTACGGCGTTATCAGCAACCCATTGAATGCCAGAGATAACACCAGCGAATGTACCGGATCCATTCTTGTCGAGAACTTTGACGGCTACAAGCTTGGCCTTCTTGGAGATACCGTAGGTTTTTCCAGCAGCTGTGGCAGCGCAATGAGTTCCGTGGCCTAAAAAGCGTGGTGTTAGCATGTGTATTGAACATGAGTGAAGACAGGAACATACCGTATTCGTCAGTGTCTGGCGAATCAGGAATGAAGTTAGCACCCCAGCTGGCACGACCTTCAAACTCCTCGTGCTCAAGATAGACACCAGTATCCACAACATAGATGGTGACTCCAGTACCAGCAGAAGAATCATACACATAAGTCGTAGTTGAAGAATTTCTGTGGGAAATTCGACCAAGACCATAGGGAGCACCTGTTTGGGCTAGCGTATCATACGCCTCCATAATGCCGTTCTTCTCAATGAAGGCCACCTTTGATAGTTAGTAAAATCCCAAAGTGTAAGAGGACATCACTTACCTCTGGGGAGTTTGCAATAGCAGCAATAGTCTCTGAATCAGCGGAAACCTCGTAACCTTGAAAGCCTGGAAGATCAAAGGTAGCTCCAACTCCAGTGGTCTCACGCTTTGAGATCAATGCAGCTACAGTCTGCTCGTGGGTCGCAATGACATCGGCAGTGACATCCTTATTGTAAACAACAATGTAACTGTCTGCCACAACGTCTCGAGCTTCGGAGTTTCTGATCTTGAGATGAGGAGTTGGGGTGGGTGCGCCGAAGACCAAAGGAACGACGAGTGCTGCCACAGCAGCAAGCTTTGCAAAGTAAGGAGCCATGATGGAAAAGGTTGAAGTGATTTGCTTAATGAAGCTTGCTTTTGGAGTTGAGACTGTCGATGATGAGGAAAGGAAGAATTTGAAAGGGAATTTGTGCCACCTTTATAGAAATCAAACACCGAGCTTATGATATCTTACGAACTTACAACCCTAGCATCGACCAATTTTGCTGTTGTACAATCTCACCGAGAAGCAAGGTCGCATGCACGAACATCATTGTAAATGAATTGGCAAAGGCAGACTCGAAGACTTCTAAGCAACCTTCCTAGATAGTGGACACCCATGAAGATCTCCCTTCTCAATCCAAAGAATGAATCGCCGTCTTCTTTTCGTACTTGGAGAGTCATTTGATGAAATAACCTTGGCAAGCTCAAAGAAGACTGGGATCCAACGCGGTGCAGGCAGATCATAGGATGGCGAGGAGGTGAGGATGCTGCATAACGGCTACGCTAGAAGCCAAAGAACAATCGAATGCATAGAAGCAAGACAGCTAACCACCCCCCTCTGCCGATCCTAGCCACAAGTGCCGAGGGGGCTAGGGCGAAAAGATAAGACCACTTACTCTTGTGAGCAGAGCATGTTAGGCATTGCACGCCATCGAAGTTGTATAGCGCATCATCTCGCCCAAAATAGGAATGTAGCAAGCTTACTACCTATCAAGATTTGTAGCAAGGCTGAGATGATTCCAGCTGTTGCTTGTAGCCAAGATCTCGATTTGAGAAACGCAAGGGAACGTCAACCTCGTGCAACGAGCAAAGCCGTTAGAAAAGAGCGCACCGACATCCATGAGTGTCTGCGATGTTCGTCAAGAACATACATGTGCTTCTGGACGCTTCCAACCTGCCAATTCTGGTCCAGAGTCCGAATGTCTGTCCGACTGTACGTTGGACAGCTTTGATGAACCTTACCAGAAGTTGTAGATGTTTCAGTGATGGACATCCCGATATGTGCCTCGGTTCCTACTTGGACTGCCCGATACCCGCATCTTTCCCAAGCTCTTTCACCATGTGTAACACCTTCGCTTGTATGTTGTCGTTGCTCTATCGTTGCTCGATTCGTGCCCTTCATGGCTCGTTCGCTCGATAACGCTGCGTCACGCCCAACCTCATCTCAACGACGACATCGAGAGCTTATCACGGTAGCCTTGCTTGGCGGCATGAGGTGCGGACATACCCCATACAGGGCGAGGACTCGAGAATGCTTGAGGTTGCGTGCGTTCTGCAGAGGCATGGAAGTCTGCCAAGGTAAGGCGTAATGAAAAACGACCGGTGGGATCCAATCGACGGACGTCGCGGTGGAGGTTTCGCAGGTCGGCGTCTCGATGGAAGGAGCTCGAGGGGTGGGAGGCAACGTTGTGGTTGCAACACGATTGTTGTTGATGGATGTGAAGGATGCGGAGGATGTGGGAGAAGTATGGTTGTTGTTGACGAATGAGGTTTGAATCTCGGATATTTCTTTGGCGTGGACGCTTCCGCTTGGTCTCGCTTGTGGAATACCGGACCCCCCTTGACCACCTCCTGGGATAAATATATGTAGAGCCATGTCCTGGTCAACATCTTCCTACGCCGAGAGGTTATTGCGAAGACCGATCGTTAGAAGGTGGCCGCAGTGAGAATCAGAAGTATGGAGAGTAGATGAAGTAGATCTTCGTGAGTCAAATTCGGAGTCGCCTACATCTGACATACTTGGGATTTCTGCTTGTCGTCTTGCCTCGGATGCCTCCTTGAGCATTTAGGAGCACTGCTTCTGTTACTCGGCATATTTTCATCTCGGCAACTTCCTCATACCTTCGTTGCGTGATATCTATGGAAGCTCGCGATCAACCCGCAGCAATCCTAGGATCTCGACTTACATGAGCCCTCATGCAGAGACATTTCTGCTTGGCGGTGTCATGGATAGCTATGCAGAGAATATCAAATTGTCACCGTACGTACAGTCTCACTCCCAAAGACGATGTCCGCCAGATGTTATCGTTGTGATTAATTTGTTTGACAGTTGTTTTCTGTTGCATTACTCAGCGCTGCTGTTGAGCGGTAAGTCTCTGGCGTTGGAGCCTCTGACGATATATTAAAAATTGATTAATTTCGTCAGGCGGTGCAAGACCTGCCTCTTACAGAACATGTATCTAACCTCGATTCGCCATCGTTGGGTTCAGTTGTGAAAGAGAGGGTGTGCTTCTTATTTAAAATGATAAGAAATGGTGAGAATGCTACGCTTTGAGAAATCAGGCAGCAGGTCGGATTCAATGCCCAAGGAGAGATAGATTGACAAGTCTGTTGAATCGAAGTCGTCGGAAATGTTACATCGTATTAGATGGCCGTGTACAAAGACGAGCAGCGCCGACATCCGCACGTCCGGCTGGCTCAAGGCAGAAGCGTGAAGAGGGAAGTGCTGCGGACGCCATTGACCTCGCCGTCGTCGATTTGTGAAGCTTCGAAAGTTTTATCGCAAGATATCATGATTCTGATGTTGTGCGACTGCTGGCGACGGGTCTGTAGGAACACCCGAGATCTCAACGAGGATCGCTCTCTTTATAGTGCAGTTCACGCGTGGAAGTTGATTGTCAGAGTGAGGCTAATTACTTAAGCCTCTTGGCTATATCACAGAGAGTTTTCCCGTCATTTACAGACTCCCAGCTGTTTGGAGGCGATTCGGAAGTCGGAAGAAGCTTCATATTGCGATAAATTAGAAGCGGGGTTGAACTCTGAGGCTCATCGGGTAATTTGAAAGATCTGGAGGTCTTTCTTAGAGCTGAACTTCAGTGTGTTTGAGTACTGATACTGGGATGAAGCTGCGAAATAGCTCTAGTTCAAGAAGATATGCTTCTAATGATCGTGCTCATTATGAGTGCTGTAATGCTTCTCGCGGATGTTGTTGTCTAAATCTTGCTGCAGGAAAGAGGCGCGAAATCGACATCCTCGCAATTCGCAGAAAAGTACCTAGGATCTCTTGTCACAAAATCCACAGAGTACCAGAATCTCACAACAATCGTGGGCCTTCTTCAAAGTCTTCGCTACCTCACGGCGGTATTCTACACCGAGAGGAGACCAAAAAGATGAGCTGGCTCCACCGACGCCGTTACCTCACCTCACCTCACCGCGTCTTGCGTGAGGAAGACATTGAGCCTGAATGTCATCCCCCACGCGGTTCACGGATATATCCAGAAGGGAACAACTTTATTGCGGAAAGCACAAGGAACTCTGGCGCGGATACAAGAGTTAGCTCTTGAATTATGGCCTGTTTGGCAGATCGTACATGATGGTAGTCATTCCTCAAGTCTGATTTTGGTGCGAACGTTTGCCGCAGCACACTGTGGCTTCCTGCTTCCTCTGTAACGATTTTCAGAAAGAGTACTATCTTACCGATATTAATGATCCAACCCACCTGAGGAATTCGGACGTATATTCACTCTTGCGGAGGCTTTTGAAGCGACATTCACTGTCTCTCAAGATATTGGTGCAAGCTGCGGAAGTCAGCTTTTGGTTCATCAATGTACGGATTACGGAACAAGTTTGATCCTCAACTGAAGCTCAAATGCCTAAAGACCTCTTGAGGGCAGATTGTCCATCTGAGTAAGCACTCGGCACGGAAAAGCTATGAATGACTACGAGTCTCGAAACGAGAATACAAGGGGACCTAGTCACTGTCATGATTGGAAAGCCAAGGAATGGCAATTATCATGAATACGACAACCGATGCTAAAGTTCTATTGACGATTTTGTTCGAAAGACGAACATCAAGCTCATCAGTAGTAGGCCCATTGCGGCTTCTACCGACTTGCAAACATGAGCTATGGGTTTTGTATGACCGCCAGAATCAGAAAATATAGATAACCGCCCCAAAAACAGTTGGTTTACACGTATAACACTAACGAAAGTCGAAAATTATCGCTCAGGACGGCCTCAACACAGCCTAGCAATATCTTTAAAGTTGGGTGGGTTTCTTGAATCACCTCGCCAGATGTCAAGTGACCACAATTTTCACACATGTGTCTGGTGAACATTATAAGAACAGTGAATATAAGAAGATCGATGAATATGAAGCCCAAACCAGCCCATTCGGAAAGTGTTAGCGAGAGCAAATTATTCAATTTCGCGTGCTGTCCTCACTTTCTCTGCTATTCATGATTCCGACAATACTAATCGAGGTTAACATGTTTATTGCTATGAAGCTTCTCACCTTTAACAAGTCGCGACCACTTTGACAGACAGCCAGAACTCGAACCAGCCATAACGCAACATGATATCATTCTGGACAGCGGGCCTGGGTTTGGGTCTTTTCATTCCACTGACTTCGGGCCATGGACACAGACGATGGCAGAATGTAAGTCGACATAATAGCATGGTAACTGTCATGCGTGCGCCAGTACTCGCCGAAAACAGAGGAGGGCCAGATAGAATTGCGACGTTATCCTGCATATCTCCTGCTGTTATTTTTGAGGGTTAGTACAGATAAATCTGGTGCTGGAATGATGCTGATAGTTGGCTACAGGTAGTTGCTGCACCTCCCTTAACCCAGGAGATTGTCAGGTTATGACCACGACGGGAGTCTTAGTATCCAGCATGGTACCAAACTCCATAATTACCACGGCGACACCAGTTTGGGCAGCATCCCCGAAATCTGGCGAACCTACTGCATTACCTGGCCAGTCCACAGAGGAGAATACAAAAATTTCTCGCAGTTTCGAAAGTGCACGAACTCGAACGCAACTCTCTCGTGGAAGTATCACTACCGTCGTACCCACAAACCTCATCACGTCAATTGTAACAGAAGACGTGACGACACAGATCTCAATTACTCTGCCTCTACCACCATCATCGATTACCACCATAACAATATCACCAATTTCCACAACCTCAGTCCTTTCCACAATATCAACAACCACATCTCCCGCAACCAGCCCAACATCTTCACCAACAGCAGCACCAGCGCCACTAGCAACCCCTTCCACCTCAACACCCCCAAACAAAGCCGCAATAGCAGCCGGCACAACCATCGCCATCCTCTCCCTCCTCGGCCTCCTCATCTTCTTCCTCATCCGCCGCAAACGCGCCAACCCCTCCAAACCCCTCATCCCCTTCCTCCACCCCTCTCCCGGCTACGCACAATCCCGCTTCAAACACGGCCGCAAACTCCCCATCAACATCGGGTCCCCAACCGGCGTGCAAACCCTCAACGAGAACAACGAATGGGTACCGGGCATCCAGCCGCGCTTAGGATCCCTAAAAGCAAACTCGATATTGCAGCATCCGTCGCTGGTGGATGACGACGCGGTGAGGCTTGATTGGGAGCGCGACGGCGGGGAGTACAGAGATCATGTGCCGAGGACGTTGCAGCCGGGATGGTTTTCGCGGCCTGTGTCGCGGGTGATAGTTGAGGAGGAGGGGGAGGGGAGGGATATTCCGCTCAAGACTGTCTCGGAGGAGAGGGCTGGGGTACGGTCGTCGTATGTTGCGTATTCGCGGCCGGAATGAAGGCGGTTGCCGGTTGAGGGAGCGTGGCATGAGGTATTAGAATGGCGATTTGGTTTTGGGTTTGGATTAGGTATTCCTGGAGAGGAAACTTCGGATGCTAGGTAAATATCAATTAAGGCGTTAGGGACATTAGATGGTGGGTTTTATCTTTAGAAATTTAGTTGTTGGCGAGTTGTAATGTATTTATTGAGTATAATCCGAGGACCTTTCATTTATCAACATTGACTCAGTTCTAGGATATCGGGCCTTTTTGTCAATCCTCGTAATGGCATAGATAGGTGCTGTCGAAAAAGGATACTTGTTTAGGACATACAAAGCGCTATCGTGAATTTCGTCTGTCGAGCGAATTAGATATCGGGTGTTTCGTCTGTTCTAGGAGAAGAGAATGTGTTTCTGTATAGTGTTACTTACCTAGTTCCATGTTGCATTTTGATGAAACGATTGGGAGGCTCTACTACTTATTTTGACTTCTACGAATTGCCTTGTAAATCGTCCATCTGAAATTCATACTCGATTGATGAATATTGTATACTTTCTTCAGGTATGAATCTTTCCAGGTTCTTCCTAACCTCAAGCTGACACTCTGTTATCTCAGAACTGGATTTTAGTCGAGCTCTAGTCTTACACCAGTGTAGTTCTAGGGTCTTGATAAATCTATTTCTCTTCAGCATATATTATTTAAATTAACTCTCTAGGAGTCCTTACCGTTAACAAGGTATCGTAATTTTTTATTGATTAAGTTTTATAATTTGAACTCTTTTCTGTGTTGCTTTTGATATGTGGATATTAATCGCAATAGAAAGTCTACAGAAATCGTGTTCTGTATTCGCCCCAGTGATTAAATCAAGTAAATAGATGAAATACGGTATATCCTAACTTGAGGATTGTAGTCAAAATGTGCAATTACCACGCCAAGTGGTTGGCACCCCGCGCCTTAGCCGGAGCCCTCTAAATCAGGAATAGAAGCGCATATTCCTCTATCAAGTAACAAAACTCGAGCTTCCTGTTCTCGACAACCCAGAGTCATATCATTTACTCAGCGGCACAGTCGCTGCAATGCACCAATGACATCATGTCCATCAACCACAACACCCAAACACACTTATCCTAAGGTATATCCCAAACAATTACTCACATCTTTTGCTCAGTAAACCTCCCTCCCATCAAATCTTCCTATTACTGTTACAATGCGCAACCCCCCAAACCAGAACTCAACCGGTGGAGGACACCGCTACCCCGCACCGCATCTCTCACCCGCCACACCCCTCGACATCCCCGTGCTGGCCGAAGTCATAATCGCCGCGCACACCCAAGACCTCTTCGGCTGGCTGAGTTTCCCAAGCGAAGCCGACAAACGCAACGCCGTAGCGATTCTCATCAAAGACCTCGAAAAGGGGCTTGCGAACCCTGGGATCCGCGTTGTGAAAGCGGTGGATGTGGAGAGTGGGGAGATAGCCGCCGTCGCGGTGTGGAAGTTCCGGGGCCATAGGTTTGATGAGATTGAGGAGGGTCTTGATGTGTTGAGTTTGTTGTCTGGGGTGGGGACGAGAGCGGAGGATCCGCGGAAGAGGATGGGGGATTATCTCGGTATGAAGTTTTTGGAGTTTTTTACTGCGTGGTCGGATAGTACGAAACATCTCTATCTGGCGTTTTTGATGACAGCTCCGCGATTTCAGCGGCGTGGGTATGGGACGGCGTTGTTGAAATGGGGTCATGAGATTGCTGATAAGGGAGGGCTGCCGTTGTTTTTGGTTGCTTCGCCGGTGGGACATCCGTTGTATCTTCATCAGGGCTGGAAAGACGTGCATGAGTATATCAATCTGGATTTGAAGGAGTGGGTGGAGGGTGCTTCTGGGGGTGATCGCGGTTGGGGGACGTATACGTTTTATCCTATGATGAAATTGCCGGTCACTGGTGAGAAGGAGAGGTGATTGAAATTTCTGAGCGCAGTGCTATAACTGTCGGAGGTGGATTCAAGCAAGGAGGATTAATCTACTTAGCAGGAAGATATACTTGGTACTTTGAGTTGGGAACTGGGCGGCAGCATTGAAAGAGGTGGTACTCTTTTGCTCATTGGACTCCTAATCAGTTGAAACGGTGGCTGGCTGAAAACTAGTATATAAAAACTCATCTCTGGAAGCGAGAGGTGACTGTTTGAATTTGATAGATAAGATGGCTGAGTAAAGTTTATTCATAGCTGAACGAGAGAAGGTCTGTTGCGAGATTCTGACTTTTCTTGCACTGACTTTAGTATTGGACCCGGGTCCTACCCACGTGATTTCGAATTCCAATCCCGTTCTCTGTTATATGATAGACTCGGATTCTACTGCTTAATTCCGTGTCAGAAAGTAGAAAAAGTTCTAAGAGTATTTCCATATATCTTGTTAATCCGATAAATCGGACATGGACATTACATGTAAATCGGCGATATGGGTAAGCGATGCATATTGCAGGAGTTTCATTGGCTCGCACCATTTAAAGTATGCGTCTTCGATCGAAATTCGGATTTACAACAGCCAATGCCATGTGAGTCTCGGAGATAGTCTAGACTCTTTGTGACGATGTATGAAGGCTTGAAAAAGCGGCATGACGTGTAGTGCCGTCCGAACATTCCATTGTGCTTCGGCATGGCTTTCGTTTGCGCTTCTCGTTGGTTACTTTGTGCGATAAGCTGGGCTGGCACGACGTGCTGGAGAAGAAGAACGAAAACCGTATGTTAGTGACGATAACATAGCTCAACGACGACGACGCTCAAAAACCTCAAATTTATGTTGAAGGTAAAGGTAAAACCTCATATTCAACGCCAATTTTTTCCGACTACAAAAACGTCCCTGTAGGCGAGTTGTAGGTGAAACTGCAAACTTGGGTTTTACCCGTTTCTTTCTTTCTCGCTGGGGCACAAGTTGTGTACCAGGGCTTCCTTGGCGTTGAATTATATTCGTGCAAATGCCGAAAGGGTGCTGCTTTTTCCATTGCCTGGAGGGGTAGTAAATGTGTGGATCATAGCTACTAAAGAATGAGGAGGAATGACGATTAGCATATAAAAGAAACCATAATTCCACAGGAACGGCCTATTCACAACATCAACACAAAACAAAACCGCTCTCATAATACTACCAAGAACTCCATCAACGAGTCCTGCTGTCCGCTTTTATGAACATTATTTCAAACCTCCCTACCACACTCAAGTCCACTGCGCAAGCTGTAGTCGCAAGCATGACTTCAGTCCCAAAGAGCTACAAAGCAGCTGTTTTTGAGAAGGCCAATGAGCCTTTCGCTTTGAAAGATTTCGATACCCCAACACCAAAGAGAGGAGAGATTCTGATTCGTGTCATCGCCTGTGGAGTATGTCATAGCGACAATGGTGTGCATTCAGGGGCGTTTGGAAATTCATTTCCAATCATCCCAGGTCATGAAGCTATTGGAGATATTGTCGCTGTTGGAGACGGAGAATCAAAGTGGAAGGTTGGAGATCGAGCTGGCGGAGCTTGGCATGGAGGTCACGACGGCACGTGCAAGCAGTGCCAGCGCGGTCAGTTCCAGATGTGCAAGAATGCGGTTGTCAACGGCGTTACCCGCGATGGAGGTTATGCGGAATATCTCATCTTGAGATCAGAGGCTGCTGTCAACGTCCCCAAGGATGTTGACCCTGTTGAATATGCTCCGATCCTATGCGCTGGAGTCACTGTGTTCAATTCTATTCGAGCTCAAAAGATCGTCCCTGGAGATATTGTAGCTGTACAGGGTCTTGGAGGATTAGGCCATCTCGCCGTCCAGTACGCCAACAAGATGGGTTACAGAGTAGTTGCTCTTAGCTCTGGCGACGGAAAGAGAGACTTCGCAACGAAACTTGGAGCTCATGACTATATCAACACTTCTCAAGAAGATCCGGCCAAGAAACTCACAGAAATGGGGGGTGCAGCTTTGATCGTATGCACCGCGCCAAATCCAAAGGCAATCGGTCCATTGACTGGTGGATTGGAAGCTGGAGGTAAAGTGCTGGTTCTTGCTCCATGTGGAAGTATCGAAGTCAATACCCTCGACTTGATTTCAAAGGCTAGTTCTGTCACCGGATTTCCTAGTGGCCACGCATTGGATAGCGAAGAGGCAATTGCTTTCACGAAGTTACATGGTATCAGATGTATGGTGGAGAAATTCCCACTCAAGGATGTCCAGAAAGCGTATGACCATATGGTCAGCGGAGATGTTAGATTCAGATCGGTTTTGGTGATGTGAGCATAAACATACCAACTTTTCGGAATCTTGACCTTCTGGCGCCAATTTCTCACTTCAGAAGTCTGAGCTTGGTTTGTTGTTGAAAGCCTAGGTAGTCTTCTAAATCAATATTCGTAACGCTTTCTTTCCTGGGTGCGGATTGTGAAAGTGTTAAGAAAGTGTCAGATGTTGTGTTGGCTTCAGGTATCAGACTGTGACCATAATTCTCATGAATGCAAATATTCTTGTAGTCTTGTCTAAATATCAATCAATACCTCGGGTAGGTTCTTCTAGATGTGTAATATTTATGTTCGTCTGGTCGCGTCCGCTAGTCGGTAATTCGACAAGAAGGTGGGCTATTCGCGCTGATTATTCCAGATATGCAGCGCATAATGCTGAAAACCTAGACCGGAGAACATGTCTTCGTCCATGGCAAATGAAGTAAATCGAGAAATACTTATTAGACAACTATAGATGTTAGAGAAAGGAACCCGTTACAGATTTGGGAGTCAGACGCGTTTTGACACGTGATTTTCCCGGATGTCGGGCTTTAGCCGGCTACGTCTCCTCTCCCAAAACATTTAGGTCCAAGCACCAAGCCTCAATCCGCTCAATCCTGAGCACATTATTGTGTCAAGATCTAACAACGGCCTCATGTCTTACTGCTGTACTTAAATCCAGCATGGTACTGTTATATTTTGTTGCCACTTTTGTAGGTTAGAACAATGGTAAATTCTGTAGCTCGCGATGCAGGTACGACGATACCCGGACGTTTGGAGGGCATTTGCTAACACCCATGATAGCTTCAATGTGGCCTAGTATTTCGACGGAATTTCTACGAGCAGAGCTAGCGAGACGAGATGAAGCAACCCCTACTGCGAAGCCAGAGTGCGGATCGGGGGTCAAAGGCAGTTACAATACATCTGTACACGTTGGCGCATTGATCTTGATCCTCGTATTGAGTACAGTTGGTGGGTACCAACCACTTTACAGAGTGTCGTTGCTGACATTTGAACAGCATGCGGATTTCCTCTGATATCTCGATCCTCGAAATCATCTGGCCCCAACCGATTCATATTCTTCTCCCAGCATTTTGGTACCGGTGTCTTGATTGCGACGGCATTCGTACATCTCCTCCCAACAGCGTTCACATCCCTTACGGATCCATGCCTACCTTTCTTCTTCAGCGATCGCTACCCTCCGCTCGCGGGTCTCATAGCAATGTTTTCGGCATTGATAGTTGTAGGAATTGAGATGTTCTTGACAACAAGAGGGGCGGGTCATTCACACTCCCATGGAGAATCTTGGGAGTCGGTATCGGATAGTGAGGGGCATAATCCCGGCCACACAAATGGAAATGCGAGTAGGAAGCAGAAGAAACCTAATGGGAGAATGGGGAGGCTAGGGCTAAACCACCGGCCACATGATATCGCACTAGGAGACCTAGATGCTTCAGAGGGCCTAGTCTCTGGGGTTTCACCTCTACCTGTTTCTACGCCCGAAATCAAAGAGCCAGAAGGCACTCGAATGTGGGATGAGGACGATGATTCGGATCTCGATCTAGACGAATTGGATCCAACAGCCCAAGCTCTCGACCCTTCACATACAAACGTGGAAACTAGCGAAGATCCAAGTTCTTCATTGTCGGCCGAGGACAAGCAGAAGCGTCAGATACTGCAGTGTCTTATGCTTGAAGCCGGAATTCTGTTTCATAGCATTTTCATAGGTATGGCTGTATCTGTTGCGACTGGCCCTCCGTTTGTTGTTTTCCTGGTTGCCATTGCTTTTCACCAGTCCTTTGAAGGACTTGCACTCGGATCAAGAATAGCAGCTATCAATTTTCCCCGCCATTCGCCGAGACCCTGGCTTATGGTACTCGCATACGGTACCACGACGCCAATTGGGCAAGCAATCGGGCTCGTTGTTCATAATCTGTACGATCCGCAGAGTGCCGCCGGTTTACTAATGGTGGGCTTCATGAATGGTATTTCCAGTGGACTGTTGCTTTTCGCTGGTCTGGTACAGCTTCTGGCAGAAGATTTCTTGAGCGATAAAAGCTATGTCGCTTTGAAGGGAAAGAAAAGGGTTGAAGCATTTGCTGCCGTTATCGCTGGCGCGACTTTAATGGCACTGGTTGGAGCGTGGGCTTAAAGCTTATTGGGATTAGACATTTGCATGGTACGGCGCAAAGGAGTAAATAACTATTGGCTATCTGGTGACCAATTTCCGGCCAGATGGAGCATGAAGAATTCATGTTTGCTCTCAGAGGATCTATGAAGCTGTATCTAGTATTATGCAAGCTGTAAGTGTATGGCATCTTTGACTGGAGGGACGAGATGTTCCTAAACACCTTTGACCGTGACCTGTCGAGAGGGGGTTGCTGTATTTAACTAATGCTGACAACTATCCTTGAGCGTCCATAGCTTGGCAAAGGTCAGTGTTTTTCCATCAAAGGCGACCCGGTTACAAGTATAGGGATTGTAATTAAGTATGGTCCGAAGCATTCAAGCATAATTACGCCCGCTGTTTGGCATATACCACCTTCCCCACTCGTCCACTTAGTTCCTCCGGATACTTTCCTCTTCTGGCGAAGCGTTTCTTCTCAGCCACAGTAGTTGGTGCGCTACAACCAGCTCTCGACCTGTGACCTTTACAAATTCCAAAAGGGATTTTACAGCGGATCATTTGTGGAAACTCAGCGGCATCTGCAAAACAATGCCATTCAAGTGGATATTCCAAACAAGCGGTTCGTCCGTTTTGTTCTACTGCACGTGGTAGAGCCTTTATAAACGTTTGTCTTTGAAGCAATGCTGGATCAGCCGACTCAACTCGGAATTGAATTTTTCCATTGTCAACAACTAGAAGATTTCAGGTGTACAGTCTCCGCGAGATACCGACAACATTGCTTGAAGAGAGTCTTGAACTCATTATTCTAGTTATTCTTGGCGTACGCGCGGTACTTTCCGGTCTTAATCCATCTCTAATTTGTTCCCCTGGACCATCCTTTAATCCTGATATGTGGATTAAGAAGACCCATATGCCGATGGGCCCCCACAACTACGGACATGATCCCACGAGGATAGACCCTCCGACGAACAGAGTGATAGGGGAATTATGGAATTATGGAAGAGATATAAGAGTATCGCTATTCCGCAATACAATTCCTTCTTCACCTCTTCAGCTTGCAAGAGTCTGTCCATTCATTCCAACATACTTGTCTTTCTTGTATCATACATTCGTTTTATATCTTCGCTATGCGATCTTCTACTCTTTTCACTGCGCTTGTCGCATGCACTTCAAGCGTCTTTGCTGCTGACAAGGTTTACGGTGCTGCTGAGGGCTTCGCCAAAGGTGTTACTGGAGGTGGAAGTGCCGCTCCTGTTTACCCAACTACCAATGCTGAGTTGGTGAGCTATCTTGGAGATAGCTCTGCTCGTGTTATTGTCTTGACCAAGACGTATGTTGCTCTTGATATCATATCCCGTAAACATGTTTCTTGGCTAACTTTACCACTACAGTTTCGACTTCACCGGAACCGAAGGCAAGACAACATCAGCTGGTTGCTCGCCATGGGGAACTGCTGCGGGATGCCAAATCGCGATTAACAAGGACAACTGGTGCAAAAACTATGAGCCAAATGCTCCAACTGTCAGCTCCATCACATAGTACGTTTTGTTTAACTCGCTTCGCTCGCTTGCCTTCTAACACTCTTTAGCGACAATGCTGGTGTCCTCGGTATCACTGTCAAGTCTAACAAATCCCTCATCGGTCAGGGAGCCAAGGGTGTCATTAAGGGTAAGGGAATCAGAATGGTGTCTGGTGCTAAGAACATCATTATCCAGTGAGTTCCTCAATTACGACGAAAGCTTGGGCTTTACTGACCTCTTCCAGAAACATCATGATCACTGAGCTCAACCCTCGTTACGTCTGGGGTGGTGATGCTATCACTGTCAACAACGCCGACTTGATCTGGATCGATCGTGTTACCGTAAGAACCGAATCTTCCTCTCGTGTCAAATTTCTCCTGCTAACTTTTGCACCCAGACCTCCCTCATCGGCCGTCAACACTACGTCCTCGGTACCGATGCCTCCAACCGCATCACCCTCTCCAACAACTACATCAACGGTGTATCCAGCTGGTCCGCCACCTGCGACGGCTACCACTACTGGGCCATCTACCTCACCGGCTCCAACGATCTCGTCACCATGAAGGGCAACTACATTTACCACACCTCCGGCCGCGGACCAAAGGTCAGCGGCAACACCCTCCTCCACGCCGTCAACAACTACTGGTACGACTCCACGGGACATCTCTTCGAGGCCACCACCGGCGCCTACATCCTCGCCGAAGGCAACGTCTTCCAGAACATCAAGACCGTCGTCGAAACCCCTGTCACCGGTCAGATCCTCAGCGTGCCAAACGCGGTTTGCAACACTTACCTCGGACGCGCTTGCCAGAACAATGGCTTTGGATCTTCCGGTACTTTCAGCTACGCGAACACTGGTTTCATGTCCAAGTTTTCCGGCAAGAATATTGCTTCTGCTGCTGCGTACACTGGCGTTGCTGCTAGTGTTAAGGCTACTGCTGGTTACGGACACATTTAAACTCCATCGATTCTCACATTTGGTTGGGGAATCTGAGATGTGCATACCCGCCTTTTTAGGGTACGCATACAAAAGCTATTTTCATGTATATATTGTAACCAAGAAATCTTGTACAAACGATTTAACCTACTTTCTTCCGAAGTCAATTGAACTTTGGCAAGCCTTACTCGACTTACTCTTTTGATTTCTTTCTCCTGTGTTACTTTCAAACCTGTTTGCTTTCTGAAATAACGCAACTTTAGCAAGCCCTTAACTCGTTCTCATTGATTGCTGTCTCTTGCGTTGTCTTGTTTCCACGTCCAACCCAATGTTTGCTTTTGGCTCGTCCGCGTCACTGTGATTGTCATTTTTGAGTCAAGGTTTGCAACGGCCCAGCTATTGATACGTCGACTTACTTCCGTACTGACAATGTTGGATCTGCAAACAATTTGTCATTCTGTTTGCAGCAGAATTATGTATTAAAGCATCATCAACTCCACCAACCTAGACATCAAACTAGCATTGACTCCCATCAGGGAAACACTTCCATCTTGCAACTCCAAAGCATTTCGCAATGTAGATATTACATCCCCCCTTCATATTTGAGCGACGTTCGTACCAATGGGCCGGAGCTCGGGTCCGATTCGGCGTCAAGAAATTACTTTTCATGTACAGTTTCTTGACTTTCAATTCACCACCGGCAATCGCAGATGATTCACTACCACAGCAATGGAAGAGAATGACGGCTTGTGCGTGTCTATGCTGCTGCCTGGACCGTCTGGGAGGGGTACAAAAGTCTGGTCTGCGATGGGAGGTGTGCATCTTCCTTGGATTTTCGACAACCTCGATTCGAGAGGGGTCTGTGAAACCCAGACAGCACCTTCTACAGACAAACGACCCTTGTTGACTTCTCTTTAACACCATCTCTAAATATGCCTTCCCAAATCAAGAAGAAAGAGCAAGCAGATGAGAGGACTCAAAAACAAGAGCAACGGAAAGCTATCGTCGCTCACTTAGCGGAGATACCAAAACACAACGCCTTGACGGTCACAGTCGATGGCAGTCAAATTGTATTGAAAATCGACGTTAATTTCAAAAAGGACTCCTCTATCTCCTTGATTGGGAAGGACGATGGCCCTAAAAAAGACCAAGGTTCGTCAGACTATAAAACAAACATCATTGCGAAGGTGGTTTTGGATGCTAATCATCTCTTCGCAGTTCTAACTCACGTCCTCCACGTCATTGGCCAGTACAAAGAGATCGCCACTATTGTTAGAGTTGGCATCTTTTACGGCGACCCCGAAGACGAATCTCCAGTCCTTAAACACAATCAAACCAAGTTTCTCCGTAGCTTAGCAACGTTGCTCAACAGCTTCACGCGAGCTAACACCATCAAGATTGGCGTCAAGATGCTTAAGGAGATCCATTGGCCCCAGGCTCGGAACAGTGTCTGCTTTTGTTGTCTCTCCTTGAAGGGATGGGAGCTTTATCTAGGATACGATGTCCCCGGTCAAGAGACCACCTGGAAACAAGTAATTGAAGGAAGCCCTCTCGATAGACGCTACCTAGGATGGCAAAAGGTCTTGAGACAACGGTACGAAGCGAGATTAAACAACGACGAAGCAGTCGAGGCAGCTGCTGTCAACGACACCCTTCCTCAAGCGAAGACTCCAACTGGAAAGAAAGCCTCCGAGGTATCCACTAAGCAAGTTTGAGGAAGAATTCTATATCCGGTATCGATGGGGAGATTTAACGACCATGGACGTACACAGAGAATTTGGACAAGTCAAGCCCTTCTTTCATATTCCGAAACTCCTGGATAGATATGTGCGGTTGTTAAGGTTTGCCTCAAAGAGCCTCGTTTTAGCGCGGTCAAAGTCCTGATTTCTAATCGTTTCAAGACCAGCTTTAAAAGAACTGTTTGGTTGATTGATATTCTTGTATTTAGAAGCACCCTTCAATCAAGATATCAAACAAAGAATTATCCATTCCACATCGGCTGAGTTATCCATTCAAATATTCCCGTCCCCGCTACTTTTTTGCCAAAAAGGTTGTTGACCATTCTGATTTGTCGTATTGGCCTCGTATTCCTGGATCTCAGAAATCACTTTGAAATGGCGATCGCTAGTACAAAAGCAAATACTCTTCTCAGCTTTCCAATCTACTAACAAGCCTTTAGCCGCCATGAATGAGGAGTGTGCCAACGAGAAAACTACAAGACATCAGCAACGCAAAGAGCATATGATAACTCTGCGACAAGACCTCCAACATCATTAGAGTACCAGAAGGAAGCAATGATACTTTGGAGATTAAGACCAAGTTCAAGAAGAGTTTAGCAACCTTCCTCGCCGTCAAAAAGGGCGTCGAAAAGATTAAGATAAGTCGATTTTTACAACACTTACACACTTGGACCTTGCTAACATCGTCTTCACAGTTCTCTTAGGTATATTACACATCATTGGCATACATAGAGATATTGCCACAAAGATTCTCCTCCCCACATTCTGCGATCCTGATCGGTAGCTTGGCGCGAATCACCAACCGCTTCAGGAGAGCACCCTCTTTCAAGATCCGAGCGAAGTTTCGGAAGAGATCTACCACTCCGAAGTCAGGGATGGCGCTGTGATCTACTTCCCCGCGCTACAGGGCTGGGAATTCTGTTCTGGTGCAGACCTCGTTGGTCAACAGCTAACGCTGGTGACAGATTTGCGAGGGTAGGAACTGGGATAGATGATTCCTATCCTGGCAAAAAGTTCTAAATAAGGCGATGGAGGAGCGCACCACGACGGTGGAAGAGGGATTAATCTAGGTGAAACCTGCTGCTGCCTCGAGTTGCAGATGGACTACACCGGGTCCGATGACTTCGCTGTCGACTGTCGACTGTTCTTCCTCTCGGATAACCTTCTCCTCTAGTTCCAAACAGCCTACTATTGGAGCGTCCTGGTAGCTCAAATAACAATTCTCGGTAATCCGGGGAAATTTGTTGCAAGATAGACGACGGCTCTAGGAGAGTTTCATCAGACCGAAAGAAACAAGAAGAATACTGATTCAGTATCGTTCGACTATCAGCGGCTTATTACAATATCGTCCGGAAAATGAGCTTTGACAAACACAAGATCATTTCAGTACAGCAATTAATTTACTTCACCCAAGCAGAATCACACAAACCCCAGAATTTACCTGCAATTAACACACAATAATGCGCAACGCACAGCCCGTTGCCGAAAGACAACAGAAACTAGTGGTATCTCGATTTATCAGAGATATGCCGTGCATGAACAAGTATTTTGCTACTCGAGTCAGTGGGAGTTGACCTAGTCAATATAACAGGGACCAGAGCATCTATCCTTCTGGTAGAAATGAGGTATTTGAACTTCCATGTGTAAAGATGGTGTTACACTGCTTTTGCGGTGGCTGTACTTCAGTCACTTAAGATCAGGTCTCAACGGAATCACTCCTCTACGTTTGTCTGATTACTGAATCGCTCTGATCAACCTCTGGGCGGTAGCAGAACTCCTTACGGGACCACAACTGAAGCACGTTAAAATATATTGACTCGACTTGTGCAATCCCAGAACAGGTGACAAGCCGAGAGACTCCGTGATGCTTAGCTCTTCGGTACTAGCAATTAAACCGAATTTATCCAGGGTCGATGGTATTAAGTGTTGTTTCCATAGTTCTATAATCTTTTGGGATACGGACTGGGGAACTGCTCAGACACTTTCACGGGAGAGGCCAGTAGAAAGATGATCAAGATCGAATCCACGGAATACTCTCGAGCAACCTCAAGTTCGAAAAGGACTTGTTGAAAAATCCCTATTTAAGAAATAGATTTAGCCCCTATAATAAAGTAAACACAGCATACTTATCTAGCCAAGCGAGCAATAATAAATTTTTGAACAGCAAACAATGTATCTAATATGTAGAGATGTTGCGTCAAGTTTTGAGCATATTCGTGAATAAAAGGCACTGAATGATACTGAATAATATTCTACTTGCCTCAGTAGATCAGAGACTGGAACCATCTCCTAACTTGGTGGGTATTCCAAACCTTCTGTAACTCTTTCATAGCAATGACACAGTACTTTTACGATATTAAGTTTATGATAAAGAAACCACCTATACATCCCGGTAAGCAACCCTAGCATTCAAATGAATTACTAATAAAGTTGAATGGAGAGAGCTGCACAATCGAGGTAGAGTATAAATCGAGCACACTTTCATCAAAGTCAAGGAAACCCAAAACAGATTGCTGGGATCACCGATTAGCAACAAAATGTTGCGGATATGGTCGTCGACGACATCAGGATTGATGGTAAGGGAAAGAATCGTCAGGCGTAACTATAGCGAAAAACTCACTTAGCGAGTAAAAAGTAGTGAACTTTTTAGTTATGCTAGTTGCAATGCTTGGGGCTGTCGCCTTGTGGATGAACAACAGGCTTATACTAGTCCTGTATTATGACACACTTTGCGTACAAAAAGTAGAATCCTAGATGATTGAAGAATGCTTGAAAGGTCACTAGGTGAAATTAAACGGGGTGAATGATGGAGTTGTCATGAATATTTCGGTATTTTGATACACGTTAAGACAATAATAATTTCTTTATTGACCTGTTAAGTGCAAAAACTCACGGGTTTGGAGTCCCAGGCCCAAACCGTACGGGTCACTGAGCGATATAAGTTATTTAGCAAGGGTTCGTTTGTATCCGCAGCCGGGGAAGACAATGTTGAGCTTCACTTGCTTTAGTTGAAATTCGTCTTAACTTCATTTATGGATTCTGTTATCTTCGATCCTGCATTCATCATCTCTCCACTTGCTACAGATCCTGTCAAGACAAACGATTCCCCTACTTCATCCAAGGCTACGATTTTTCCCGAGAAGAGACATACACTCGTGGATCAAACTATCACTGAGGAACTCAAAACCATGGCTCTCAAGTTCGCAAGCCATATCCCCGATGAAAAGTTTAGTCCTGCAGAGATTCAAGGATTTCTTCTGAACCGTCGGGATGATGCGAAGAAAGCTTTGGATGAGGTTGCAGGTTGGGTCGAGGCTCTTTTGAAGACAAAGAAGAAAGGAAAGAAGGTTGTCGGAGCTCATTGATAATTCTTCTTCCTTGTGATTTGGAATTCTCTGAACTGTATTAGAAACTTTTAGATTTCCACTGAGAATAGATAAGGTGATAAGATGGTGCTGGATTCATACGTTTGGTATCAGTCATTAGACTACTTATACTAAATCAGTTCTTTGCCACAAAGCTTCACTTCCTCACTATGGCTTCTAAAATCAAGCAGTGATTATGTGACCGATAAATAAACCTGACTCAAACGTTGTGCAAGGTACAATGAGACTTGCTATTCGTTGTCGATTTGGGCTTTGGTTTGCGATCGACATATACATCGTGACGTGTTACCGAGTCGAGAGAGTAGAGTGCTTCAGGCTCTAATTCACTTCGCAAATATAGAACATCGTGTTGGCAAGATTTTTGAAAAGGTGCAGTTTAATCTAAAATTGAAGAATCAAGGATATAGCAATTTACTGCATTCAGACCAGCTACTCAAAAGTAAGGCAAACAAAACTAAGTAGGCGTGTTATCAGTCTACCCGACCCTGTGGATATTCGACGCGTTGGTGTCGTAAAAGTGGGTGAGAAGGCTTGACTCCATCGTGCAAGCACAACACAGGGACGAGAAAAACTCAAATTGCGTAGTGGGGGTAATTAAATATCAGATACGTTTACTCCAATAATTATGAGCTGTTATAGTAGAAGTCCAAGGCCCCATCGGACTGTCTTCCTCCACTACAATGGCTTACATCAGAACATGTGAGAACAATTGCTTTACCAGCTGTATTATATCCGATGGTCTACCTATCAGCTATAATCTCAAACAAAATCGCAATCGTCGTAAAATAAGGAGGCCTATGCAACACAACCTGCAGCTTGTTGAGTATACTTTAGTTACATCAAACTGACAAGCAATCATTGGCTGGGATGGAGAAACTATAACAAGTTACTAGCAAATAGGCCATACAAGCAAGCTGGCGGAAGGATCATGTTCAAAGCAACGGTAGGGTTCAAGGTTTATGCTGGGTGAGAGGTATTTTGCCGCTCCCTGGTCCTTTACCCTGTAGTAGATTTCAGCTGCTTTTACAAAGCTTGACATACAACAGAGAACATCATGTAGACAAATTAATATAGAGTTTCAACAAATGATTTACAACAAACACTGAGCAAAGAAGTAAGACTTGGCAATCATGCAAAAGTCAACAGTCAACAGTGAAGCAATTGTCGTATCAACCGCTGACCATTATCAATTGGCTCTTCTTCAGGACTCTTATCATCTTATCTGGTCCACCGTGTGAATCACGTTGATAAGGTAATCTTAACTCAATTAAATTCACAGTCCAACGTAGAATCTTCCCCTTCGCCGGTCAATAATCGTATCAAAATGGGCTCGCCGAATGCTAAGCGAGAGCCATTGCCACCACACAATTTCCCAACAGGAACATGGCTGTGAATCATCTATACCTGACTTCTAATTCACTCATGAATTTTGCTCTAATTTGGTATGTTTGTTGGTGGAGCTAGGTGCTAAGTTGGAGTATAAATGCTCTGCTTTCTCCCCCTCTGCTACATCTTTCCTTTCCAACACACAACATTTCTGTTCAGCAAACTACATCTTGAGTAAATTTCAAGCTTTCAATACTGTTACACCTTCACACTCGTTTGACACTTCAATTTGCAAATTCTTCTTTACATTCTTTCAGTCACACCAAAGACTCTCTACATTCGTTCAACAATAACAAACAAAGTATACACAATGCCTGCGCAAACCAAAAAGGAAGCGAAAGCCCAACAGAAGGCCATAAGAGCAGAAGAAAATAAGCAGCGTGTTGAAATACTTGCTCAGATAACACGACACAGAGCCATCGACCAGGAAAATGAAGGACGAAATTTAATGGTAGAATGTAATTTCAAACCAACATCGCCAGTCACGATTTTTGGTACGGGCACCGCTATTGGGACCATGGATAGTGAGTAACATTATATTCCTCTTGCAATGTCAAAACTTGCTAATTATTTTTAGTCGATCAAAACATATTGAAATCGCTTGAAGAGTACAGGTCTCTGACTACGGACCTCAAGATCAAGTTTGTTTTTCCTCATCCTGATGAAGAGTGGGATTCACGGATACCACAAGATCAAGAAAATTTCATCCTTGAAGTCGCAATGATCACCGACACTTTTGAAAACCTGAAGACATTTGTTGTTTATTTTAAAGTTGAGACCAACATTGAGAACGCTTGGCCACAGTTAAGAAGTGCAGCTCACTTTTACGCCAATAAATTTAGAGGTTGGGAACTGTGGGTGTGTTACATGGGGGAAATTGTCGACAAGGACAACAAACCAACCGGCACACCAGTATATAAGCAATGTGGAGCAGGAGGCCCACTAGACAGGAGCCTGAGTGGGTGGAGGAAAGCACTCGACAAGAGATATGGTGGAGGAAATTAAGAAATACCTTAGACATGGCGCTTCAAACAACTCTAAAGCAATTCCGGCTTCCAATTATAGAAATTATGTCGAGTATTCACTGTATTAAATGCAGGATCCAATCAAACATCTGAATGACTACGTTACTTTCCTTCCAAGAATCATCATCGTTTGTGAGATACTTCAAAGAAGGCTGCATTATGAAAAAAGTCAAATCCTCAAAACTTGCATTTAACTTACTTTGCATTCTGCTAAGTGAGATAACATTGCATCGATGTTATGTTAATGGATTGTTCCTGCATTTGTAAGACCAATGTATTATGGGGTTTCCGAATGATCTTGTGCCAATATTTTGTTGTTTTCGAGACTTGGCTTGGGGTATCGGCTGCTAATGCACATTTGAAGGACGATGTGCATGTAGAAGGGACCCATCCGAACAAGATCTCTGTCTAACGTAATGGCTCGTAGAACTTCCGTGTAATAATTTGGCATACACCAATCCCTTGAACAGTCAATCAGTTGCTAGAGAACCATTAAGAGTTGGATGTCTGCCAAAAGACTTAATGCAGACACCGGAACGACTTCGTCGTGGGGAAAAGACGCAACGTCCCGCACGAAGTCTAACATATGCAGATGAACATATGCATGACCGGCTTTTAAATCCTTGATTGTATGGCAGTTGACTTGATTGAGGGGAGCTCGCATTATCATATATGAGCATGCATACAAGAGTTCCCAATCCGGTGGATCTCCAGTGAGTTCCTCCAATAGCGCCTCGCCACGCAGCTACACAACATCTTCCAACAAGCAGAACGGGTTTCAATCAACCCAATTGGCTTCTTCGAAATTTCAACAACGGGCAATGGCGACATAGCGCATGTAGATAGTCTTACATGGGGACGGATAATCCCCATTCTTGGGGTTTGAGGATGTATATGTACAAGTGGCTGCAAACGTTGTGGTACTGTACTTGACGCTGTGTTACAGTTCTTTTGACCAGACTTCCCACAGAAAGAGAGTTGAATCCAAGATGTCCGAAAACAAATCTCAAAATATCTACGATGATCCAGCCTTCTATTCCCAATATGAAGGTCTTGATCGACAGGTCCACGGACTCGCTTATGCTCCAGAATGGCCGGTTCTTCAGTCCCTAATGCCAGACCTCCAAGGTGCCAACGTTCTTGATCTCGGATGTGGAAGTGGTTTTAGCTGTCGATACACTCGTTCAAAGGGTGCTGCAAGTGCACTGGGAATTGATGTTTCTGCAACCATGATCGCGCATAGCAAAGATCATCCAGCAGACGATGCAATCACTTATGAGCAGCGAGACTTGGAGGATAATCTCGAGCTTCCAGACGAGAAATTCGACTTTGCGTTTTCATCCTTGGCTTTCCACTATGTCGCCAATTTCGAACAGCTGATTCCTCAAATCTTCAAAGCTCTCAAACCTGGAGCCAATTTTCTCTTCACGACTATCCATCCCATTCGATCAGCTGGGGAGGTACGATGGATCGAGCATCTGGGGAAGCAACAAGCTTGGCCCGTGACTGAGTACCTGAATGAAGGTCCAAGAACGATTGAGTGGTTGAATCATCCTGTCAAGTTCCGTCACCGCACGATCCAGACTTATTTCGAGGTTCTTTTGGGAGCTGGATTTCAACTATTGAACTTCAAAGAGTGGAGTCCTAAGGAGGAGGAGTTGAAGGAGTTTCCTTTTTGGAGCCTCTCTGGAGGTGCTCCTATGTTCATGGTCTTCAAGTTTCTCAAGCCTAAGGTGTAAATAACAAGTTTTTTCATGATTCAGAGGTGCATGTTTGTTTCCTCCGAGGGATATTTAGTATGAAACAAGTACGTGTAACAGCGGCTGGATATAAATCTCATAGTTACATATCAAATAATACTCGCTGACTTCCCTGTATCTAAGTCCCAATGTGACATTCCAATCGACACCTTTTCAACTCATCCTCCTACGAATTCTCGAACTCTTGACTGAGCATTACTGAATAACATCGGTAGATGACTGATCGTAATCTTCCACTGTGAATTGAAGGTGCTACACAATTGCAGTGAATTGCCAGACTTCAATACTTCTCATGAGATACCACTGCTGCCTAACTCAACCCTTCCAAAATGTTTCCATATTGCTGTGAATGACTTTCGCTGTCATCAATTTCCAGATTTCCAGGTGATTCACAGACTAGCGTCTCCAAAAGTATTTGTCTGCTTGCACGTATAAAAACTCTGACTTGCTCCGGTTTGTTCTCACCAAACAACTTTCAAACTTCAAACTTCATAAATCAAGAGTCAGCTCGATTCAAGCTCCAACACATTCGTTTCAGACTCTCTCGTTAGACTTCCTCTCACACTATATTCTTGTACTCCTGGTCATCATCTGCTGTCACGCCAGCAAATCCACCGTTAATACACCAGACCGATTCTTGTTAAATATTTGACCTTTCCAACCGTCAACATGGGCAAATTCTCCAAGGACAACAGCAGGGCTGAGAACAAAACACCAGCACAAAAAGCCTTCGATGCATTCCGTGCCGACCTAGAGGCACAAGAGCGTAAGAGCAAAGCCGAGGCACAGAAGCCAAAGCCACTCGTACCCATCCGTCACGACGCCATCGAGGTGTTACAAGATGGAACCAGCATCAAAGTGGATATCAACCTCATTTCCAGCGACCCTAAGTCCCTCATCAAGACAGATAAGGAGAAGATACAAACTGGTAAGTGGTAATCTCGGAAGATATGAACAGCAACTAATAGACCTCCGCCAGTGGATTTCGAGGTCCTGAATTCCCTGTTCACGTTCCATGCCCAAGCACAAGACGTCACGATGCACATTATGCTGCCACTGCCAAAGGAGACAAGCTTCGCTCTTGCACAGAATCAACGGCGGTTTTACAAGAGTTTGGTCCACTGCCTCAACAGATTCAACAAGCTCAAGGCCCCAAGAATTCTCTTCAATCTAAAGGCCATCAATATCAATTCCGAAGCATCCTGGATCCAGTTCAGCGATGCGGTTAATTTCTACAAATTGAAGTTCGTCGATTGGGAGCTCTATCTCAAGTGTGCAGGAAAGCAAACGGAAAAGGTTGTAATTGGAGGACGAATCGACCGAAGGCTTGAGGGTCTCCGACGAAAGATTATGTCGGTCGCTGGGGCACGACGTGGAGAAAGCAGTGCCGAGAAGAAGGTAGCTGCAGTCGTCGAGACTCCGGCAGAAGGTGGTAATGCCAACAAGAAGGCGACTGCCATGAAAACCCCACCAAATGATTCCAATGCCGACAAGAAAGTCGCAGAACTTGCAAACCAACTGAAAGATAGCCGTATTAGTCAAAAGTAGACTGAGTGTTGTCATGTTAAACTGAGATAGAAAAGATAGACAAAATAAATGTTCTCTAGTCTAGTATCTAAAATCTATCGCTGATCAGCGCTGTGACTAGAACTTGTCTCTAAAATTCTAACCAAACACCTCGCTCTCCATACCTCATAACCATTATTTCGAGTTATTCCATCTAACGCTGAATCTAAATACCCTCTAATTCTTCACGAACCTCTAAGAAACTGGGTCTATCCATAACAATTGGATTGGAACACTTCCAATGCAGGGAGTTTAACTCTTCTATCTTCATAGCATCTTTCTCGCTCGCTCCAGAACCCGCCTCGTCGACCTTGTGCTCTACCAGACCCAACAGGTCCTCGACCAAGTGGCCGAATGCAAAGACTTCCAATCTCTCCAGCATCTCTGAGCAGTCGTGATCTTTGCTGTAAATGGTAGCAGCTCCGAAGTCTCCAAGAAGCGCATGGCCGGTCGACTTGTCGAGCAAGATGTTGTGTGCATACAAATCACCATGCTTGATACCTCTTTGATGAAGGTGTTCCGCGGCGCTTGCAATACCCAGAAGGATATTCTTGCAGGTCTCGACTGTGAAGACCATATCGGGATGGAAAGAATCTCTGGTACAGCTTTCTAAGGTCGGTGGTAGACCAAGATTAATGTAGACCGGAGGAATGAGTTCAAGTACGAGGCCTTTCTTTTCTGGATGGCCATGAATCTTTCCAATTGGATCGATGAGGTTTGGGTGTTTACCGGCAGTGATGCATGCGTTCATCTCGTCAGCGGGAGATCCATCACTTGTGAGTTCTCCTTTAAATAACTTAACCGCAACCGGTTTCTTTTCGGACTCCGTCTTCCAGGCTCCCTTCGAGATAATGCCAGAAGCACCCTCACCAAGCAAATGTTGAACCTCCAACTGCTCCCATACAATATCATCCAAGGCTGGATTGTCATCCGAAGTTGTAGCACATGGATTGCCAGCAAATGATAAGAATGAAAGCTCAGGTAATTGGAGGAGCCATTTCGGGAGTTCTGTGATCTGATTTGAAGATAATCGCAAAAGTGAAAGTTTACGACAATGCGCCATTTCCGCTGGTAGAGACGTCAATCGATTTCCAGCCAACATACACTTCTGAAGCCTGTGGCACTGTCCGATACTAGCAGGAATCGAAGAGAGCTTATTATTCGTCAGAATCAACCATCGTAGTTTTCGTGGAAATGAGTTCTCTGGTATCTCGGTCATGTGATTACCCCTGAATGCAACCATCTCGAGAGAACGGCATAATCCAAGCTCCTTAGGAAAAGTTTTGAAGCCGCAATCTGAGAAGAATGCGATCTTAAGCTTATGTAACCTCGAGATATCTTTTGGAAGTTCTGATAGAGATGGATTTCCTGACAGATCCAGAATTTCTAGTGTGTCGAAGGCATCTAGAACTTCTCTAGGAAAGGTTGATATTCCGGAGGATATCTTAATTTTCTTCGCGCCCTTGTGTGATCCGTTGCTCTTATCGGGCATGGGTTGACCATTTGATGTCGACATATTGGAGCAGTTGCAGCGGTTGGTACGGCTTGGGTCGAAAGACGATTGGCAACAGTTGGCAGTATCGACAACCAAAGCGAGAAAGCGAAAGTGATGACTTGAATGAATGAATGAATGAATGCTCTATGATAGTAAATGAAAGAAAAGATTCTAATGGATGTTGTGTCGCTCTGATGCCCCAAGGACGCCCGAAAAGGAAGAGAAAGACCTCGAGCAACCGAAAAGCGAGATTGATCCACCAGGCGATAAGATCACGTGTTTTCTGACACATTGCCCCAAAGAGTATCGGATTACGGAACAAGTCCGTGGAAGACTGGTGAGATACATTGTTTCGGAATACAAAATCTATTATATTTGTAAATGGATTCTCGCATATATTGGTATCTATGGGATGACTTTTTACTTTTGTGGTTTGATTTGGATGGCTGCGGTCACATGATCATAGCACTACTGCGGGACAAACAACAAAATATGTTCAATTAATCATCGAAGCCGCTGCTCGAAAAAGCGTGTTCGAAATTTATTCCAACTTACGACCAAAAAAAGCGTAAATGTAAATCCAGGGCTCACGATCTCCCCAACTGGACGAGCGATCAGCTAAGCGAGATGTTGATTCCATCTCTCGAAGAACTAATCTTTTACGAAATTATAGAATATATGTACCAGTTAACTATCTAGAACATATTGTCAACTCTCCTACCAAGTACTTAATTCAATATACTAAATCCTAGACAGCACGGATCCCGAACTCGCTGAAAGACATCGAACAACATAATATGGCGCGGGATATGACCGTAAGGTCTCTTTCATTAGCTGACTTATCATAAGCTACGAAACAACTTAATCATCCTTCTTCGACTTCTCCGGCCAACTAGTCCTCTTCTTAACTCGAACATAAAAGTTCATCGGCCTCACTAATTGAAAGGAAGGATCATACTCTACAGGATCCTGGCCAACCTTTTCAAAATGATACCGATATATCAACATAGAAATGATAACTCGGACCTCCTCCAAGGCAAAGTTGAACCCGATACACATTCTTTGACCTGCAGCGAAAGGTACGTAAGAAGCCTTAGGTCGACTCTTTACTTTATCGGTGTTCCAGCGATCGGGATTAAATTTGGCTGGATCGTCCCAGATCTTAGGGTTGTTATGGATATGATGTATTCCAATGATCATTACCGTGTCTTTTGGTATCCGGTAGCCACCAGGTATAATAACATCGGCAAGTGCTGTTCTGCCGGGTTGGTAGGAGGGGTTGTGCAATCTCTGGACTTCCTGAATCAAGATCCCCAAAAATGGTAAGGAGTTTGCGAGATCTGGAGTCCATTCCGTATCCTCTGTAACACCGTAATCAACAAGCTCTTGAAGAAGCCTTTCTTGATTGCCCGGATAAGAGGCGATGCTGAACAACATCCAAGAGAGCAGACTGGCAGTAGTGATGAAACCGGCGCCGACAGTTACCAAGGTGGCGTTGCTTCGATACTTCTCGGGAAGCTTATTTCCGTTCTGGTCGGTAGCTCTGACCAGATAGTCGACGATACAAGATGCCTTCAATGCCGCATCTTCGATAGGAAGATCATCCGTCTGTTTGCCGTTCGTTACGTTCGCCACAGCTTCCTCCACCATCTTCTGCACATGAAGCTTATTTTCTTTCAGCTTTTTGGGAGCACCCCATGGAATATGCGAGTACCAATCTCCCATTGTTGAAACCTGCTTGTTGAGCTCCAGGTTCTCTCCAACACTTTTGACCAGGTCGTGGAGTGGCGCATCAAGCGAGTCGAAGTGGTGCAAATCCATGTTCAAAGCAAGTTTGCCAATGGCTGTTGATCCCACTTTGAACATGTACCGGTAGACATTCCATGCTTCCTCCTTTTGATCAAACTCATCGAATACCTTAAATGCTTGTTCGGCTGTATTTTGCATTTGCGGGGTATAATGGCGAACGGCTTTTGGACTCAAGGCAGGGGCCAAGAACTTATGAACAACCTTCCAAGCCTCTCCATCTGTGTCCGAAAGGAAGACACCTGCCATTGGATCCTTGATCCCGTACAAAGGATGGTCACTGTTAATTTTCTTGGACCAGAAACCACCTTCTGCAAAACACACATCGGCTACTTTTGGATCATTAGTGTAGTAAGTAGTACGACCCATATCTGTGGTTTTGAAAACTGGGCCATATTGCTCAAACAGTCTTTGATGGTTTCCCAAATGGTCGGGGTAAACCTCATAGTAGCTTCCTGCGATAGGGATACCTGCAGGTCCTGGTACATCCCGAACTTGATTTCCATCTACAAGGATACCAATCGGTGAAGCTGCGTCAGTGAAATTGTCAAGATCATCAAGCACTCCATCCTGCTCGGTTTGGAAAGAAATTCCTGTTCAGGGTTAAAGCTATTTCTTGACTTTGGCATTTAAACACATACCATCTGGTTGGGCAATAGAGAAGTGTTGTGCAACAGTGTGTTGTAGCACGTCGAAATTGTTTTGCAAATCAACCTCTATCACTTGAGCACTACTAGCGGGCTGACCGACAAGATTGAATGTTTTCTTGACCATTTTGAATTGCTTTCGATTGTTGATGGATGCAGAGTCCTCGGAACCCAAGCGATTTTATCAAAGGTTGCTTCAGGATTGGCAATCGGCAAGGACGGTTATTCCAAATTAAAAAGCAAGAGACTAACTTAAATTCCAATCTCAAACTCTATCAAGCTTGCTGTCTGTAGCAACTACCAGTTTTCCTCGACCAGCCTAAAGGAGCGGCCGCCTCCAGGGCAACTGGATTGTGGTCTTCCCACAAAATTCTTGTCCATGTATATGTCATGGCTTCACAGCTCAAACGAACTCTGGCCCGATCACATGCGACCGGCGCATAGCAAATAATGTGTAACATTGATTCCGCGCGCAAGTAATTCGTGACAACTTGCGGCTAACCTTGGGGGCCGAGGACCGACGGTATCGTGGTGCCGAACGGGTAGTATTTGAAGCTATAGCTATGCTAGTTAGCACTCAATTAAGCGCTGAACCTCTAGCCACTTGTGGACCCGCCGTTAGCCAGAAAATTCCAGGGATTTTAAGCTCATTCTAGCTTTTGGGCGAAAGCCCCTATGGGTCCACTTGATCGCTTTTAGGATAATGCTAGAATGACCTAAGATAATGGACTCAACATCAACTCCATCGAAGTTTAATAGTTGTTTGTATCCTGTAGGGAGCTTTCGTGTCTTCCATTTATGCAAGCTGCTTTTTCTCGAATCAAAGTCAGTACCATAACATCAAAATAGGCGAAGTCAAGCAAATTAAGTTGAGCGAGGTGCAGAAGCACAAGACAAAGGACGATCTCTGTATTATTGTCCATCACAATGGTCCGTATACCAGATATCCATTAAAAGAGACTTTCTGCTCACAATTTACTGCAAAGTTTATAACGTTTCAAAATACCTCGAGGATCATCCAGGAGGAGCTGAGGCGCTTCTTGAAGTTGCAGGCGTGGATTCAACAGCCACTTTTGAAGACGTTGGGCACTCCGCAGATGCGCAGAAACTATGGAGGGGTTTCTTGTTGGAAGGCTAGAAGGAGCACCCGAGGAAGACGATGATGAGGACCAGCGGCTTCCGATGCCAAAACCAGACCTCAGTATCAAACCCGAGGATAGCGATTTCAATCCCGAGTCGCCAACCATCATCGCCGGACGTGCAGCACTTAAAGTTGTCTTAGCTGGTACTGCTGCATTTTTGGGATACGAGTTGTATGCTCGAACGCCGAAGATTGGATGGCTTCATCATCAACATGGAGGATTCTTGAAAGGTGTACTGCTCTCATCTCTAACGATTATTTCCTTGGCTGCTGGAGCTGGACTATATCTCAAGAAATCGTTCAGCGGGGGGAACAAATCGCCATATTCCTACCCAGCACACTTCAAGCCCTCGGTCCATATCGCAAAACCTATCACGAAGGTCAAAGGTTATCTTCGACCTGAGGAATACCAAAAGCTTCCTCTTTTCAAAAAAGACAAGTTATCATCCAATACGTACAGATTTGTTTTCAAACTTCCTACGCCACAAACAATCCTGGGCCTGCCAGTTGGCCAGCATATTAGCATCCGTGCGGAAGTGGATGGCAAGCCAATAAGCAGGTCATATACGCCTGTATCAAATAATTCTGATCCTGGAGAGCTCCGTCTGGTGATCAAATGCTACCCCGACGGTCACCTTACTGGTAAATACATGGAAAAATTACAGATTGGAGACTTAGTAGAGGTGCGTGGACCGAAAGGCGCAATGAGGTACCGTAAGGGTATGGTAAAGGAGATTGGGATGGTGGCTGGTGGAACAGGTATTACTCCAATGTACCAGGTAAGTGTTTCCTAACCAGTTTCCTGAAGCATTTCAACATCTAACTAACGAATACCTAGCTCATTCGCGCCATTTGCGAAGATCCTACGGATAATACCCACGTAACACTCCTCTACGGCAACAAAAGTGAATCCGATATTCTCCTCCGCAGCAAACTCGATGAGTTTGCTCAAAATTACCCTGATAATTTCAATGTACACTACGTGCTCTCAGACCCGCCTAATGATTGGCGATATGGAACTGGATATGTCACAAAGGATTGACTAGAGGAGAAATTCCCGCAACATGGTGAGGAGAGTAAGGCGTTACTTTGTGGACCACCGGGTTTGGTAAATGCTATGAAGGATGCGTTGGTTGAGTTGGGATGGGAGAAGCCAAGGGCGGTTAGCAAGTTGCCGGATCCGGTATTTGCGTTCTAGGAGAGAAGCAACGAACTGAAATGCTACTCTACAGAAGCGAGGCAAATTTGGGGATGTGTATAAGATGGATTTTGGCCGACTTGAAGCAAATTAGAAAACAATCTCACCTAACTAATTTTCTGTTAAGTTTATCTCTTTTTCAACTTGAGCCGTCTTGTCCTCCCTGCAAGGTCACATAAACGGTAGATTATGCAAGTCTAAGGTCCAGGTTCTTCCTCGCAGCTACGAAAACCATTGAGCTATTCGGATCCAATTCCCCAACCTGCTCGGGCATTTCTCTCTCACGTGTCACTCATACCAAATTTTTCAAAAACCCATATCGCATTAGATCTTCACCATTTCTTCCCGCAAACTTCCGCACGAATTCCCAACCATTTTCATCAAAAGCTACCTTATTTGAAATTCTTCATAGCACTGACATCCCAACCACCCCAAAACCTGGATTTACAAATATCTTTTCAACTACACATAACCAACAATCTTAGCTACACAACCGCTTGCCGCATAGCTATTTTTGCAACGGCCGTACCACAGAGCCTCGGCTAGTCCTTGTCAGTAGCACTTTACTCACTCGGGCCGTAGACCGAAGGAACTTTCAGCAGTAATTATTAGCTGGCTTAGGTTTGGCCGTGCACATGTGAAAAGGTGAAAAAGCACATGAGAGTGCAGTCCCTTAGCGTCAATGGTAGTAATTGATAGAGTAGTAAGTGGTTCTGTACAAGATAAACACGCTAGATAAATTAATGAATGACAAATTTCACGTCTATTCCTAATCGCACCGAATCACGTTTCTTTTGTTCTGCAGGATCAAGCGGCAAGTTAACCCAGTATCAAGTTCTCAAATGTTTATGAGGCTAAGTGGCGAAGCATTTTCCAGGTTCGAGAAGCTTTGCCAGCTTCGAGGGTCTGTCAAGTCTAGACCGTCCTAGTATGCCACAAGTCCCGCGAAGTGCCGAGAATTACATCATCCCGAAAGCCACTGGCGGTCGACCTCTGGCTGTCGCTGCCGAGATTCGATGTTTTTTAATTGAGGGAAAGTACGTAAGCATACTTATGGAAGTGATGGGTATATGAAGAGGGAGTTCTGCTTGCTTTTCAAAGCTATATTTAGATTTATTTAGGTTTTGATTATTCGTGCTGATTTGAAGTAAGCAGTGACTATCTAAAGCCAGCTCGTCTTCAGAAATCAGAAATGGCGACCTCACTCGAAGCAATTAAGGGAAGGCCTGTTGCGGTGCTTGGTGGTGGGGTTCTGGGGAGACGGATCGCTTGCACTGTAAGTGAGTGAGACATCAGATATCTTCCACAACTCCCTATTTCTGCGCCATTATATGCAACCTTAAACAGTTCTATTTTCTTGGTACGTGATGCTGACTCCAAACACAGTGGGCAGCAGGTGGCTGGAATGTGAATATCCGCGACCCCAGCCCTGAGCAGCGCAACGCTTCACTCCACTACATCGAAAACAACATTGCATCCTACGCCAGCGAGATTGGAACCAAGCCAGGCAATGCATCCGCCTTTGAGAGTCTCGAGGATGCAGTCAAAGACGCCTGGACCGTCATCGAAGCCGTTCCCGAGAAGTTGTCCTTGAAAATCGACACCTTCGCTGATCTCGAGAAACTGGCACCGAAAGATGCAAGTCTCGTAAGTAACTCATCAAGTTACAAATCTAGCGAGATGTTAGAGAAGGTTGGAAAAGAGGCGAGAAAGAGAATTATGAATACGCATTATATGATGCCGCCTGACAACCGGATTGTTGAGCTCATGACGGATGGGGAGACGGACGCTGCAATATTTCCGTTTTATGTGGATAGGCTTAAGGAGGTGGGGATGCACCCTATTGTTGCTCAAAAAGAGAGCACTGGGATTGTGTTCAACCGGGTGTGGGCCGCTATCAAGAGAGAATGCTTGACGATTCTGGCGGAGGGTGTGAGTACCCCAGATCAATTGGATAGTGTGTGGATGGAGATGTTTGGGTCGAAGGCAGGTCCTTGTACGATGATGGATGCGGTGGGACTTGACACGGTGGAGTTCATTGAGGAGCATTATATCAAGGAGAGAGGTCTTTCTGGCGAGAAAACTACAGAGTTTCTGAAGAGGGAGTATATAAATCAAGGAAAGCTTGGTGCGAAGAGTGGAAAAGGGGGTTTGTACCCTCCAGGAGCGACAACAAAAGCTGCTGGAGAAGATAAGTCTCATCATGATGATCTGCATGCTCCGTCGCTGTCAGTAGTTTTCTATTTCGAGAGAAGAATCAGGCGGCTAATTCGATATCAGTTACATGCTCGACATCGGTCTCAACTCTCTTGAAGACACTATCCATAGCGGTAGAGTCGTAGTTGGGTCCTCCGACGGGCGCGAACTCCGCACCCTAGTATCAGGGCAGACTCTCCCGGATGGCCTCGACATATCTCTCAAAACCGGTCGTATTGACTGGACCAACATGGGCGTCCCCACTTCTAACGATGGTATCGTGCAATCTTGCAAGCTTGATGGCAGCGATGTGCAAACCGTAATCCCAGCAGGCGCAGTGCACACACCCAAGCAACTTATCATTGATCAAGAGAATGACAAGTTATATTTTTGTGATCGCGAGGGCTTGCGAGTTATGCGGTCTAACTTGGATGGATCAGAGCACGAGATCCTGATCAAGAATGGAGATTGGGAAAATGAAGAGGATGCGGCGAATCAGCTGAACTGGCCGGTAGGGATTAGTGTAAATCGAAAGGAGGGGAAATTCTACTGGACGCAGAAAGGTCTGTCGAAAGGAGGAAAAGGTCGGATATTCCGGGCCAACATCGAAACACCACAGGGCGAAGACCCATCCAACCGCTCTGACATCGAAGTTTTGTTCACCGGACTCCCAGAACCAATTGATCTCGAGATTGACGAGGACACACAAACTCTGTTCTGGACTGATAGAGGCGATCCACCTATGGGCAACAGTCTTAACTGCGTCCAGCTGGATGGGTTGAAGGGTCTCAACGAGAATGAGGAGAACCCAAAATATCGTATTTTGGCGAAACAACTACATGAGGCGATCGGTGTTAAGCTGGATCGAGTAAACAAGCATATCTATATGACGGATTTGGGAGGAACGGTATATCGGGTGGGCGTCGATGGAAAGAATAAGAAAAAGGTTTATGATGAGGAGTTCGCATTTTCGGGGATTGGGTTGACTCATGTTTGATTTGTCCAATAGCTAAGTCGTAATGGCGATTCTAAATTGAAAAAGCTTCAAAATGAGCTTCCTATTGCCTTTGCAACAGAGATGTGTCAAAACACTAGACGTGCTGAATTTTTTAATCACAGCTTTTGACTATGCGAGGCCTTGTGAACAGACGCAAGACAATCCTGATTCAAGATAAGGTCGATTCTTGCGGTCGGTAATTTCGACCAGCGCTTGCTATTCGCGTGAGGATTGCTCATACTCAAGGATTCCACGCTTGTAGCGGTGTCGCCGATGTTTTTGACCACAATTATAACGCTTTCGAACTCTCTCATCTCATCGTTTAACTCCGCCGACTTTATTTTATACGATGACATTTTGCATGATCTCCGCAAGGGATGATATTATTGCTTCGACTATTGGCATCTTACTCCCCGGATTAAACCATCACAAGCTCATTCAGCTCTTGCAGCCAGTTCTGGTATCTTGAGCGAGCACTGCAACGACCAACGATACCTCGTGGCTAATAGAATTTGACAGTGGAAACAATGTCCAGTCTCCGTTCTCTATCAATTTCCAACTTCCAATAGTGTCGTAGTGTCACACGATTGTGATTTTCTCCAACTGACAGCTTTTGATCCAATCCTCCCTGTTCTCAACTGACAACTTGAAGTCGCCAAGTCTCTCAAACGCGCCTGGTGTAGACCGTGAATTCCCTAACACTATGCCAGTATAGTCCCAGGGATATCTTCCTGTCCTCTTTGCATATTGGTGTCTCGACTCCCGACGTCTGGGCACCCCAAACGCCCCGTGAGCATATTTACCGATGATGAGACAGCGAACGACGATACCGAACGAACTCTGCCTTAGATCTCGATGTTTACTTGCTTCTATGTCTCCAATATCTCTGCAAATTACTTGCGGCTGATTTTGGATCCCTGGATACTGACACCTGCGGATACACAGTTGGCAGTCAGGATTCATTTCAAAGACTTCATCACTAAATGAGTGACGACTCTGAAGGGAGTGCAGATAGTCATCCCTGTATTGGAGGCCATCAACTATAAAATATACATCACAATAGTGACCCAAAAGAGTAGCAATCCCTCCATATACTTCGCCGAACACGTTTAAGCCAGCTAGTGAAGCACTCGCTTGGAGAACCGCTACACAGAGCGTCATTACTTCTTTAGAGTTGAAATACGGTGCATACTTTATGTTTCCCTCAAGGGACGCCCAAGACCAGCTTGGTGCCGTGATCTCTTGGTCACCAAACCGTTTGGGTATGATGGGACGTGGAAGGTCACCGCGTTTAGCACTTCGCCAAAGCAGATCGAGAACGAAGGTGTCTGTCCACAGCCCTGCTACGTATTCCGAAGAAGTTGCTCGCTGTACGACAGATGCTATGCCCGACATAGCCGGAAGACGGTCACTTTGGTACGTCAGTTTACGGTTGCCATACTCATTAAGTGTCTTGAGCCACACAGTATGAAAGTCGGAGCTGCCTTTCATCTGGTTCAAGAAGCGCATGATATTGCGAAAACTAGAAATTGCACTGTCCCCACCACATTCACAAATATCTTCACTTTGACAAGTCCATTTGACTTCTGCGACCGTAAACTTTAATATTCGCATCGATAGCAGATTTTCTTGGAAACTCCAGCCACGCTGATCTAGTGGGCCCATATTGACCTTTTCGTGTAAGTCGGTGGGCTCGATACGTGCTGTCAACAGTAAATCAGGAGTGTTCCGCTGCGGGAACCGTTGAGATACTGGATCATACCGCCCGTCGTGAGGTACGGACAGAAACCCGGCATGAGCGTTAGGACTTGAGGTTGCAGCTATCGTTAGGCATGCATTCATGTAGACGTCTGCCATTCGAGATGATTGCTGTGCCCAGTCAGTCGAGCTATCCTGGATGATGCAAATAGAATCAATCCAAATATAGCGGAAGTTTAGACTGCGCGCTACAGTGATAGCGTCCTGAAAGGTTTGAGGGAGATTAGAAAAGTGAATAGCATTCAACACGGATTCGTAATTGCCTAGCGTGGTCTGAAAAAACTCAACTCCACCCCAGCAATAGCTTAACGCAACATATTCGACATCGGGCTTATGATCAACGCTCAGGCGGACATCATCATTTTGAGGATCGAGCCAAATTAATCTAGTAGGTGCCCACTGTGGGCTTTCCGACTTGCACTGAATGTGGTACTGAAGGCAGTTTTGGTAGCGGTCTTTAATGAACCAGAAAGTCTCCTTGGAGGCTGCGGTCTTAGGAATATCAAATTCTGCTCCTTCAGAGGCATTTGTGTTGGCTCTATATCCTACCAATTACCATTGTCAGCCCACGCATCGAGAAGTGTGTTCTGGAAAACTCACCTGAGGGTTCATATATAGAGAAAGGTAAGCATATATGAGAATGTGGATTAACTGATTTTACCCAGAGTTTTACCCTGACAAAGTGAAGCGATATGAAAGTTATATAGATTTCAATTTCGGTTATGTCGAGCAGCTCAAATTCTGGATAGAGTTTGAATCCAAGAAAAAGGACGGCTCTACAATGAGAACATTCATTCACGGCCTTTTTTGCTGAAGGACGCATTTGAATTATGAACTGGGGATATATGTGCTCTGTGGTTTTAGAAAAGTACAACATAGCATCATCCAAAAAGGGAAGATATTTCAAATTAGGCTGCCAATCTGCTTCCAGACTGTTGCAATGTACGCATCTCCTGCGGTACAATTGCTTCGATCTCATCAGTGCTTTCAGCAAGATCTGCTGGAAGTGATGAATGGGATGCGAGAATAAAGACTGCCTTGGTGGCATGTAATTGTATCGGCTACCGTCACATTGCCATGACCCTATTCGGATTGTTAGACACAAGCGTGTGGAGGACATGGATAACTAACTGGATGATGCAGGCTTCAGCAAGGTTTGCGTGTCCTCCATGTTGAACCACTCTCATCATGGCGATTGTTATGTCGCGTTGGTTGCCAAACATCAAGGTTGTGGATTGTAAACTAGCATGGCCTAAACCTTTTTTTTGGAGTTAAAAGATATTCACCAAAGACATTGTATGAGGAGAAGTCTTTAAGTCGTTTACAAAAGAAACGTCATGAATGTAAGACTGAATATTTCTGTTGGTTGTTGTTGGAAAGGATGTGGCCGACTCATTGATAGGCTGAACGTTCTAGCACGTGTGGTCCTTAACGTCGACCGTAAGGTTATTCAAGTCCGTCGCGAAAATGCGTCGACCAGTCCAGTTTGCGACGCGCCAAAACATTAAGTCAGGCATTATCCACAACCTCAACCACTTCCCATATTACAGCGCAACAAAATGGCTTCTCAACCCTTGACCTCGTCGATGCAGCCCACAGACGTATATGGTGGAGGTACATTGCCCCCTTCCCAATTCTACTCAATGCCACTCTGACCCCTCTATAGACGAAGTATCAGCAATTATCCTCGACCCGGGCTTCTCAAGCGTACGAGCTGGATTCGCGGGGGAAGATACTCCCAAATCCTTCTACACCTCCTACTATGGAGTTGCCGGCGACCGAACGATATTCAGCGATGAAGACATTCACAACCCATTGATTAAGGATTTGGAGATTCGCAATCCTATGTCGAAAGACGGAGTGGTGGAAGATTGGGACGCGGCGACCCAGCTTTGGGAATATGCAATCACTTCACGCCTCACAAAATTCAAGCAAGGAGATCCTCGAACGAATGGGCTAAATGATAAGGATGCTGATGTGGAAATGGACGCCGCTGAGGACGAAGAGAAGCCGCTGGAGGAGCATCCTCTGTTGATGACAGAAACAGCCTGGAACAGCAGCAAGAACCGAGAAAAGTCGATTGAGATTGCGATGGAGAATTGGGGTTGCCCTGCATTTTGGCTTGCGCGGAACAGTGTCATGGCGGCGTTTGGAGCTGGACGCGCGACAGCTTTGGTGATTGATCTGGGAGCTTCTACGGCGTCTGTAATGTGCATCCATGATGGTCTCATCCTCAAAAAGAGTGTGCAGAAATCGAATGTGGCAGGCAACTGGGTATCCTCTCAGGTTCGATCTCTTTTCAACAATAGCGAACCCAAGGTCGAACTCATTCCACATTACATGATCTCTGCGAAAACTCCCGTCGATGCCGGTGCCCCCGCGCAGGCTACATTTCAAAATTTCGACCACAAAATATCAGACAGCTTCCGCGCGCTGGAGGAGGAGCGGGTCATATCAGAGTTCAAAGAGTCAGTCGTTCAGGTATACAATGGACCAAATCGCCTCAATTCTACACACCCATCAGGGATACCAAATATTGAGAATGTCAAGGCAATGCCAGGTCGTGTTTTCGAATTTCCGGATGGCTCGAATCAGATGTGGGGCGCAGATCGCATGAGTGTCGTGGAGGGTATGTGGGATGAGCGAGCCGCGCTGCCTGTTGCTGGAGAGCCTGCCTTGACGAAGGCTCAGACAATCCCAGAAATGGTCAAAGCTTCCATTTCTGGAGTTGATATGGATCTGCGAGCCGCACTTCTGCAAAATGTTGTTGTCACAGGTGGTACCACTTTACTGCAAGGTTTCACTGACCGCCTACACAACGAAATGGTGAACATGTATCCAGGTGCTAGAATCAAGATCCAAGCAGCTGGATTGACAACCGAGCGAAGATTTGGCAGCTGGGTAGGAGGCAGCATCTTAGGAAGTTTGGGAACATTCCACCAAATGTGGATTTCAAGAAAGGAATATGAGGAATTTGGAGCGAGCGTGGTTGACAAGCGGTGTAAATGATTGATCTGTAATGATAGGGGTTACCAAAAGTTGGCCGCAAGGTTAGTGCTGAATCTAGGTTTCGCGGCGTATGGTGTCAGTTGCTGGATATACCATTCTATACCAGCTAGATGGACTAAGTGGGTAGAAAAGCCAAAAGAATTAATACCACCCTCGCTGCCTGTTAAATCTACCACCCCCTCCACCTAGGCCAAACATCCACAATCTCATCCTCCCTCCCCTCCCTCCCCCCATCAACAACAAAATACCAATCAAACCCCCTCCCAGCAATACAAGCATGATTCGGCCACACCCGAACCTTCATCCCCACCTCCAACGGCTCTTCCTCCCCCTTCTCCCCATCCCAAGTCAAGATCCCATGTTCCTGACTGATCCGCCCGACTTTCCATCCTTTATACTCTTCTAAAGGCACGCTAGGCATAGACACGCCCACGCGGTTCCACGGCGTCAAAATTCCCCATCCGCTATACGCTTTACACGGTTCGCGACCTAGTGCGAGGGAGCCGGCGCCGAGAAGCGCTTCTGCGGTCCCGTCGGTGCCGCGGGAGGGGTAGAGCGATGCTACTTCGGCGATTATCGTGAAGGCTATGTCGTTGAATGTGAGCTGGGCGTTTGGACCGGTGGTCGGGAGGGCGTTGGTGGCGAGTTGTTGGCAGTCTAGGAGTGGGTAAACCCCTGCGTGGATTTCTATAAGCGCGTTTTGGGATTGGATTTGGCTGATTGTTTTCTTGAGCGCGGTGATGGCGGGGGTTTCGGGCGTGTTGGGTAAGAGGAGGTTGCGGATGGATGTTGTGGTGGGTGTTGCGCCGACGGAGAGGATGAGTTGTTTGGATGGGGATTGGGCGTGCACTGTTGAGAGGGTTGTGAGGAGGGATTCGAATTCGAGACGGAGATAGTCGAGGGCTGAGTCTTGGGAGTTGCTGCTGTAGGAGTGGCCGGCGTGGGAGTAGAGACCGAGGAATATAGCTTGTCCGGCTTTTTCGAGGGAGAGGATTGATGTGATGAGTTGAGAGCAGGCTTCGGTTTCTGGGACTACACCGGCTCGGCGGCCGCCCATGTCAATTTTGAGGAAGATTGAGGGGGCGATTGATGTTGCTTTGTGAATTGCGATTACTGATTCAAGTTGCGTTGGATGGTCGACCATGAGTGAGAGACCATTTTGTCCGAGTGACTTGTTTAACTGTGAGAGTCGCTCAACAGCTCCTGGGGTTACAGGGAAACTGTATAGAACCTGTTTGCCATTAGTCTCAGAGTTTCAAGAGTATAAGGAACGTTCTTACGTTAACGGCACGACCAGCAGCTTTGTATTCAAGCAGCAATGGAGCAACATTTTCGGCTTCAATGATAGTGGAGACTATGAGATTGGCTGGTCCATTTCCATCGCCAACTTGTAACTTGGTCAACTCAGTTGTCTATAAAAAGGTTATTAGCTCGAGTTCTGTAAATCATCTGAACATAGATGTGGACACAAAATGCTCTTATCAATTGCATCCGGTCCAATTTCACTACCCGTCAAAGGCCGTACGTACTTTATGAGTCTTAATATGAGCTCTCCATCTAAATTTCAGCTCCTCACAAGCGTCGAGCATGCGATCACAATTTCTTTTCACCTTCTGACGGTCGATCACAGCAGCAGGGAGTGTTACATCCTTGATAGATTTGCTAACGAATTTCTTTGTTAGGTCCTCTTTGGAATAGAAGGGGTAAAGTTCCGAGGTTGCCATTTTGGATGAGAGGGGTGAACGGATTTTGATCGTTGGGCTTTTGGTGAGAAGTCTGACGCTGAGGGATTTCAGATATGTGAAGAAGTTCGTTTATTTATACTCTGAAAGAACTAAAACAGTGGATGTAGATCATAATATATGAGCACGATACACATGGAATAAGACTGAGTCAGGGAGACAAGTGCTGTTCGATTTCGGCTTGGCCTACTAGTCACCGATGTTCGCTGCGAGTAGTACGCAAGCGAGTCGAAAATGGGGGTCGGCCCCGAACGTGAGGACGATACTGAAACTCACCAACGAATCAGCCGAATTTTGGACAATAAGCTCAGATGAACCAATTTGAAAGTTTTATTCGCCCTCTAGCTCACCATAAGCAAAACCCTCTCGATTCTGCAGGGAAGACCAACCTCTTCAAAAAATGTAGTGCCCGGTCTTCGGCTGAGAAATATCCTGGAGATTGATTAAACCCTTCTCTCTCAAATTCTGCCGGAAACATATGCACTTTCACAATAAGCTTAGAAAAACAGAGTGGTCGAAGAAACCAATTTTGTCAACTATTTGATAGAATTATTTTCGATTGTTATTCGTACTTCGGGTCAAATCTTTGGGTGACTTTAGAGACCATTCATGCAATTATTTCCACTTAAGTGCGACCCGACTAATTCATCCAATTTTCATCAACATCAACATCAACTTGAGGTTCATCTACTGTTTAGAACTTATGAGCCTACGGCCTTAATTTACGAATCAATTGTACTAAAGTATCCACTGAGGTGTGACTTTTAAGCGTTTCAATCGAAACGGCGAACTTCATGAGAGTCGACTTCTGACTACCTCTGTCGTATTATGGGTTTGAAATATGGGTTAAAAACGTCTTTTATTTGCCACTTTAATTTCATGTGTTGTTTTGTTACTGGAACGCGATCATGGGTTATTGAATTGATGGTATAGATAAGCACTCGGACTTCACCAATCTCTCATTCACAACAAAATCAGTAGGTCTAAGGAAAGCTCTTCTTATCTCTAGACTATTTCAATATTTCAAGACCCACAGAGATTTTTCGTGTTGATATATTTGCAAAACCATCTTGAGGCAATGAAGTTTCAGTTCTCAGGAACCAAGTCCTAGAGAGCAAATCCTACTTGATCACAATGCTGATATTACTGCAATAGACAAACCTCTTTTTGCATGGCCTGATCGAGCATCTCGGACGCCCAAAAATTATCTATCCCCTCACTCACGGCCTTTTGGAAGCCAAGTAGCGAAATGGCAAGATGTCTTCTTCTCCTTAGAAAATTCTGATTACCGAACAGAGCCAGATATCACGCCAATCCGACCTCACGCTCCCACGCTCATAGTTTTATACTATCCAGACGACGATGTTGTTCCAAGAAGACCCATTAAAACCTATCTCGATCGAATCAAGATCATTGCGGCAATGAATGAACAGGTCTTATTTTACACGCCATCTTGGTTATCCCAACAAGTCCGTAGTTACCGCAATGATAAGCACTGGCATGTTATCAATGATTATAAAACAGTTTGGGACTTTCCCAACAATAAACACCAACAGTACAATTTCTCGATCACGCAACCGAAACTGTTCAACGAGTTTGATGACTACAAGTCCTCGCATTGGAAACCTAATCCCGCATATAATCACCCACACCGCAGTGACACGTACAGCGCAAAGGCTTTTGTCACTTATGATGCCATTATGCGAGATCCATTTGGATCCAAGACAAGGATGTAAATAGACGCTGGTCTCTTCGACGAGCATCGACCTGTTGACGAAAGAGGGAACCTGTGGAGTAATGTTCTATTTTTCACACTATGCCGCCACAAAATTGACAGGTCAATTAGAATTTCGGGGGATACTGGTATCGTTATAGGCGAATACCTGCAGGACGCGCAATGCGGTGTGAAAGACATCAATCATGAATGCTGGACGAATCCCAAAAAATCCTGGATGTGTCACCAGCTCATCGCTAATGCCTACATCGGGAGCTCTTTAGGCATGCTTAACCACATTGTTCGCTTCATGCAGACTGTTGATGATATGGATGCCAACAAACGCTATACTGGTAGGGAAGAATTCGTCATCCCATGGGTTGCTATACGGTATCCGAATACTGTGTTTTCCATTCCATGGTATCCTGTACCACGACCGCTGCGTAGGCCTTACTCGTCTGGCATGTATCTCATAAAATCCAGCTGTTACTCGACGCACGGTGGAATCAAGAGTGTGTCTGCGATAGTGGATCCGATTTCAACTATCTACTGCAAAGGCTACATCCCTAAAAAGTCACATCCGAAGAGCGGTGGTATCTACAAGCGAAACTTCAAATCAGATATATATCTTTTGGCCCAACGTTATAGATACTTGATCAAACCAAAGGTGATGGTAGAGCATTTCAAAGAGTTAATCTCTCGCGTGGTGAGTAAGTCAGCCATCTTTACACCATCTTAACTTTTTCCTGGAGGGCGAGACGCCTTCGTCCTCGGCAATTTGTAGCAGCTCTCTCTGCGTACTAGAAAGGTGTGCTGTAGCGAATTCGAGCTGCTATGAAGGCACAAATACACAGAGAGATGCCAGGATCCGCCAGTGGTAGAAAAGACTCAGGTTACAGATTCCGTACATCGACAGAATAGAATTCTTTAAACCATCCGAATCATTGTCACAACTATTCATCCCTAACTACTCCACCAACTATCAACCAAAATCTGCTCCATCCTCGCTCTTCTCGCAGGATCCAAATTCAACATCCTGGACAAGAATCTCTTCGTATCAACATCCAAATCCGGCTGCGACTCTTGAGTCCAATTGGCAAGCCGCACATCGTCACCTATACCCATTTCTTCCAAGGCCGCCGCGGATTCCTTGATCTTTTGAACCCAAACTTCGTCCTTGATATGCGTCAGCAACCCCTTCGGGAGTGGACCGAAATACACAAGTAGAATCTGCATCAATGCATCTCTATGCGATGTCCCTTCTTCGTCCAGCTCCCTGAAATTTACTTGTAGCTTTTCTACGGTCGTGATCACGAAGAGACACTGGAAATAGCGAAATCAGCTTTTTGTCTGGACAATGATTCAGAATACGCACGATAAGTCCGAATGAAAACACGTCAGAAGGTTTCCCAATGCCTTGGCCCGCCAGCTATTCTGGGCTGCACCACATGACATTTCCTATCATTCCCCCGTTGGGGATGTTAAGAAGATGATCGCCTTCGAGCTTCAATGAGAGGTCGAGATTTCCTAGCGCGACTCTTTCTGGTTTTATATGACCTTGCGAATCGGTATTCCAATCGACGAAAACATTGTCAGGCTTCACATCTTGATTGTTGCACGGGTATCAGCAATTCTACCCGCACAACTTAGCGTTTAGAAAAGACGTACCTATATGAATCCAGTTCTTGGCATGATAATCCATCAATGTCTCTGCTATTTCTCGCAATATCCATTTTCGAGACCTCAGCGGGATGTCTGGTTGTTTTCGAATCAATTGAAGCAAGTCATCTTTGTACCATTCATACACAAGAACACATTCATTTTCACTTTCGTCGATATGGTGTCGAAATCGCTTGCTCTTGAATTCATGTTTAAGCCCATTCGATTGCTCGAATACAGATGGAGACACGGTTTTCAAGACAAATGGTAAGCCATCGCGACTAGATTGAATGAGCTAAAGTGTGGACTATAGGGATGGGGTCGTACTGCGCGAGAAACAAGCTTTTACTGTGATTCTTTGGATCCGCTTTCAGCACTTTGCTTCGAATGTACTTGAGACCTGAATTGGAAATAAATGTCGAAGATGCTGTTCTAGCACTATCAGTGCAGTAGCGACGGATGAAGAGCATGAATAGACGTAGTACTTGACGTTATAACATGTTGATATGCAAGAGCAGCAAATTCCGAGGAGAATGAAATTGTCGATATGGTTGATGATGTTGACAGGTTATGAAGTTTATATTTCTTGCAGCGGTTTCAAATTTGGCCACGTGACTATTTGGCTGCTTAGTGAATTGGATACTGCTTTCAAATTTGAATCTTGTGCTATTTAACACGTAAAATATATAGGGTTTCTTTTCAATCGTGTTCCGTCTTCGATTCATACACAACCAGCCAAACCTCCCCTGGAATTCACGCACCATCACATGACCAAATGGCCGAGTGGTTATGGCGCCAGGTCAGCGCTGATGGAAACGATGTGCAACAAAATATGCATGTTGGTGTTCTGTGTGATACGATTGGTTGGTTAATCTATTGATGAGAATGTGGTTGGTCGATGAGGACTTGGCTGTTGGAAGGGGAGAGGGGTGGGATGTGTGGGGGTAAGCGAGGAGATAGAAGCAGGTATTGAGGGTGGAATGGTTTTGATGGAGGAAGTTGTGGTCTCGGGTTAGTGATTTATTACTTGGTGGAAGATCTCTGGTGATATATTGGATTGGATCCATGAAACTCTGAAGTGATTGTCGGAGAAATTTAGTGATGTTGTGTTTTTTATGAGGAGTCACTGATTTGTCTACTCGAGTGCAGAGTAGGCGTCTTAGATAATTGAAATTTAGAACAGATGTCATAAATTTACACCCATCACAGAGGATGGTTGTGAGACATAGCTGTCACCCTGAATGAAGCCGAACTAGGAAGGACTTTGTAGCCGCCTGGTCATCCTCTTCTATCTAGCAATTTATTAAATAGGATACCAAGATTGAAATAAAAACTTGATATATATGGCACACATATGTTTTAATAGAATGTTAGTGTTTAGCTACCAGTATAGAGAGAACAATGGAGGTGCGATATTTGAGTGGCTGGGCTAAAGAATCTTTATCGTTAGCCACCTTTTAACCATGTGTGCTCCTAGAAGAAATTATATTTTTAGATCAAACATGTGAGAAGAACAGTGTTGTGGTATTTGTTTCAATTTCAAATTTGACAATTCAAGCAAAGCAGTAAATCGGTGACAAACTCTTTTTCGGTGACAAAACACCCACACCATTCTGTTTGCTAAGCCCAAAATACGTACATGCAAACATATGTTGCCATTATACTTTCTGGCCCAGTTCTTAAAAGAACATCTAAAATAACAAAAGGCTTGCCAGAGCGTCAAGACTCTAGGTCCCTCGACTCAGACATCGTTTATATAGCGCCTAATGTTTAAGTGAAACCTTGAAACCTAAACTTAAGCACCAGCATCGCGAATTTAGAATGACTGATCAAAGAACCTGGAAGGATAGAGTTATGTTGTTTTTTGATCCGTTTTGGTGTGTACACGTAGACATTAATAAAAAGGGGTAACTTCTTATCTTTAGGACACAAGATGTAATTATCGGAAATAAAAGGCATAGTAATAGTTTGGATTTTAATATAATCTACAGTAGTATCGAACAATAAATAGCTATTTCCAAGAAATTTGGGTCACAGGTAACACCGACTTATTATCAATCGCAAGAATGTGTCCCCCCACTATGTAAATACACCCTTCCCCCTTCCATTAGAAAATCAATGGAGAATATAGAGAAAGCTTCTTATCTTTACTGAGTAGTCTAGAGTCTCGAGCATGAAAGTAATAAGTGAAAAGAGTACTGTTTGACTTATCGTAATATTTCTCTAGAAAAGGATGGAGTATAGGTTAAAATTCCTACGATGGTCAATACAAACATGTGATGTAGTCATTTACTACCGAAAATTGATTTATCACCGAAGTCGAATTCACCAAGTTTCCATTTTCCATAATAGAAAGGATCTGATCTTCATTAATGTTTTACTCATCATACATTTCTAAGTTCCCTCCAGACTTTTTGACAATCAAAGTTTAACCCCTCTACATACTACTTACAGAACGGTGCGAAGGAAGACTAAACAGTAAGATCTACCTCTATTAACCCACTTATCAATAACCCCTTCACGAGAAGTCTATCATTATTTTCTTTTAAATATTGGGGGAGCAAGCATATACCCACTTGGAGAAGACGACGCAGATAGTCATCTGCGGTAAGTAGTTGAACGGAATGAAATATTATCATTTTCTACCATCAAAACAACATTGATAAAGCCCCGCAGAAAAGGCTCCTTTTTCAAAGTATTCAAGCTAGGACTCATAAAGGGGAAATCGACCACATTGGTTGCTTTAAATCTTGTATGGGGATCTTCGACATAGATATTTAGAGATGAAGTACTGGATAGACGATAATTATTAAAAGAACAGATTACGATGAAGAACTTTCTGATAGTATAAAGCTGTCATGTGTTAAATATGAAGGGTGAAGTTGCTGCCGAACTTTTTCACACCACCGAATTCCAATCCGGTAGCTCGACATACACGAAACTCTGTCATCTGGGCTACTACGACAACAATTGCAATCCCCTGGAGACTCGTATACAGATATGCAGTCTCTGTTTTCGTTAGAGCCTTGTCTGTGAGCCAACTTACATTCTAGTTCTTGCCCCAGTGCCATTGAAAGCGTGTTAATAGCCGTTGCCCGGCTAAATGTTTATTTGAAACTTTGGTGTTAGAAGACTTACAGTACGGAATAACGAGTTTTGCTCTTACTCTGGTAGGAATACCTCGAGAAATGTTCGATTTCTATTAATTTGCTCGACCTAATATTCCGAATTCCCTGACTTGGCACTAGTGATTCGGTCACGTAGCTTCTCTATAGATTGTATGAAATTGGAGATGGATTTGCTCAAATATAGAGAGAGTAGATAGCAAGAGATTGCGTGTATCCTAAATAGGGCGTTACCAGATTTAAGATTTATCTTACTATAAACCATAATCTAGTATATCACCTATATTCCGGAAAACAAGAATCAAGAAAGCCCAAATCTCCTTGTAAACTCTTTTGACTAGGTTGAACTCTTTTTGCAAATAAATTACACCCTCCACTTCGGAATCCCAACCTGACGCATCCCCTCTGAACAGCATCCCATCCCCAGCCCTCAGAAACATAAAAACATCTCCAAAGAATTAGCAATCTGTAGCAACAGTCTCTAATCCTCGGACAAATGCCCCTTTTAATCTCTAGAAGCACAATCATTTCGCATCCAAATGTTGTCACGCGCCGAGAAGATTCTCGGTTGCGATAATAGTATAAATATTTTAATATTTCTTTTTCAGTAATTAGGTATCGTAGATAGAGCTCCATGGAGCGAGCCGGTGAGCTTCTGTCAAAATATGGCTAAGTGAAGACACAATTGAGATATTGAGATAAGGAGGCGGCGAGTTGCTGCTAAGAGCTCTGTTGTCACCGAGATTCAAGGTGGTCGCCTTTTTATTGTATAGACACCTCGAAAGACGTTGATTTCTGAATTCTATAACTTAATAACGGGCGTAAAAACGGTAATAACTTCTATTACGGTAACAGACTACTTATATTATTTCACTTTCTGCTTTTTCCAGCTAAATATGTAATAACGTAAACTCGTATTTTATTACAGGCCAGAAGGTTAGATGGTGCGTATAAACGTCCATGTATCTTGATATAACCCGGGCTTCTCTAGGATTAGTTTGGCGAATGACTACATGCCTTGATAGTACAGAAGAGGTATTACAATAATGAAAGATTTAAATAGCTATAGATTATTGTTCCTAGGCTGTAATAGTTGTAATTTAGGGTTCGGAATTAGTAGGCTCACGCTTATTAAGAGGGTAGAAGTGGAAAAGTTTAGACTCTAGTGTATTAGCTCTAGGGGAAGAGAGTAAGGAGGATAGAAGAATCTATAACTTAAGTTTATAAAATTTAGATATATATTTAAGAGCTTAAAGTAGGTTTAGCTAAATTATCCATTACGTAAATAAGTCCGAGATATAAATACTTCCAAGGTTTCTAGGCAGTAAAATATGAAGATTAATCCTAGAATCTAAGATGAAATAGATATACTTAAAACACCTCGAGTATCCCAAAATTTCCATCAACCGACCCAGGGGAAAAAACGACATACTGCTCTACGTGCGATGATAGATTATCTCTAACGTTTTAGCTTACGGGATAATCATCTATCTGAACGAGCGTTCTGAACGTAGAGGTTTGTGGGAGAATGTCCTTTGAAATGTAAAGGACTAGTGCAATAATCTAGTGTTGCTGCCAAAAGTCTAACTATCACCGATTTCTACTTTACCTATAAGAAAAACTAAAGAGTGAGAGACGTAGTGTTATGTAAACTGTACCCGTGTGAATTTTATAACTATCTACACCTCACAAACCCACTATACATTGGAAGCAAACCTTGCAACCTCCCTCTATACACACTCTTGTGAAAGCGTTTAACTTAGACTATTTAATGTATATATAGACCTCAGGATATACGTCGTATTATAAACTAAGCTTTCCTGAAGATCCTGTGGTATATAAAGTATTCTAGCCTTGAAATTGTAGGTACAACCTTCAGTTCCGATGCGAAAAGGATATGAACGCTATTACATCTGTCGCTCTCATGAAATTTAGTTTTTTTTTTGTATTCTTACAATCATCCCCAAGAACTTACAAAGTCCGAAATAAAACCTTCCTCCCTTGTATATTATTAATGACAATATGTTCATATTGACAGCTTCGATCAGCGCGTTCTTGGAGTTCTCAGCCGCGAACCGAACGAAACAAATTTCTGACAGTATTTCGTGAATACGTAATAAACACAAGGGCGACGTACGAGGTATAGTTCCATAATTAGAAGATGTGTGGAGTACTGGATGTAAAATGGAGTGTTGCTACCGAAACTTATACTATCACCGATTTTCCTTCCTTATTTCATGATCTAGCGGAATTGAATAACGTGAGCTCGACTTTGCTACACATGTTTTAACTACTGCTACCTCCGCACCGTCACAAAACCCAACCCTCCCAGTATCAAAACGCTCCATCTTCTCATACGAAAAAGATGAAAGTTTGATGTCGCTTATGTCGATGAGAACCGTCGGCAAAACGATCGCGTTAAATAGCGTGATGTCCCGTCGATATTTTGGGGCGTGTGGGATGTTAAAGAGGTGGAATGGTATTGGGAGTGGTTCTAGGCTGGGGAGAGAAAGGATGTTGGGGGATAGATCTTTTTGCTTTGATTGATGGTTTGGAGAAGTTCTCTCTTTTTAATTTCAACATTCTCCATCCTCAACACGAATAAATCGTCTCCAAAGCAATCTACCTCCCAGATCCCACACAACACAATAACATGCCACCCAAGAAACCCTTCTTCTCACCTATAAAACCATCGTATCCCCCATCTTCTCAATCTATAACACCTTCCAATGAACGAGCCAATGCCGGTCTGTCTGTGTTTCTAAACATACATTTATCCCCAGAAATGCTATACATATCCACACATACTCCCCATTCAAAATCAAAAATATCCAATTCACAAACCTACCCCTAGTAAAACGAAAAGTGAAAAGAAAAAAGAAAACAATCCAAGTTTATCACCGAAACTCTCACCACCACCGAATCCCCTCCCACCCTAGACCACAATCTAACTCGCCGTCTTCCGACGAAAATTATACACCACACCCAGGAACTAAATCGCCACTAAACCATCACGCTTTTCTTTTTAACCCGTCACTAAGATCTTCCACCACGCATGACACTTGTCCGATCAATAGCTCATTTGCTGAATTGTGATGGATTTCAGGGAAAGAGTGTATAATATACGGTCAGGAATCTTTCACTCTGATCGAAAAGGAAATTCGCGTGGATATTCTATGACTAACTAAGGGTTTGATACTGGGGAGGGAGAGAGAGAAGGAGAGAGGAAGGGGTTAGGATGGTATTATTTGTTAAGTAATCATTAAGGGAAAGGGAATTGATAAATTCGACATACATTTCATCTTAACATCAACCTATAAAACCATCCTCCCTTCCCTCCCACACCCGCAAAGAAATAAGTTCACAGAGATTACAACAAAGGAATGATATTTAGAATCCGCTGGATGTACTTCATTTTCACGCAGCAACCACACTCATCAACCTCCACAAACCCACCTCCCTGTTCAAATACCTAACACATCCACCTAACACCAAATCACCCCGTCCCCCATCGTTCACTCCTCGCCTCACTCACCACCGAAAATCCTTTCACCACCGAAACCCGTCTCCCTCCCCTTACAAGTACCACCTCACCAACCCAACCCTCACCCTCTCCCACATCCCCGAACCGCACCACCATACCCACTTAAAACTACTTTTCCCCCTAAAGACGCCAACACCCCAACAAAAACGAACACAGCCATGAGCTTTCATGCGCGCGCACTCTCTCTTATTCCCAGCTCAAGGATTTGCGGGCGCTGAGTGTTTAAGGATACATTTCCCAAGAATCCATGGCTCGAGGAACCTAAGTGTGATGGATGGGTTAATACGTTCCCACGGACTTGACTGGACTTCCCAATAGCTATGAGAGCAAAGATCGGTAGGTGATAGTTGGAAAAGATTGGTGGTGTTATTGAAGTTTGATTTATTACTTTTGACTATATATATATATCCAACCCCCCTCCCACCCTTGATCTACAATTACAATTTCAACACTAAAAGCTATGGTATATACTATGCTATGCTAAACTCCCACAACCCATGCAAATGCTCAACAATCTCCTGTCCCCCATAATACAAAAAACCCCCTCACAAACACTCACTCAACCCTCCTTCACCACCCCATTCTCCCCACTCAATCTCCCACCCTCCGCACCACCCTTCTCCTCATCCACCACCTTCTTCCCCCCCTTCAACTCCCTCCTCTTCTTCTCCTCCTCCGCCAACCCCGTCTTCGTAACCTGATGTCCCTTCTCCAGCGCCTTATGTCTGATAAACGCACTACACACCAACCCGGCCGCCGCGAAACAAACATACATGATCCACATGGTCTTGAGACTCTGGTGGAACGCCAGGCGTGCAACCTCTCGTTGAGCCATGGGAAGCGCGTTGACGATACCAACGGACGCACCGGCCGAGCCACCGGAGAGAGAAGCTGCGGTTTCAGGACCGAGAGAGGCGGAGAGGACGGCGAGTTTTTTCTGCATTTCGTTTTGAAAGACGACGCCGCCTATGACGACGGAAATGGAGGTGGAGAGGTTACGGACGAAGCCGAAGGTGGAAGTAGCAGCCGCGATGTCTCGTGGTGCGACGAAATTCTGGAGCGCGATGAGAGGGGCTTGAAAGTTTGGACCAACTCCAATACCGGCGATGATTTGGAAGATGATGATTTTGGCCCAGTTTGCGCGGACGTCGAGATCGATGAGCAGGCCGAAGCCAAGGGTCATGAAGATCATTCCGAACCAGATGGGTGGGAGGTAGCGACCGGTCTTTTTAATGAATATGCCGGAGGCGGCTGAGACAAAGGAAAGGGAGAGGGCGAGAGGGAGGAGGTAGACTCCAGATAGGAGGGGGGTGGCACCGAGGACGGCTTGGAAGTAGAGGGGGAGGTAGTAGGTTCCTGCGATGAAAACATAACCGTGGAAAAAGCAGGTGCCGAGGGCTGCGAAGTTGGAGGGATGGTTGAAGAGACGCATTGGCATGACTGGGTAGCGAGCAAATTTCCATTCGTTGAGAATGAATAAGAAGGCTGTGACGACTCCAAAGACAATTAAACAGATGACGGTTGCTGAGCCCCATGGGTAGGTGATCCCGCCGAATTCGAGGCCAAGAAGAAGCATGAGGGTACCTCCGACAATTGCAAGAGATCCTGCCCAATCGACTGCCTTTAAACCATCCCATACTGGAGTTTTTGGATTATCGAGGTGAAGAAAGATGCATAGCAAGATAAATACGCATCCAGTGATTGGTACTACCAGATGTTAGTTGTGCCTCTTTTGTACATGACCAACACTATGCAACACAACCATGCAACACCAAACCAGATCTTCGGAACCGAGAGATACCAACGATCAGGATGAATTGAAGATGACACTTACGATTGATATAAAAACACCATCTCCAAGAAACCTTCTCCGTAAAAACACCACCCAAAATCGGACCCACCGCACTCGCAAAAGCCCACACCATCCCCACCATCCCAAAATACTTGCCCCGATTCCTCATACTAAAAAGATCGCTAATCGAGATATTAACCAGAATAATCAGTCCGCCACCACCAATACCCTGAATGGCTCTTGCGGTGATCAACATGCCAATATTAATACTCGTCGCGCATAATGTACTGCCGATGAAGAAAATGCCTGCGGCGATCAACAGAATCGGTTTGCGACCCCAGATGTCTGAGAATTTGCCCCATGAAGGTGTGGATGCGGCATTGGCGAGGAGGTAGGCAGAGCCGATCCAGGTGTAACCGGCGTTGGAGTGGAAGTGTTCGCTGATGGTGGGAAGGGCCGTGGTAACGATCGTCGTGTCGAGGGCGGCGAGGAAGACGGAGGAGCAGAGCGAGATCATGATGATGGCGGTTTGGAGCGTGGTGCGTGTGGCTTCGGGGTCGGATGATGGTGATGCATTTTCTTTCGCGACAATGGGGGGAGTGGGAGAGTCGCTGGAAGATGCGTCGTGGAGGGTCGAGGATGAAGAGTCGTGCGGTATTGGAGGATTGTTGTTTTGTGAGGACTCTACAGGCCCAGAGGCATCTCCTGTGCGGTTCGCGCCGTCCATCTTGTTGTTGTGATGAGATGAGATGAGATGGAGGAGATGGATGGAGGTGCAGGCGGGACTGTCAGTATGTTAGTACAAGTACTTATGGAGCACTTAAGCAATAGCCAAGATCTAAAATCTGGGGTACAAACAGAAGCGTAAACCTTGAAGGGGCGATTTGTAATGACGTCTTCAAATATTTTGGCTATGATTTACTCCTGGAATCAATATTTCCAAGCTCCGCCGCATTCAAGTATTAAAACAATATTAATCCGCTTATATAGAGAGCGAAGAGAAGAGCACGAGAGAAAGCAAGAAGAGAGAATATCCAGAAACAAAATCATCACCACCGCGAAGTGTACCAGGTTATTATAAGATATCGATTTCCAGAAGAAAATTGACATTTCTCGGCTATCGGCATAGGTGACGAGTGGACCAATGAGAATGAGCGAACTGAGCGTAAAGGCGGGGCGACAGGGGGTTCGGAGACGGATGTCGCCATGCGAATCGACACTTCTGTGCTATTCCGACTCCGATGTGGTGTATTGCCTAATCCGGACTTTGACTTGGGCGCAAAGTATTGCTAAGCAAAATAGGACTTGCCCGTCCTGGAAAAAAGCTTGACCGCTCACGTGGCTGTTCTACTCCCAAGAATTGCTCTCGCGTGGTTCAGCTTGTGATTTGGATAAGTCGATATATGGTACAGTATGTACACTTCCCATTTAAGGAGAATTGGTCGGATGAGGAGGTTGTTGTAAGCAAACATGCAAGCATTGTATCCTACACGACACTATCATCCAGTCATCATGGAGATTTTCCGACGCCTTCTGCCTCTAGGCTAGTGAGAAAGAGTGGGCTGCTGGTCAAAAAGGGGATCTAACCAGGTGGATGTTCTTCATCGCTGAACGCATTACCTATGAAAGCTTCAATCAACTATCAACTATCTAAAGGGGCAAATGCCATGTGAATTGTAACTATCGTTGAGATGCGGAAAGCAGAATATGTTGATATTTCGTTTCGGTAATCTCACTTGACTTCCCTGACCAGGCTGACCTATTCATAAAGTCGTTAAAACAACCACCCTTTAGCAAACGCCCCATGCGTCAAACTTCAAGCCATCATCTCCCACCGTTCAAAAGGAAAATAAAAGACCTAAGATATATCAAACCCCAATCTCGTCAATTCATTCATTCAAACCCTCCAAATAAGACGAACAACATGAACAACCAAAAACAGCATGTACCGTCTATGGAAAAAGAACTATGGCCGACCATCAATTTTGCTCTGGGTCGCACAGATGCCCGGCCACCCTCATCTCATAGAAGTCAGAAGGCTACAGGAATATGGTTCAGCTCTCTGTAGACTCACAGTACCCACAATGAACCAAACACCACCTAACAATTCTCCTACATCCCGCTCCATGTCCAACGTATTCGAAACTCTTACGAATCATAAACCTCCTTGAAGGAAACGTTCGAAATACTACTCCTCTCCAAGCCCTTATCGAGAGCACAGAAAAGCCACGACGAAGCGCCTTGTACGGTTGTACAGCATTCTGTGTAACTGATGCGCTGACGTTCGGCAAATGATTGGCTTGCTGGTGTGATCGTTGAGACTGCAGCGCAACATCTCTGCATAGCCGCCAGCCTTGTTTTGACAGAAAGCACCATAAGTAAAGGGCCCCGCCCGATTGCCAGCGTTGAATTTCGCTCCAACTAAGCTTTCTATCGAATACCTAGCCAGATTATTCTCAATTGCGAAGAGTCATCATGGACGGATTGAGCGCATCTTTCTTTAAGCAATTGGTTGGTGTATGCAGATACGTCGAAGAGGCAACTTCTTGCTTGGAGATATTTGCTTACTCGGTAAGATGATGTCTTGAGCTGGCAGGAATCTGCCAACATATATTCTTGAGGATCCTGCGTTGAACACGATAGAGGAACGCCCTCTGAAGCCAGAGGAAATACTTGATTTTATAACCCGAGCCGGCGCTTTTCAAGAACGCAAACTCCCAGATGGGGTAAAACTCACTGGGGGAATGCGTCTGCTGTGAGTGTCTGCAACAGAACCTGGCCAGTAGATATTAACGACCTCTAGTCTACAGCTGAATGCTCATCATCCTGACACATTCGCTCGGAGAACGATAAGTTTAGAGCATCAAATTTACTCTAAAATGATAGACGGTCTCCAACTCCCGCACGAATGTATTGAGACGTTGCAATGTGCTGGGCCATTGTTCTGGTCGTCGTTTGTTGAGAGCAATCAAACTTCTAGGATGCGTTTGTATTCAGTTTCGTTTTACTTTTCTTTTCGACAAGGAGATGTTAAACCTAACCAAATGCAGACTTAGTATGTAAAAGCAATAGTGTGCGGAGGAAGGGTTCAACCAGAGGCTGGGAGTTGATCCTCGGCCAAGATATAACAACTGCCATCAGCACAGGCTTTTTTAAGGGGACCTCCGACTCGAATGTAGTAGAATGCATCAGACAACTAAAGTTTCGAACTGGAGACATCAGTCACCCCCTAATACTCCCATTGATAATGATAACCCTTGAATACTCAAATACAGCAGATGACATACAGCGCGACGCGCAAGACTGGCTCAGCCAACTCGAATACGCAGTTATCAGCAATGACAAAATGAACGAATTTTTCGAAAGTTATGTAAAAGATGGAGTTATGGACGTGGAAGCTGTGAATCGAGCTATAGTAGAGTGCCACTCTCAGGTCTTATGGAAGCGACCTGAAGCATATCTCGCAATCATAGAGTCAATTGAGTGTACTGCGAAAGACTTCCACAGAATCTCCACAGAACGTAGGCAGGATGAAACTTTTGGGATGATTCATGCCAGAATCCTTTCAAGATTGAATTTCTTCAAAATGAGGTTGCAGGGCAACCGAGTCTACGCTGATACCACTTTGAGAAGACTTGACTTCCTGAGGAGTGCAGTGAGCGTCCTTGCATTGCTTGCTTTTGATCTTTACTGAAAAAAGAATGCAGTTCAGTATGGCAATTGCTCAAAGAGAGAGTAAACTCAACTTCGAAATTGCAGGCGATCAAAAGAGGCTCGCTTGGGCGGCAAGGCGTGACTCTTCATCAATGAAAGGGCTTTCACTTTTGGCAACGATTCTTCTCCCGAGCACCTATCTATCGGTAAGCAATATAAATTTCAACATCGATGCAATCTCACCAAATATAGTCTATTTTCTCAACAACTTTCTTCAACTTCCAAGGCGCACCGGATACGACAACTGTTAATTCCCCACAATTCTGGATATACTGGGCCGTTACTATTCCTACGACGTTGATAATCGTGGGTTTATGGATTATTTGGGAGCAACGTAAGAGGAGGAAAGATACAAAAGAGGAAATAGCCATGAAGGAGAAGGTAAAGAGATTAGAGGCGGAGATTATGATGGAAATGAGGAGCAGATCACTGAGGTTTCGCGTGCAACAGCTACCTAATAATTAGCTAAGGAAGAGGAAGGTTGGATAGAAGGTTGCTTTGTGAAATACTTGTAACAAAAGGTACTCAGAGACTTATAGGACATTGAATGGTTCACTAGCCAGAATTAAGAGGATAACAAAGCACCATGTGTACTGATATATAGTGATTACTACCAAGGAGATGTTCCGGTCCTCTGCGCAAATATGAAATCCTGATGTCAATCAGCATCGCGTATAAAAGAGCGAGTGCGGGGAAGCATCCATTAACAGTGCAAAAACGGACCATTAACTAATTAGGATGTGAGAGAAAGATCTGTCGAGGTGACTGAGTTAATATAATCACCTCACTGAGTAGATGATGGAAGTCGGTGCCCCTCGTTGTTGTCTAAAGTTTCTACTTTTAGGATAGCAAAGGGTCATGGGCCTGCCACAGCGGGATGTTGTAAAAAATAATGCTCCTCTTCACCAGCATCGTTGCTCGATGATGGCGAGAAAGAATAATCGCTAGCATTGATATACGCATAGAGAAATATGTTGATTCTTTTTGTACTCAGTCTTTCGACTTCCCTGGCCTATCCCTGAAGTGAGTAGGAAATCCCCTTCAGCAAGATCACTGACCTTGAATTCTCAACCCGTCATCTTCGCCTACTCAAAGCTGCCGAGCCAGTATATAGCCAGCGATCATCTCCCCCCACACAACTCCCCAAGCTCTCCATATCAGCCCAACAACTTGAACGCCCAAAAAGAGCGGAGGTAAAACCTGCCCAATACCCCATCTCGACTCCGTGTCTGCAAGAAACATCTTCGAAGCCTCATAATTGATAACATCAAACACGCCAACAAGTATCATGCAACTCGGTGTTAAGAAACTCACGATTAACAATCGCGACCACTTCTTGAAGCGTGACTCTGGACCTGATCGAGGAGGAATCATAGATCTGATTTGAACCGAGATGACGATGACGCCAAGGAGAATGGAAATGGGTATGGTGTCGGAGTAGAAAAGCTTGTGGAAACATGCCGAGTTGGATTGCCACAGGTTTCGGAGCTTGAGAAGGAATATAACTCCATTGGTAAGATACAGGACTGAGAGAATAAAGTGTAAGATAGCATCTTTCCAGAATTTGACGTTGGCCCTCAGGCTCGAGACAGTCTGCTCGACTTTAACAGTGCGGAGAATGTCTTTTGCTAGAGACTTTGAAAGACCGGATAGGATTGCTTGGTCTAGAAGAAATCGAAGATGAAAGGCGTCTATTCGATGGATGATAGTAAGGGATACAAAACAGTAAACAATCGCCAGTCCAAGCTGAACATTGTTGGCTTCTTCAAAAACTTCTGCGACTTTGACGAGTACAAGCGGGGGAGCGAATTGCCGCTTTAGGATACGTAGGGTAATTCGGTAAATGTTTAGAAGTATGGCGAATACAACACCGATGGCAGGAAGAAAGGCGACGGTTATACGAATCTAGTGCTTGCTCAGCGTCTGGCGCAGTAAAGAAATATAGTAGCAATGGAATGACATAGTATCTGTTTTCGAAGGTTATATTCAGCTATGAGAAAGGACCAAATCACTTACACCAGGTCCACTGATATCTGGGTCGGGCGGAACAGAGCAAGTTGGTGGTATAGGTTCCATATGATAGTGAGAATCCGAAGGGAAAGTGATGCAGCTATGAGAGGAAGACCCATCTGAGTGACTGGAATATTATACCTACCTCGGTGAGCAGATGGCGGAACTCCTCAGTGCCCCTTGTGCCGCCTACACACCTACTAAGCTGACAAGACGGGTGACATAGATCCCGACTGAACACTTGGACTTCAATCGAGTGGTGGACAATGGATGGAAATTCTGTGATTTCTGTTGCCTCGGCGCTCTGAAATACTCAGCAGGGTTTCTGCCCTCGTCCAAGAAATACAAGCGGGAAACTTGATCTGTTTCTAACCGCTAAGCTTTATGACGACGCCACAAAAGCTTTGCTAAGCTCCCCAAGATCCTTATGTGTTCTTTGGATAAGAAGTTGTTTCAAGTTCCTGACACGCGGCTTCGTTGTTACACAACACACGTGGCAGGTGGAAGTGGCGTTATCCGCAAGGCAGTCATTATTGCCCTCGCTTGCCTCTCTATGCTCCAGCACCATAACTCTTGACCCGACTGAAGAAAAATGCCTTGTCGTTTCGAAGGGTGAATACTCCAGTATCATCGGTTAGCATGTTGTAATTCCAGTACCCTTGCCAAACCAATTTCTTATTGCGAGAGCCTTTACCAGCATTACGAAGTGAGAGTTGCATTCTGTACATGTACTTTTCCGTTGCGCCTTCGGTCTCGACGAAGACATCCCTTTCCGCATCTTTCAAATCCGCATCGGGGTCATCGTTCGAGTTTGAAAGTCTCCACCTGCCTTTCTTGACTGGATGTTGGCCAACGGCAGCCGGATGGGCGTCTTGAAGTTCCTTTGTAAGTTGATGAACAACATCAGCAGGCTCATCCGTCGATAATAGACTAATCACAGTTCCATCTCGGAAAAACCGTAAATAGCGATAATAAGTGACTATATGCACCGGGCTTTGCCATGTAAGTTGTGATGATGATGCCTGGCCAGGTCTGATGTAGTTAACAGTACTAATGTAACATCCGTTGAAGCGTATTCGAGGGCGGTTCCGGAACATATATTGCCATGAGGAGCGGTATGCGGAGATTAGAAGTGTTTCGGTAATCTGCTCTCGGCTGATAGGTGTCAAGGGCAGTTCAACAGGAGCCAGGTCTGCGTCGACAGTTACATTATTAATCGTTAGGTCCTGCAATTCTGGTAGTTCTGGCTCAAGCTGTAACTCCGGGGTCTCAGACTCTAGAGGACCCCCCAGAACTTCACGTTGCCACTGGTAATGCATCCCTCCAAACCCTACCTCATTCCCCAAACATACTCGTTTCCATATTTGCTCTTCTGTGAGGGCGAGATATGCCATTTTCTTACACACTTGTGCAAGCCTCACAAACGCAGCCACATCAACAATCGCTACGTCTGTGAAAATGTGCACCAGTATTTCGTCGGGAAGGCTCGATACCGGGCATGGAGGAGCCGGAGTTCCTTCAATCTCTGGTGGTGCAGGTTCAATAGATGCCCCAGCATACTCAGCGATGAGCTGTTTAAGTGTTTGTGGTTGCCCGTCTAGGGAGTGGTGGGCGGTATTTGGCACAGTAGGGGAGGCATTGGATGGATTCGTATCGGTACGTTTTGATATGAAGGAGGAAGGAGGGAAATGTTTGTTCTTGTATTTCTTGTCAACAGCGTCGTCCATCTGTATGTTGATTAGTCAAGTCCCCAAAGTCAACAAAACTCCAGACTCACCCGGAACGCCTTGCGATAGAGATTCAGACTGTCACCAAGACTGCCTTCATTCTCCCGCTCTACCGCTTTTTCGTAGTGTTCGAGGGCAGACTGCGGTTCAGCGCCTCCCAAACTCGAAGCTTCTCCCATTTCGCCATTGGACTGTCTCCTCGCATTGCCAGTACGGTCTGTAGGGATTTCTTCGTCCTCATCCTCATCTCCGATTTTCGAAAGTCTCGTCGCAGAAGGAACATGGATTTTAGAAGTCTGACGAAAGCCCTTAGAAGCGCTACGAGAGGAAGTAGCTTGAGATGAGGGCTTCGTACTCCCTTGTGCCCTCGCCGATACCTCTTCACGCCACTTCTGTCGGAACGATTCGAGCTCAGAGTTGGTTTCTGACATGTTCGGTCAATTTGGTAATGTACAATCTATGCTGGATCAAGAAAAGAAAAGTAAATATAGGCAGATTAAAATATGTACAGATTAGATGTTGTTGTAATACTCACTGTCCGTCTCGCAGCTTTTCGGTGTGACTGTGATGGGCGGCGATAAAGCTTGTCTTGTCCACTTGTCGATCCCCGCCAACCACTGGCCAATGGATCATCGGCTGTTCACCCCTGTCAATTCCAGAATTTCAGGGCTGCATCTCCTTGGAGCAGCTTTTGGACCGCTGTCGGAGTTTCGGCTTAAACTAATTTTTGGGGGAATGGACCATCAAGCTCGATGACTTCACAGCATCATCGTTCCACCAACATTCAATTTCGACAATCACAACGATATACGCATTCGACAAACAACACTAAGTCAAAATCAATAAAAACAAGCTTGACACTCGCCACAGCTACAGTTCTTAAATGACCGACCGCTGGGGTCAGGATTCTTCCTCCCATAAAGAATCCGCCACAGTCCACGATACATTCGATAGAACCTGGACAGGTCAACCCCATGGCAGAATACACGGAGATGATCTAGTACCGGGCGTTGCAGCAACCATAGCCATGAACGGCGATAGTGAAAATGCCGATTTTGACATTAGTGCGACGCAGAAGATGATTTCGGCCATTTCAGGAAGTTTATTGACATCACTACTTGGTAAGTTTTACCAGAAATCCCCCGATAACATTCATTCTAACCCATAAACCACAGTTACTCCCCTCGATGTTGTCCGGGTTCGTCTTCAGTCACAGCCTTCGGCCCCATCACCTCTCCGAACGATTTCGAGACTCGCTGGGTCGTCATCACATTCGTTCAACACACTACCACCAAATCTTGGAGTCACTGCTTGTTGTCGGGAAGTGTTCTTCGCTGGAAACAATGCTGAATTCTGTATGGTTGCGCCTAAACTAGGGGATGCGAGTTATCAATCCATAGAATGTGCTGCGGAGGAAACCCAGAAGAGGACGTTCACCTCGACGTTCGATGGTCTCCGAAAGATATCGCGGAATGAGGGTATCACTACATTATGGCGAGGCCTTTCGCCAACATTGGTCATGGCAGTTCCAGCGAATGTGATTTACTTCACAGGATACGATTTCTTACGATTCAACCCGCAGAGTCCTTTCAGCCGGTTATCTGATAACTCCGCACCGCTTGTCGCCGGAGCACTTGCCCGAATTCTTGCTGCTGGCGTGGTCAGTCCACTAGACATGTTCAGAACGAGGATGCAGGCCAGCCGATCGTCCTCCCACTTCTCCGAGACGGTAAATGGGGTCAAAGAAATGGTCGCAAGCCATGGATATACCTCATTGTGGCGTGGATTAACACTGACTTTGTGGAGAGATGTGCCTTTCTCTGGGATATATTGGTGGGGTTATGAGCGAGTGAAAGGTTCACTTACAGATGCTAGGGAACGAAGACGTGGACGGACTCTCGAAAAGCCAGGGTCTAGAACTCGTGCTAGATCCAGATCACAGAGCCAGGAAAACCACAAAAACACGTTCATAGACAGCTTCATTGCGGGGGCTTCATCAGGAGCCGTTGCCTCCATCCTCACCATGCCATTTGATGTTGGAAAGACCAGGCGCCAAACATATGTCGAATCGAAGCCTACGGCACCAGGAGCAGCCAAAATCTTGGCTCCAGAAGAACAGTCTATGGCTAGATTTCTTATGCATATAATTCGAGAGGAGGGTATTCGTGGATTGTGGAGAGGATGGATACCAAGGACGTTAAAAGTCGCTCCATCATGTGCAATCATGATCAGTTCTTACGAGGTCGGGAAGAGAGCTTTCCGAGGAGTCAATGAGAGAGCTCAACGAAAACGAGAAGCAGTCGTATAATACCACAAGATCTTATTTGGATGATTAGGCGTATATGGGTTCGGCATTCCTTCATGCATAGCGAAAATGGAGTTTAAGGAAAATGTACGATAGATAGAGCTACCAAGTTTGTTAATGTATTTAATATAGATGCTAAAATGTAGATATAGAGCTATATCATATCTCTGCTCGTAAAGTAATTTTGTTTATTCGAATTTCGTCACGGCCATCTTGTTTCTTCGTTCTCCTTTCAGCTGTAGGCTCCCATCTCGATCCTCTGACTTCGCGTATCCCTGCCCGTCTAAGATCAACTAACGCGAACCACGCGACTTACCAACTACGGCTGCACTCCAACTTCCCAATCCCACAATATCAATTATTCCACAAACCCAAATCTATCAAGCTGTCTCTGTTCTTGCAACTCCGTCTATCTTTCCTGCTCTCCTCCACCCCTTCTACCTTTCAATCCTTCCGAACAATGTCATTAAAACGCAAAGCCAACGACCTCCCCTCTTCTCAAGACCCAAAAAAAGCCAAAGGCTCCACCATAACTTCTTTCTTCGGACAACCAAAACCTGTCCACAATGCCAATTCCTCTAATATCGCCGCTCCAGTCACGAAGTTTGATAAGGAGGCATGGGTAGCGAAGTTGACGGAGGAGCAGAAAACTTTGTTGCAATTGGAAATTGATACGTTGGATGTCAGTTGGTTGAAGGAACTACAGGATGAAGTCTTGACGAAGGAGTTTTTGGATCTGAAGAGATTCCTGAAGAGAGAGGTGGATGCGGGGAAGGTCATATTTCCCAAGATGGAAGACGTATATGCGTGGTTTGTGCTACCGATCCTCACCATAGGATTTTACTGATTACAGCAGGTCCACACATACACCACTACACACCGTCAAAGCCGTCATAATAGGCCAAGATCCATACCACAACGTCAATCAAGCACACGGTCTCTGCTTCTCGGTCCTCCCACCGACCCCCGCCCCCCCATCCCTCAAAAATATCTACAAAGCCCTCAAAAACGACTACCCCTCATTCACACCACCGCCCAAGAACTCCGGCCTCCTCACACCCTGGGCAGATCGCGGCGTCCTACTGCTCAACACCTGTCTCACCGTCCGCGCCCACGACGCAAACTCCCACGCGAACCGCGGCTGGGAGAAGTTCACGCAAAAGGTCATCGACACCGTCGCAGCGAAGCGGCAGAAAGGCGTGGTGTTCCTCGCGTGGGGCAGTCCGGCTGCGAAGAGAGTGGTCAAGATTAATAAGGCGAAGCATTTGGTATTGTTGAGTGTGCATCCTAGTCCGTTGAGCGCGAGTCGGGGGTGGTTTGACTGCGGGCATTTTCGGAAGACGAATGAGTGGTTGGTGGAACGGTATGGGGTGGGGAGTGAGATTGATTGGGATTTGAATGGGATGACGGAGGGGGAGAGGGAGAAGATGAGGGTTGAGGAGGAGAGGAAGAAGGTGGAGGAGGAGAAGAAGAGGGTGGAGGAGGAGAAAAAGAGGAAGGAGACTGAAGAGACTTTGGCTGCTTTGGAGGCTATTGAGGCTGCGGAGACGGATGACGAGGAAGCTGAGGGGAGTCCAGCTACCTTGGAGGCTATTGAGGCTGCGGAGACGGACTACGAGAATGAGGAGATATGAACGGGGTTGGTTTGGGCGTTTGGATGTGTGATGTTGGATGACAGGATAGATGTCTAGTCTTAGAGTGGTCACTTAAGATATGGCTTTGTATGTTTAGAGAATGCTACAGCGTGTCGGTAATATACATATACATGAAAACACAAACGCCTGCAAGTCGTACGGAACCCAACCATTTATCCTTTACGCTACGCCCAAATCCTTCAATCATTTTGAATACCGCCTGACATTCCATTACCACAGACTAACTCTGCTATATTGTCTACCAACCCCCTCAATTATCATCTCCCCGCCGAAAACCTGTACGTGAAGACGTTGCGTCGGACAGGGCGTTTCTCTCGGTTACAAAAATCTGCCGTGAAATCTGCCTGTGAGTGCGAGGTGCAACAAATCGCAAAAGGATGGGGTCGAATGTTGAAAATGTTTGGTTGTGAAATTAGGAGTAGAGGTAAATTATGATCATGTGCATGAGGTTGTGCATAGTAAGTTTTCTGTGGGTTGTGAGGACTGTTGTTGTGAGGACTGTTGTTGTGAGGTTGGATGAGGCGGATTTTCATGTTATGTAAAGTTTATTTTACGGGAACTTAAGCTTAATTAATGATTTCAATTATGTAGATGTATGGTTTTGGATTTTTTGATTGATGGGTTTGTTGTTCTGGGAGGAAAAGGGGGTGAGGTTGATATTGGTTGATTATTTTCCGTTATAGCTAGAAATAGAAAGGAATTATATCAATTGAATTGTGGTAGCATTTCGCCCTATTATTGAAAGGGACTTCCCAGGTATCAATACATTATCACAAGAGATTCCATGTACAAATAGTACATTATTGAAATCGTTGGTTCAACATACTAAAATCATGACGTCAAGCACCTCCTCCCCTCCAAAACCATTCAACTGAACACTACAACCACAACCCAAACATGAGATATAACATATTTCGACCCTCAAATCTTTTTACAGTTTAAAGAACCACACATCCAAGCCCCCGGTTTTTCACAGCAACAACAAGGAAAATGGTGAAGGATAATGAAACGGTTATAACGTAATTATTCCCCTAACATCCCCTTCCACCCCCTCTGCTTTCCATTCTTATAGCTTGATCTAGCGAATTCAACGACCTCGTCAACATGACAGCCCCCGAGCTCAAATCGTGGCTTAAATCCGGCTCCTCCACTTCATCGGGATGGACAAAGGATGACGGGTCCGGAGAGTCGGTTGGTCATGAGAGTGGGAGGAAGATTGTGGAGATTTTGGAGAAGAATCCGGGGAGGGAGAGGGAGGGGTATGATGATGGTGTGTATTGCTTTTTTTATTTCTGGGGGGTTTGTAGGGGAATGGGAGGGGGGAGGGGGAGGGGAAGTGGATAGGGGAGGAGAAGGTGAAAGATGAGGGCTAATTGAGGAATTAGATGATCTGGCGCATATGAGAAAAGTGGTTGCGTATTGTAAGAGACATCTTGCGCAGGAAGAGAAGGCGAAGCAGGATACGGAGAGTAAGAGTTATAAGAGTTTGAAGAATTGGGGACATGATGCGCAGAAGACTTCGTAAGAAATGGGCGTTGGGTGACCTGGAGAGTGAGATGAGGTCTTAGGGTGGTGATTGAACGATTGGGTGAGAGAGCGAATAGTTGTATTTGGGTAGTGATTTAATAGGAAAGGAAGGAGTGGGTGGTTGATTGAAGAGGGAATGGATATATGGTGGACCTAATGTAATCGACGTGTAGTAGATATCGTTGTTAAATCTCGAAAAAATTGAGTGTGGAGTGAGCATTGAGATGAGACATGAAAAGGTCGAAAAGAAAATGTTTGTTTATCCTTCTATCCTTCCATATATATTGGCGGAAGACATGATAAGAGAACCTACCGAAGTTGTACTTCCACGGTACAACGGCCGTACATAATACTTCCGACGTTGAACATCCCCGATCCAACATAAGCCATGTGCTGTTGTTTGATCAACGCCCGCCGTCACACCGGGAATTCCATGCAGCGGGATTTTCTCCGATAGTGGAATGAACGAGTAATCCACTTAGAGATATGTCTGAACGTTGAAAAACATGACATTTGGAGTTTGGAGAGTTGGTGGTGCTAGAGAAATGGTTGGAGCAGTGATGATGAAGAGCGCTGAGCTGAGGTAATAAGGTTGAGATGAGAAGAAAAGCGTCTTTGTATCGATTAGATGGTAGTGGTCCTTGCTAATTTCGAGCACATAAACTCGGGAATGAATAGTCGTACAAAAATTTCAAAGTTGAATGGCGTTGTCAATCGTAGACATTTCCATCGAACCGTTGTCGAGATCCTCCTCGTTCGTCTCCTAAACACCCTCTTACTTGGATCCTCTTGGCGAATCGATATTCTGAGTAAATAATGTTTATAATACTTGCCTAATATAGTAACTTTCGGAAGGGGATCCTTGGATAAGGCTGGAACGATGAGGCTGAGATGCATCAAGTTGGTAGACATGTCGACCTCCAAGCCATGAATAATCTGCGACATCTACCCGTTTGAATACATGTGTACCGCATTATATTCCTTAAGCCCTACATAAGTCGATACTGTACCTCGATAATGTACGTTGAGTATGATTGTATTTCCTGCATGTACATGTAGGTACCGTCAAACTGAAAGCCTGAGCATCGTTTTTGAATCGTGATGGTGTACCTCGATTCGAAAGGGGGGACAGGGGCAAATTGGACGAATCCGAGCACCTATGGTTGCTTATTCGTGACGAGGATCGACTGGGTGCAGTGTTGGCATGTTGGCATGTTGGCATGATGGAATGATAAAATCTATTTGAGATGTTGCCACGAAGTAGATTGAGAAGATCGAGGCGAAGAGGGGCGAGTACGGCTCATATATGATGCGTTGGCAGTGTAAAATTGGCTGCCAGATTGTTGTGTGAACATCATCTGTCGGGAGTTGGGAGAATGAATTATTGGGTCGCTGTGGCTGACGTCCCAATTGGCGCATAGACATTGATCCTTGGATTGGAAAGGGTCATATCACAACTCTAATATCAGTTTGATGAGAAAATGTTTTCTTCTCTTCGCTCTTCCGACATCCGTGAGACAATATACTCTTCCTCTCTTTAGAACTTCTTCACCTCAGACGGATTGTCGCATCTCCTTTCTTTAACTGCGTCATTGGCCCTCGTCAATTCGATAAGTTCTTCGGATGCGTCAAAATATTGTTCTTTTGCGCTTTCATTACAACAACCACCAGTCAGACAACTCGTAACCAGAAACACAACAGCTCCAATCTGCCACCGCTAAACTCCTTTCGATCAACCATAAATTGAAATTGGCCCACGTCCAACTCACCGCTTGAATGCAGGCCGCAACGCTTGTGTGCTTCAGAACTCCGTGCTTCGCGCTATTCCGCCCCTGAATCTCCCTTAAACTTTTAGTTCGCATACTTCGTGGCTGTCTAGCAATTCCCTAGAACTTCACCAACAGTCCGGTTCAACATACAATTGGATCAGACCTAGGTCCGTCTCGACTACTGCAAGTCATCCGTAGTCTGTCGCATCCGTCGCACCACAATCATCACCTACCCCACCGCCCTGCGCCTGATATTTAACTATTGACAGCCCCAGCGACACTTTGTTGACAAACGTTTAATATCTTTCGCCTGCCGAATGCACCGCAAATAATCGATCGGCATAATTACACAAGATCATGAGGTTTTTCTCCAGGAAAAAGAATGGCGACGGTCCAGCCAAAGCATCGAAAAAAAAGGGAGGTGCCCAGCAAGCAGATGTTGATGCTCCTCCGCCAAAACCACGATGGGAAGATGCGTGGACGCGAAAGACGGTTGAACCGGAGGAGGTACAGGAATTGATCAGCGGGTGTACAGTCGAGTTGAAATCAAGAGGTATGGCCCGAAATACCCCTCCTGTTCGAATTATGCAGGAATCCATTGTTGTGTTTACTTTGGACATGGACTAATTACTTGTTGATAGGACTCGACATGCCATTTCTCCTCCTTCCATTTCGACCAACTTCAGATCCCAGCGCTGCGCGAACATTTATTCGACATTTCTTCGACAGAGGTAACTTATACGGGGAAGCTTTGGCACAAGAGTTGCGATTGACGGATCCTATGGTGAGATTCAATTGCTGGTGGAGGTCAGTTGTTGGCTAATGTTGGACAGGTAATCTGCAGTGTAATTAAATGGTGTTGGAGTAGAATACCAGGCGGAGTTGTTGGTGAGGCGGCATACGATACGTTTAGAGCTGCAGAAATAGGTCAGTCAATTCAATTTCGGAAGTATCTCCTGCTGATCAGCCCAAGATTCAAATATGGCCAGAGAATCTTTCGCGACATTTATCCCTATTAGTGTGGAGTCCGATGCGCGGACGAGAATTATTTTCGACTATTTCGATCTCCTTTCAGCTATTGCGGCGCATGCGAAAACAAATGGTTTTGGTGGTAGAAAGTTGTCAAGGCTTGCGGGATGGTGGGCTTTCGAGCACATTGATGATGGTAATGGGTTTGAAGGCGGTTATAAAAACTGGACCAAGTACATAACCCTCGAGAAGGTCCCAATGAGATATGCTAATCAATTCCAGATCTGCGGACCAAGCCAGTCATTTATTCTTCGCATACTTACGATCATTATCACCAGAATCAGTTCAAGGTTTGAATGGAATCTCCAACCTGCCCATGTCTCTACAAAAATTGGTCCAAGAAACAGAATACCCACCAGAAAGGCCATATCTACTACAGTCATCGACAAGTAAAGTTGTGATGATTGTAGATTCCGTCTCACCAACACCTTTTGCGCTGCTACGCCGAGCCAACCACTTTGAGTACCGAGACGACGACCGAGCGTTACAAGAATTTTCAGAATATGAGGATCCGGTGAAAGCACTGACTGATGAATGCCGACGAGTATTGAAGTCGATTTCGTCAGCAAATCAGTCGCAAGGATCATCAAATGCTAAACAATCAACGGGACTTCGAGACGCTTCATGGTCAAGATTCGAGGATATGGGATTTTCAGGCGGTATGGACGAGGTGGAGGAGGATGACGATGAGAGCAACTTTTTGAGGAAGCCTCGCACGATGGGCGGATTAAGGTCAACTCCTCACCAAAGAAATGTTGGACTGGCTAGACCTACAACACCATCTTGGGCTGATTTCCTGAATGTTGGTTTCGTCGACGAAGCTAAGAACGGACCTGCGCCACTATTATTACCTCCGGATAAGATTTTGCCGCCCATCAATACCAGGGCGAACAGCTCGCAATCACATGCTCCAAGATTAGAGGCAAATGCACATCTTGAACCCGGAGAATTAGCAAGCATCACTAGATTTGATCTGGATGATTCATTCTGGTGGGTCTGGATCAGCAGTTTGGCGGGCGAAGAGACCCCAGAGAGAAAGGCAGCATTCGGTCGATGTGCGTTGATCGAGACCGTCATTCGCAGCGGCAGATGGTTGGTCATGGAAGAGATGGTCAAGGGAGCTGCTCCTGAACCTGAAGAGGGCGCTTACATTGCCGAGAAGAAGAGCTTTTGGGGAAGAAGCAAGAAGTCTAAGAATACCAGACGGAAATCTATGAGCAAGGATGCACTAGACTCGAACCCGAACATGAGACCACACATGCGAACAAGTCAAACGGAGGGATACAGTAAAACAAGTATAGGACCAGATCAGCATGCCAGAATTCAAGCAGCCGCTATCCAACTTCAACAGAGACAGCGGCAGATTGAGGAGGAACAACAACGTGGAACTAGACGTGGACGGAAAGACAATGACATGATGTCTACTAAGACTAGCAGCGTGTTTACTCTACAACCTGTCATCATGTCAGAGGCTTCTCCAGCGATGAAATGGGCAAACAAGTATGACAAGGATGCCATTCGAGAAGCTTACTTGAAGAATGCGAATCATGGTAGAGGTCTTGCCGATGCGACAATACAGAGAAGCGACTCGAACTCTCCAATCGACGGTACTCTACTAGCAGCCCAAAGAGAGCAGAGGGCAGCATCTACTGAACGAGACCTTCCGGCACCACCACCCGAAGAACGGCCAACAGTTCCATCGAAAACGCCTACTCCACCTCAAGCATCGCTTCCACCAACGCCTCGTGTTTACAATGAGGAAAATACTCCAATCTCTGAGAAGCAGATGGAAATTCCTCAACCAATAGAGCACCATCCATCTGAGCGTGGCTCCCCAATGATATCTCCGATGTCTCCTCCACCTCCTCCAGTCAAGCAGAGCATGGATATCCCTCGTCCGTCGCACGATCAAAGTGGCTCCAGTCCGGAGAGCAAAATGCATAACAAGTTGAAGAAGAAAGAAGTTGGATCTGGAGGTGGTGGTTTTAAGAAGATGTTCGGCGGTCGCAAAAAGGAAAAGAGCATGCCTCCGTCTGTTTCTCAGAACGGCAATCAAGGTAATCTTGCACCTCCAGCTTCAAGTGGTGGTGGTCTTGGAAGGAGGTTGTCAAATCTCCGCAAGAAGCCAGTGCCAGTTGCGGCGGCTCCTGCGCCACCACCGGTTCACATTAGCCAGCAACATATATCTGAAGACGAAATCACCCCAGTTGCTACACCTCATAACGCGCAGCCACAGCAATTCGAACGCTCTTACGATCCATCTCTACAAGAAACTCTTTCACGCGTGGACACTGGTGATGCCCAGGAAGCTCAACACGCATTCTCTCGTTTCGATCAAGGTCCACTTGAGGATGTTCCAGCGTTTGTGCCAGATGATTCTCCACGAGTCAGCGAAGATGATGCTGCACCTCCACCAATTTCCATGTCCCGCCAATCCGATGATGGAAATGACCTGACGAAGCAAGTCTCACCCACACAAGACAGATGGGCACAGATCAGGAAGAATGCGGCTGAACGTGCTGCTGCTCGACAGAGTGAAGAGCAAAGCCGAGGTGGTTACAGTCAAAAGACTGATGGTGATGATGGGGAGACTAGTGGAGAAGAGAGTAAGTGTAACCCTTGATGCTTGAAGCAATATACTAACTCCGTTTAGCAATCGAATCCCGAGTCGCTCGAATCAAGGCCCGAGTGGCTGAATTGACAGGCAACATGGAGTCAAACGCATCTCCAACTTCTCGATCACCTCCTATCTCTGCCAGACAATAGATACACAGCACACACCGATCTGGGACCTTTTCTATCAGGACCAAAACGCCCGCCACACTTTTCCGCTCTTTTGCGACATCTGGCTTCAACGCCTACGCATTCTTGTCTCCAATATTCCACCCTTTACAAAATACGTCTGCTTTTTCTCCTGTTTATGTTACAGCGGGAAACGAAATGATTTTTCCCGTACCTTAAAGACGTTAATTTGCGCGATGCACACGAGCGGCGATGGAGAAGTGTTTTCTTTTTCTTGAGATACCAAATACCGGATTGCTAGCGATCTGATTTTTTTTAGCTTGTGATTTGTGCTTGTTTGTTTGTTGAAAGTTGCTTGGCTCGTACTGGGGACATGAGTGTAATTTGAATGGGGGTGTACAGTGAAGGATGAGGAAGAGAGGAGTGGGCCGGGGATGGGGATGGGGATGGGTATATGGTAGGGGATGTGAGATATGGTGGGAACGAGGGGAGGAGAGAGGGATAGGAAAGGGAAGGGAAGGTAGAAATCGTAGATTTGCGTGTGTATTTTGTTGATTGATTGGGCGTGTGGGATTTGCTGATAGATACCATTGTTCTTTTTTTTTCCCGATTTTTCGTGGGGATAGTAATATGAATGATTTGTTGATTGTACTCTTCTTCTTTTCCATCGGAATAAGCGTGTGGTAGTTCTTGTGGTTGCAGTGCCACAGAGGATTTGAAAACAGCAGATTGTCAGGAGTGATTTGTTCTGTAAGACGCTGTTTGTTTCACTCCTGTTGGCTTATCATCTTCCTACGCAGCTCATTCCAATACTCGCTGTTGCCGCTGCTGGAGTTTTCCACTCACTTCTGTGGGGACTGAAAGGATTGGAAATCGTCGCGGCCTTGTCATCCTGGGATGGATGGGTCGGGGACAATTTCGGGTTTTGGTGTTTGATTGTAAGATGTTGTGTTTCAAAGGGAAGGTGTAATCGGAGGGAGGGAGTTGATTTCGGTGGTGGATAGTGTTTCGGTGATAAATGGCGCTACTGATATTAGATTTTTAACATTAGTGGAAAATGGGAGATGTGGGTTTTCCGTTGAGTTCTTTCTTTTATTCAAAGCTTCGAAACGTCCGTACGTTTTCTGGGTTGATGTGCTTTCAGAAGAAGCTGCCCCCGGCAGATTGTATTGGCTGCAATAAAAGTAGAATGGCCGAGGAGAGATGGGGAGGGCGAGGTTTTATGCCGGCGTGGGGGAGTTTAGATGATTGAATTGATGTATTAGCTGGAGTGTTCTTATCTTCTATTTTAGTGAGAGAGAAAGTAAAAGCAAATAATGTCGATAATTATACAGCCTACTACTATAAATACAGGTATATGTCTCGAGTGTCTCAATTTATGCGAGCTTATTTTATACCCTGTAAAGCATTTTTTACTAACTAAATACACCTAGTGACGATCAAATAGACCCTATGAATATGATTTACAACAATCCTTACGGGAAGTGAATTGTGGTAACAGGCTGTAATAGATCTGTCATCCACCTCCGTCCCAAAACAATCCGAGCCACCTCGTCACCTTCCGATCTAAAGAATATATAAAACAACCCCAATCGCCTCTTCAAACCCAACATTCTTTCACTTTAACAACGTGTTGTAGTGTAAATTGCAATCATTTGTTGCAGTGAGCGGTCGTGGACGCCGGTTCTAGGCTATTTATGACCTTCGCAAAGCCGCTGCGATCACTCTCTTCTTCATCTGACGCATTCAAATTTACAAATCTCAAGGTACATTCTCTCACTCACGATATTCAGGGGGGTTCGGTGGTGAGTTGTTTTTCGGTGGTGAAGGATATGTGGCTCGTTGGGTTGGCTGTGGGTAAAGAGGGAGGTTAGGTGGCTTTTGGAGTGTTAGATGGATGGAATGAGACACGGAATTTGGGTTTGGCGTGATATTGGTTTGGGGAAAGGGTGGGCGTACTCGTCAATCTCATTTCCAAGCGTTTGGATAGGTTAGGAGGTTGGGGGGAACGCCCGGATGGGGTGGCTTTATGTTGAGGGTGTGGGGTTGATTTGGTGATGGATGTGATGCTAGTGATGGTAATTTTGAATTATGGTGGTTTTGATGTATTATGCAACTCTTAAGACTTCGTCCAGATCGATTTTGTGTACTTGATACGAATCTTTAAACTAAGTTCTCCTCGATTGACAATAAGCTGGTACAATACTAGGAACTTTCGTTCTAAACCAATCCGTCCTCTCCAACTCTCTCTTTAAAGCTTTTATTCCAACCCTCACCAGTCTCTCATATTCCACCCCTCAAAATCTCACACCTAGATAATGGATCACTTTTTAAGACCTTACACTTATCAATCATCATATAAAACGACTTCCAATATTCGTCAAGCTAGTACTTAAATCTACGACCTGAACTCGATTGCCTTTTTGCAGTAGGCTTAAAAAAATGTATTGCTAGGATTTTATCGGCTGGAGATAGCGAGCTACGCTGGCTTGATGAAAATTTAGAGGGGGCACCAGGCGCGCCTAGGATAATGAGTTAAAGCTGATATCTTGAAGGAGGCAAGTGGGAGAGTGGATAATTCTGTTAAGAGGGAAAGGGGTTTGAAAGGGAAGGGGGCTTTTCGGTGGTGGAGATTGTTTCGGTGACAAATTATTATAGTAACTTAGGTACTAATTAAAGTAGGGAGTGTGAGTTGACGGTTTGCATTATATATTGGAAATTTACTCATACGTCTTGATTCCGCAACTGGAATATTTACCTTAGGGCTTTTCCAGGTCTGCAGAGCTACTGCTGTTACTGCTACTCCTCCTTTCTCTATACTTTACAGAGCCGCTGTTTTTATTTTATCTGGAAATGGGGAGGGTTCTATGAAATGACTGTTCTGTTTCAGGTTTTTTATCATGTGTTGATTGTTGCCTCTTTGGATTTATGGATTATGTTTAGGGATTTGAGTTTTAGGTAAAGTGCTACACTAGAAAAAGAACTTGGTAACTGCACGACACTTCAGCCTAGAGGATAATGAATATTTCTGACTGAATTAGTCTTAAAGTTTGTCATCTATTCGCCGTTCGAATGAATTCCAATGCCTGATCACCCACTGAAGGTAAAACCTCAATACCTCTTCACCGCCAGCATTTGTTATCTCTGCTTAATTTCTAGGAATGTTTCTTTTTAAAACTCTGGTTCTGCGTTCAGATTATGGTTTATGAAAACATTGAGAACACGCGCCTAATGCTTCGATTTGTAGATTGCATAATTTTTGGTTTGAGAATGTTAAGAGGCGAGGTTAGGATGCAGGAGGGGTTTTCAGATTCGAATAAGCTGGACATTTGTATAGGTGAATGTGAGAATTTTGTTAGCACAGAATGAGAATAAGGGGAACGGTGGTGGAGAGCTTTTCGGTGACAAATTTAGTACCGAACCTGGCGCTCAGAGACGTTAGGGTTTTATGCTACAAATAAAATCTAAAGCATCTCTCTTCTCGTGTTTTACACTCTAGTTATCTTTCTAAATGTTATGATTTTATCTAGCTACCGAGCACTGTTCTTTTGAACATCGGCTGTTTCTTGTTTAAATATAATTAGTTTTTAGTTACACGTTTTATCAAGTTTTTGATTTAAAAATGCAAGTCGTATTATCGATTTGTAAACAAACGCGAATTCTTTAGGGGGTTAGGTGTCTGAATTTAGATTCGCGATCCAAAATGAATAGAAAGATCCGAACATAAAATGGTTAGACTTCTATAGGTGCGGATTTAAGATTTGGGAAAATATAACTGTAGTTGTGGAATTATAAGGAAATCTGGACATTGTAAAATTTATTTCACATAGTATTATAATTAAACACAGATAATTAAATCAGACAGACTTTGTGTTATTGTTCTAACAGAGACGATGCAAAATTTGTTTATTCCCGCACCCCTTAATATTCTGATTTCAGTCCTTCATAGCACTATTTGAAATCCCACAGTCTCACCGTACTCCAAAGACTTATCTCCCGGCACCAAAAAGGGTTTCTCCATGAATCTCCTTACATGTAAACATAAAACCCTATTATACACAAAATGGCACGAAGTAGAGGCACGACAAAAGAAGAATGGATTGGCTAGTGGTCTCGTAGGAGGGTGAGAGTACTAGTGAGCGTTCTGTAATATTGTTTTAGTTGAAGATTTGAGGGTTCTGATGCATTTGGGTGTTCGGCGAATTTTGAAAGATAGCCAAACAGGATTGAGCGAGTTTGTGGAGGGATGGGAATCGGTGATGACTTCTGTTTTGGCGGCAAATTCCATTTCTTTCTTACCGAATCTCGATGCCTACGTGACTAGCGAATTCGCTCTGTACTTGTTAAATCTCACAATACTTTAAACACACTCAGGCAATCTATTGTGCAAAGTTGTACACAACCTTTTGAGTAGAAGAGTCCTCCTACACAATCCAGGCCTTCAAACGTTCGTAGTTTGTAATTTGTTAATTGATTTTAGTGTAGTATTTATAAGAGTGTTAGATAAAAGTCGTAGAAGGTAGGTAGATTATAAAAAAATAGCTTTATGATTTTATGTCCTTCGATACACAACTAAATTAAGGCTTACGATATACTATAAACTACCCCTAAAACTCTTTATAGTAAATTATATTACTTACTTCTAGGAAATTCTTTATTCTTTCCAGTATTCTAGAATATTTAGGTGTAAAAACTTGTCATTCTTGTATTTAGAAGGCATATACACTCGTGATCAAAGAGGTCAATATTGCTGTAGTGTAGTGAAAGTAGTCCAAAAGAGTTTTTGGTTAGGTTTTATGTGTGTAGTACTACTTCGTTAAAAAACTCAAATTCCGAAATCTGACGAGCGATAGCAAGTGAAAGTGGGACAAGAGGGTAGATAAAGGACAGTTAATCGGTAGTCAAGAATATTTTGATAGCAATAACCCCTCTTCACTATCTTATTGGTAGTTCTTCTGCCTTATTTCGGCGAATACAATTTCGCTACTATGATATATGTATACTCCCTAATGTGTTTATAACTA